AAATATAGGAGAGGTTGGATACTAAATCAATATAATCCTTCCTATATTACCGCACTTTTCTAATGGTATTGTTACTGATGAATATATAATTTATGTTTATTCCCTTGAGTACAATGATACTACGTCTTCAGGTGCTCGGAGCGACTGACCGTAACTAAGGTCTTTAAGCTAGTAAGGTGAGATCCTGGGGGAAGGGTGGTGGGATGGGGATGGGTGGTGGGGTGGGGGAGGATGGTGGGGTGTGGGATGGGTGGTGGGGTGGGGGAGGATGTTTAACTGGTGTTGCGGGACGAATGTGTCGGGGAACGAGTGTTACTTTCTCTTTGGTCTTCACATTGTCAACATCAACACAGGATTTTACGGACACACCAGTAATTACTTACACACACACACACACAAACCAGTAGTATAAGACATCTTCCATAAAGTTGACAATCGGGGAAACAAAACACTAACGCGTCCTCTTTATCTCGGTGAAAATTATAGGATCATTTCGTCTATTGATCTCACATGAAATCTAGAAGATGATCAAAATCCCTATAAAGTTCCAAGAAAATTATAAACTTCAAGAATTTTTACCTTCACATAGAGGATTGGATACGGATACATGGCGACGCGCTTGAACCCACAATGAGAATGTTTCCTGAGATGAGACGTGACTACAGGAGGTTCCGGATTGTTCAAAACACAGTTGGATTCTTTATCAGACAATTGGATGTTCCCAGACAATAGGAAAATAACTGAAGCGCACCGAGTTAGAACAATATAAGCGATAAAGGAGCTTGAGACGTGTTTATTCTGTGCCATTAAACTTATTTCAAATTTACTCAAAACTTTAACTGCGGATTCTGGTGTATATATTTCCGTTTGTCGTTTGTTTTTTTATATCACCCGCTGGAACTTCTGAAACACAATGGAGGAATGATGGTGAATTATGAAGCTAACGTATAAGACCTCACTTAGTTGACTTTACAAAATAAGTACTAGATAAAAACATTTTGTAAACAATTAAAATTAAGTGTGGCAGCTTTATATGTTGTAGGTATGACTTATAAGTATATAAGTGTGGCAGCTGATATATTGTAAGTATGATCCTGTAAGTAAATAAGTGTGGCAGCTTAGGTGTTGTAAGTATAGTTATAAGTGTGGCAGCTCTATATGTTGTGGAAAGAGCCATAACACTTCAAGAGTGAGTGTTAGTCACGGTTAAACAAGACAGTGAGGAGAACAAGGGGTGAATATAGACCAGTTAGTGGCCCCATCATCGTGACCTGGAATTCAGATTATGGCGTAAAGGAACGTCTATCTCACAGCCACCTTGTGTGAAATATGACTTACACGTTTCACTCATTGGAAAGAAAGATACTTATTCAGTAAAATCCTCGTACAAGTTGACAACTGGCTCAGCATGTATGTAGACAATGCATGTACCTAGCCAGTGCAGGTATACAATGTACCTAGCCAGTGCAGGTATACAATGTACCTAGCCAGTGCAGGTATACAATGTACCTAGACAGTGCAGGTATACAATGTACCTAGCCAGTGCAGGTATACAATGTACCTAGACAGTGCAGGTATACAATGTACCTAGACAGTGCAGGTATACAATGTACCTAGCCAGTGCAGGTATACAATGTACCTAGCCAGTGCAGGTATACAAACAGTGGTTAAACAGTAAGGCTATTCGCCCAAGGATAGCCAAGAGAGTCAGTAGGTCTCATATTATTCACATCTTGAGAAAGTAGACGAACACCATTAAATGTAAACCAACGTGACAATGACGAATAAGACACTTGGGTGAACAGTGAGGAGGAGGAAACTGTCGACGATTGGTCCCTACACCTACGCACACACACCTACCCTCCCCACACACACACACACACACACTACCCCCCACACCACCCCCACACACACCTCCCCCCACACACACACACACTCCCCCCACACACACACCTCCCCCACACCCCACCTACCCCCACACACACACACACACACACACCTACCCCCACACACACACACACACACACACACACCTACCCCCCACACACACACACGCAAGTAAGAAGTTTTTATACATATTGAACACTAATTTAGCTAATAATTGGCTGGTGTATAGTGACAGTCGTTTGTCATACCGTCAAGTGAAGATTCTGGTAGAGAAATTTAACTTTTCTTTTTTACGACAGCAGAATGACGCAGAAGAGTGAGTCAACAGTGTGCGTGTGTGTGTCACCTTCGTCATTGTCAGTGTCACATATTGGAAGAATTTTAACTTGCCTTGAATTCAACTCGTGTTCAGGGGACGTGAAGCTTGTTTAAAAAGTCGACTGTCTGTACCTAGAACAGAACAGCCGAGGTTGTATACATAACAATTTTCTGTGTGAGTCAAATTTTCCCAGAAATATGTATTGATATTGAAATAGTACTGTACTCCATTCACCCCACACCTCCCTTTTGCTCCTCAACGATGTCCTGACAAATTTATCCAAGTTAAAATAAAATAACAAAATCAACGTAAAAATAGTATAATAAAATACATGTTCACCAATGGTACTGAGAAAACGCGTTATTATGTAAAATTACAGTATGTCGGTTATTTTAAAATGCATTTCAATACTTAGAAAAATATGTAAAAGTTAGACGCGGTCACAGAACTCAAGTAACAGCGCATTAACTTCTTTAGGTCTCTCAAGCAAAACCCATAAATGTGTGTTGGTTCACTTAACGTAGTCGGGGAGGAAAGTTCTTAATTAGATTGTATAATGAGTTGCGGTGGGAAGGGAGGGAAGGTGCGGGGATGGAGTGAAGAAGGGAATGGGAGGAAGGAAGGAAAAGAAGAAAAGAGGGAGGGAGAGGAAAGAAGAGAAAGAAAAACGAGAGAGAGAGAGAGAGAGAGAGAGAGAGAGAGAGAGAGAGAGAGAGAGAGAGAGAGGGGTGAAGGAAGGAAGCCATTTAACAAACACTAATAAAAGGGTCACAGAATTCTCTTATCCTCACCGTATATTTGAACGTCAGTGGTGGCAGAGAGCGAGCGAACTATTGTCTGACGATTCTCCTGCTGTAGAGTCAGTCTGGGAGAAATGGTGAACACAAGACGTGGTCGATCGTAGGTGCTGCTGACCATGTTGTTGTGGTACAGTGTTGATAGTGTTAGGTACAGTGTTGGTAGTGTAAGGTACAGTGTTGGTAGTGTAAGGTACAGTGTTGGTAGTGTTAGTTACAGTGTTGGTAGTGTTAGGTACAGTGTTGGTAGTGTTAGTTACAGTGTTGGTAGTGTTAGTTACAGTGTTGGTAGTGTTAGGTACAGTGTTGGTAGTGTAAGGTACAGTGTTGGTAGTGTTAGTTACAGTGTTGGTAGTGTTAGGTACAGTGTTGATAGTGTTAGGTACACTGTTGGTAGTGTTAAGTAGACGTTACGTGATAGATGTTTATTCAGTATAATCGCCATAAGCAGTGCAGGTATACAAGCAATGACTGTTATTAAAAGATGTTTGTAGTTCCCAACACCAAACACGTCTGCATTATTATGACTGTATCTAAACACGTCTATATGTTACCTGTGTCATTAGCGAGTGTTACCTGTGAGTTATTAGTGAGTGTTACCTGTGTGTCATTAGCGAGTGTTACCTGTGTGTCATTAGTGAGTGCTAGCTGTGTCATTAGTGAGTGTTACCTGTGTCATTAGCGAGTGTTACCTGTGAGTTATTAGTGAGTGTTACCTGTGTGTCATTAGTGAGTGTTACCTGTGTGTTATTAGTGAGTGTTACCTGTGTGTCATTAGTGAGTGTTACCTGTGTGTTATTAGTGAGTGTTACCTGTGTCATTAGTGAGTGTTACCTGTGTCATTAGTGAGTGTTACCTGTGTGTCATTAGTGAGTGTTCCCTGTGTCATTAGTGAGTGTTACCTGTGTGTCATTAGTGAGTGTTCCCTGTGTGTTATTAGTGAGTGTTACTTGTGTCATTAGTGAGTGTTACCTGTGTGTCATTAGTGAGTGTTACCTGTGTGTTATTAGTGAGTGTTACTTGTGTCTCATTAGTGAGTGTTACCTGTGTCATTAGTGAGTGTTCCCTGTGTGTTATTAGTGAGTGTTACCTGTGTCATTAGTGAGTGTTACCTGTCTGCCACGAGTGAGTGTTAAGTGTGTGCCATCAATGTGTTAACTGTTAACTGGGTGGTAGAGGAGAGACATCCGTTAAGCTAATATTAGTATAGTTGTTGTAAGTGGCTTATGAACTGGTCCACCGGTCAAGAGTGACAAAATAACCGTTAACAGTTACTGATGGAGAGGCGGTCATGTTGTGTGTGTGTGTGTGTGTGTGTGTGTGTGTGTGTGTGTGATATTAACTAAAATATGTGAAAGATTCTTACATATATACCGTGGGAAAATATTCATAACTGTGGGAATCTCTTATATCCAGGGCACCGGGATGGTTCTCACACGGCCATGGCCAACCAGCAATGTTTTCTCGTGATCACCTGAAGGTTAGACGCCCTAGCTTATTTCACCTGAAGATTAAATACCCTCTTACTAACGCTAACGCAAACCTAACCTAACGAAACCTACCTTACACTAACCTAATCCCCCTCAGGTTGCGTTATGATGGTTAACCTTCAGGTACAATAAGCTGGGGTGTCTAATCTTTAGGTAATCCAGCTGTACAGTAAGGAGGTAATTGCAACGCATCTTATGACTGACGTCACAAGGTAGTTTAAGCTAGGTGGTGGTGACGTCATGAGTGGCCCTTTCTGGTGGTGACATCATGAGTGGTCCTCTCTGGTGGTGACGTCATTAGGTCTTCTCTGATAGTGACATCATAAAAGGGAGGTCTCCTCTGGTGGTGCTGTCATGGGACGTTTCCTCTGGTGGTGCTGTCATGGGACGTCTCCTCTGGTGGTGATGTCATGGGACGTCTCCTCTGGTGGTGACATCACCCGAACATGAAGAGTGTACAACTGATAAATTATAGATGGACAGTTAAGAAAACAAAATTATTTCCAGGTTTGGCGTTGAGGTTAGCGGCATGATGGGCGGCAGCGTGGGCGGGGTGTGGGCGACGTGGGCAGCGGTAGCAGTGTCACTTCTAATGCCCACTGCCTCACAGGTGCTCATAGACCTGAACGCGGCGGCAGGTAAGACCCTCGTGGACACACCTGGTGGTATTGTTGTGGTCGCTTTGAGGGCGAGGCAGTGCATGAATATTATCAGAGCTTCTAAGGCGTTACATATAAAAAGAAAGATAGATAGATAATCCTAAACGTTCAGCTTTGTGTTTTAAAACTTGTAGTGTATAAACATCTCGGCACCTCATAACACAGTCAACTTGCTACAGAAGCCGAGGAGTCGCGAGCCCTGGAGAGACGCACCTCTCTAGCGGACACTGTCAACACCTTCCTGGAGGAGACACCCAAGTCAGGCCAGCAGGGTGTTCCTGTAGGAGAGGAACTGGGTGCTCTCCTTCCCCCGCTTCCTATAGGATCCCACGACGCCCCTGTGGTCATGACACACTACACACTGCCTCAAGGTCCACCAGGGAAGAGGCAGAACATTCCTGTAGTCATGACCCGGTACACACACAGGGGTCATGGAGACACACCAGTGGTAATGACGCAGTTTAGCTTCCCCCAGGGTGTCCCGGGCGTGGACTTCATTACCCCCCGAGAGATGGACCGTAACAGTCATGGTGGTTCTGTGGACGACAAACACACCGACGCTTCACTACCACAAGAGACCCAACACGTAGGTAACCTCACCCTTGTCTCTCACACCTCCACCTCAGCTGGTGATCATGATGGAGTGCCAGCATCCACGGGTGTTGCTACAGACGAGGTGAGGCCTCCGTCAGCTCTGGAGATGTTGGTCAAGATGGCCACACAGGGCCACAAGGGAGGAACTCCTCAAGGTGAGAGAACTTAGGTCTTGTTTGATCAAAATGAATGAATGAGAGAAAAAAATGCAGGTACAGATCACTGAAAGGAAATGACCTATTAAGCAAATAATATTATGATAATTATTTCTTTTATATTGACATCCATTATTATTATATCACTGAATGGAGTATAGATCACCAGGCGCTGTCCGCTGTCGGTTGCTCTTATTGGCGTTAGCTTTAACGGCAACAGACCAAAGAAATCCTTTCTTAGACTATGTGTGTGTGTGTGTGTGTGTGTGTGTGTGTGTGTCCCTGAAGAAGTGTTTGATGCGTTACACACTTTACAGGCGACAACCCCCCACATCAAGAGGACGACGAGTACGCCACCACCCTGAGTGACGATGATGACTACTTCTGGGACTACTACGGCGACCTCGACGGTACTACTGACAGGTAGGTGGTAGATGGGGGGGGGAAGGTTAGTGGTAGATGGGGGGGGGAAGTTAGTGGTAGATGGGGGGATGATTAGTGGTTGGTGGTTGTAGATTAGGGTGTAAGATTAATGCTTATGGAGTTAGTTAGGCGTAGGGATTACTTGTAGAGAATGGGAGAAAGAGAGAGAGAGAGAGAGAGAGAGAGAGAGAGAGATTAGATATTGATAGATTAGAAAGAAAGAAAGTCCTATTAGTGAACTCTCCGCCTCACCTGAAGATTAGACACCCCATCTTATTTCAATGATAGATTACCCACCCTAACCTAAACCTAACCTAACCCCGCCAGGTAAATTTATAATAGTTATTTAACAAGTGAAATATAATGGGGTGTCTAATCTTCAGGTGATCCTTTTCTTTCTCTAGATTTGCTTAAAAACGGTTGTAAACATTTTCATGGAGTAAACAATGAGACTAATACTTTTATTTATGTTTTGACTTGATTGTATCTCTCTCTTTCTTACAGTGTTTTTGAGGCTGTCAGCGAGGAGCCAAGTGTCTCTCAGGAACGCCGGTTGATATCCCCCTCCCCGGCTCAGTATGTTGGCTTGGGACCAGAAGTTAAAGGTTACCAGGTATCGTCGTCAACACATAAGTATTCACAGCACACTCCAGCACCTCCCCACTCACAGCCACAGTTGTACTCACCAGAGACCCATTTTCTGGCACAGCAACTAGAGGAGAACTTGTACCGCCTCACGCAGAATCCTCAGGCACACCTTATAGTACAGCAGCTACTACGGCAGGAGCCAGAGATGCAGAAACTCACCGAATACATCCTGAATAAACCTGAGCATGCTGAGCTCTTACAAACAATCCAGCAGCAACAGCAGAACTATGTCCCTCAAGGTGCTGGCCACAACTACTCTCCTCAAGTTGCTGGACAGAACTACCCTCCTCAAGGTGCCGGACAGAACTATACGCCTCAAAGTCCTGGACAGATATATGTCCCTCAAAGTCCTGGCCAGAACTACTCTCCTCAAGGTGCTGGACAGAACTATGCGCCTCAAGGTCCTGAACAGAACTATGCTCCTCAAGGTCCTGGACAGAACTATGCGCCTCAAGGTCCTGGACAGAACTATGTCCCTCTGAGACAGCAACATCAGTCGCGCCCACAGTTGGAGTTGGCGTTTCCTCCACCACCACCCAGTAACGTAGACATAAACAAAGTGGAGACCTTCAACATCGTCATCACCAAGAACCTCACAGGTGGACAGTCAGAACCCTCCGTCCAGATCCTCTCTGATGCCAAGGTTGTAAACTTGTCCATTTTATTCAGGTTTTGCAGGAAGGAACAGTTAATTTATTATGTCCGTCCAAACAATTATGAACTTACATCGTTGATGTTTATTTGTATTTCTGTGCTTCAACAACGATAAAGTCTTTAAACACGAACTCTCAGCTGGTCCATACACAAGAGATCTCTTATAGAAAGAACTTCCTTCTATAATTCGGGGCTTCCTCCCAAAACAAAACCTCACCTTCCCTTGTGTGGACAATAAACTTTTCCTTCACTCATATAACACAGTACAGACCACACTACAACATTTTCCCAATAATAAAGACATTTTCTCTTCATTCTCTCGTGATTGTAGATATATCTGTAATGTAAAATATCCAACATTGCCCCTTGCCTGTACTTTACTTTTGAGGTGAAAATATTTATATAAAAAACTGCGAGAGACATAAGGATTAATATTATTTTTATTTATTAGCTCACATACACAACACAACATAGTATAATAACATATATCTACAACACAACACATCATAGACTATTATACGAACACGCTTCTACAACACAGTGTACTAACAGGTGACGTATCTATACAACACAACACAACTCAACACTGTATAATAACGTGTCTCCTCTCTCCTCAGGTGGACTCGATGCTACTCAACACAACCATCAACTCAGTCAACAACATTAAAGCTCTCAAGGACGTGGTTGATTCCGCTGTCAACCACGCCATCGCCTCCAACCCCGTGGCCATCCAGGAGACGCTCGCCCAGGTGAGGTTATGTGTCTCAGCTAAGGTTATAAGTCTCAGGTGAGGTTACGTGTTGTGTTTCAGGTGAGTTTATGTGTCATGTGTCTCAGGTGAGGCTATGTGTCTAAGGTGAGGTTATGTGTCATGTGTCCCAGGGGAGGTTATATGTCATGTGTCTCAGTTGAGGTTATATGTCATGTGTCTCGAGTGAGGTTATGTCATGTGTCTCAGTTGAGGTTTTGATTTATGTGTCTCAGGTGAGGTTATATATCATGTGTCTCAGTTGAGGTTATATGTCATGTGTCCCAGGGGAGGTTACATGTCATGTGCCTCAGTTGAGGTTATGTATTATGTGTCTCAGGTGAGGTTACATGTCATGTGACTCAGTTGAGGTTACATGTCATGTGTCTCAGTTGAGATTATGTGTCATGTATCTCTGGTGAGGTTATGTGTCATGTGTCTCAGGCGACGTTATGTGTTATGTGCCTCAGTTGAGGTTACCTGTCATGTGTCTCAGTTGAGGCTATGTGTCATGTGTCTCAGGCGAGGTTATGTGTTATGTGTCTCAGGTGAGGTTATGTGTTATGTGCCTCAGGTTAGGTTTATGTGATACATGTATCGAAAGTGCATGCAATAAAGTATTTTTGGTTTGGGATATTTATTATTATTAGTAGTACTAGTAGTAGTAGTAGGCAATAAAATGTAGGCTTAGGTGGGGCTATTAGGCGAGGCTAGAGGCCACGTTAAAAAAATAGTAGTAGTAGTAGTAGTAGTAGTAGTAGTAGTAGTAGTAGTAGTAGTAGTAGTAGTAGTAGTAGTGGTAGTAGTAGTAGTAGTAGTAGTAGTAGTACAGTATTATTAGTTTAAAAAAGTTTTACTATTTACTAAAAAAACCTGCCTTAAATATATGTCTTTCAACGTTCCAAGTAAAAAGTTGTAATGACGTCATGTAAACCTTTTAATGAGTTAAGTGTTGGTGTTACAGGTGGTGGAGGGGCCGGAGCAGGAGCCGACAGTCAACGTGGTGAACACAACCATTCCTAACCTGACCGAGTTAGAGGATACCATCAATAACCTTCTCGGCCCCAACGTGGTGTATGAACAGAACCCCCAGGCCAGCATGGCGGTGGGTCACATCCCTCGCTCTAATGGATCTGTCGTTAGCAGACTCCTCAACGGCACTATTGGTGTGGAGAATCTCAATATTAACTCCACATCCAAGACTAATGTGGTTAATATTTTCATAATTAATATCATTGGTGGAGTGAGAGGTGTTGATGATGTTGTTGATGATGATGAGTACAATGATGATGATGTTCGACCACCAGCGCTGCCGCCACTGACTATCCCAGGTCAGGTCATGAATTTTGGCACGACTGTTCCATTATCTTCACTTGGTCCGTTACCACCGCCACCTCTGCCAAGACCTAAACCTGCGAGTACTGTAACAAGTCAGGATTCCGAGGAGGATTCTGGTAGCCCTGCTGGATTACTGCCTCCCGTGCCGCCACCACAGAACAAACTGCTGCTGAAGCCTCCTCATGTTGTCACCCCCAGTGCATCTCTGCCTCCAGGCTATCCAGGATATGAACCAGTCGTCACTTCTTCAGTAGCACCAAGTCTCCCAGTTCCTGCTCCCCACATAGTGTCGGCATCCTCCACTCAAGTGCCTCAGGGAGGACAAAGCACCGCCCACAGCGCCAACCCTGACGGCATCATCCTCAACGATAATAAGGTGCTCAACCTCCTGCCGGAGTTCATCAAGGCCACGACCATCCCGCCTATAGTGCCTCTCTACAACATCTCAGCACACAGCCTGCTGGGCAAGAAACCCTCCGTACTTGGTCTTCTGCCTAGTAAGGTTTTCGAAATCATCAAACCTCACTTAGAACTGTCAGACAACAGCACCCAAGGCGGCATTGTCCGTAAAGTTGCAGTGGGTAACCTGACCAACTACTACTATCCCAGTTTTCAACCAGTACTAAGAGTGGGTGGCACAGTGACCAAGAGTAGTACTGTTACTCCTCCTCACGCCCAGTATCAGTTTCCATCATACAATCCCGGTATTCCTCCACCTGATCCGGTACCCAGCAATCCTTTCCCTTTCCGCGCTGCAGCTCCACCGCGGTACACACAAGCAGATTACTTTACCAGTAAAGGCTCTTCAGGCTTCTACTCAGCAGGTGTCCGTAACTTCTCACCACCACCCGCTATTGGCTCAGCTCGTAGCCCAAACCCCCAGGCGAGCGCCATACCGTACCAGAATCCTCTAAAACAATACAACATCGTCAGCGAGAGACAACCAAGCAACCATAAGGGGGTCAACCTTTTCAAATTCACCAGAAACAATAGTGTGAGTGAGAGCGAGGAATCTGGTGCTCAAAAAGTCGCTGGATTAAGAACTGAACAACTAGAAGAAAAAAAGAAATCGCCTCAAGTATCTATAAAAGAAGAATCAGTAAGCAAACCAAAAACCAACACGAAGAGTAATACGAAAGACAAGAAGAAGTCTCAGTCACTAAAAGAAATGGCCACTGACGCCGTGACGTCAGCTGGAAATAGTATGGACAGTTTCATGAAAGCTGTTGCTATTGGAGCATTACCGAGCGGCATCGCCTTCGCCTCCGCCTTCTGGCCTTACTGGGCTCCTTTCGTCCTCGGGCGAAGGCGCCGACGTGACTTGAGTGAATTTGATGAGGCGGCATCCAGGGCGAGGATCTCCCAAGACTGGCTGAGTATTTTGACTGGGATGAAATACAAAGGGGCGGGGACTGAATTCCCTGAAGCGTGGGACAAGAAAAATAATCCAGGCAAGAAACAGACCACTTTCCCCACACGTGGCCAGACAACCAACACCGCTGGTGTGACGGTGATAACCCCGGAGAAAACTGTATCACTCACGACTAAAGAATCTTCTAACTCTAATATAACTACTAGGAAATCAACGACAACAGAGGAAGCAACTTTAAGAGATTCGATAACAGTTCCTCCTAGTGTTGTGGAAGTTACAGACAATACTAATACAACCACAATAAACGAGTCAAAAAAGGTGACTCCTAAATCCAGCGAAGCAACGAAAACAACAACTGTGACGAAAACATCGGACAAACCCGAGGAAACAGAACTAACGACAGGTGATACGACTTCATCCACTGACATCAAAACAGAGGACATCATCAGAACGACGGAGAAAGTCACCACAGTTAAACGCTCTACCCCTGCTAACCCGACCATCTCCACAACAACGGAGACGAACCTCAATCAATCGATTGCCCAGATGATGTCGTCGTTGACCTCAGGTGATGCTGAACCTGTTGTGCTTCCTTTTAACGTTGAGGTGATGAGTTCAGGGACAACGACGGAGGTGAACAGGCAGGAATCGCCCGCAGATGTGGCTCTCGTCTCCAACTTCCTATACTCGGCTCTCAACGGCTGGAAGAATGGACAAAATTCCCTAACCTCTGAAAAGGATGGGCTGAAAGAAGAGTTCCCATTAACAGTAAGTGATTTTGTTGAACTTCAACTAAGCACAGGTCCTCCCAGGCGAAGAGTTAATACAACAGACAGTCCAATAATCATCATCAACAGTGCATCGTCTACAAACAACAGATTCACCTCGACTCCTCCTCCTCCTCCTCCACTTTCTCAGACGATTATTCCACAAACCACAAACACCCCGCTAAGGACGACCACAAACACCCCGATGAGGACGACCACTAGACGACCTACCACTTTGCTTAGTAGATTCCCTGTTAAGGTACCAGACAACCAGGCAACCAATAACGAAGATGAGAAATACCCGGATATGTTCTACAGTACTATTAACCTTCTCATACAGCCCACAACAACTACCCCACTACCAACAACTACCCCGACGACAACAACAACAACAACCACAACAACTATCCCATCAACAATAAGAACCACAACAATTCCCCCAAGAAGAACAATCAGAACAACAACTACTCCAAGAAGAACAATCAGAACAACAACTCCACCAAGAAGAACAATCAGAACAACAACTCCCCCAAGAACAACCAGAACAACAACTCCCCCAAGAACAACCAGAACAACAACTCCCCCAAGAACAACCAGAACAACAACTACCCCAAGAACAACCAGAACAACAACTACCCCAAGAACAACCAGAACAACAACTCCCCCAAGAACAACCAGAACAACCTACCCCAAGAACAACCAGAACAACAACTACCCCAAGAACAACCAGAACAACAACTCCCCCAAGAAGAACAACCAAAACAACAACTACTCCAAGAACAACCAGAACAACAACTCCCCCAAGAAGAACAACCAAAACAACAACTACTCCAAGAACAACCAGAACAACAACTCCCCCAAGAAGAACAACCAGAACAACAACTACTCCAAGAAGAACAACCAAAACAACAACTATCCCGAGAAGAACAACCAAAACAACAACTATCCCGAGAAGAACAACACGACCTCAGTCTTCAACTCCCAATCGAAGAGTAAACACCCCTCCAGCAACAACCACTGCCAACAACACACCAACAACCTCTACAACTACAACCACAACCACAACCACACCCCCGGGTATCTTTGGCTCCATCTCTAATGTGCTTGACGACTCCAATAACCAACTAAGGAACGCGGTAGGGTTTGTGGGGTCGGTGGCTGTGTACGGGGCAGCTGCACTCCTACCCCTCTGGTTACCCATCGTCCTGGGCAAGAGACGAAGAAGGAAGCGTAACGTGCAGGACGATGAGGACCTTCAGGAGTTCCTCGAGGCGGTGAGGATGGTACATAGTCCACCTTCAGTAGTACGCCAGCTCTCCTCACACGATGATGTCAAGATAACCAAACAAAAGAAGAAAATTGGACAGAGTTTCGTGGATTCAGACGAAGAGAGAAGCCATTTGTATAGCCAATTACCCTCATGGAAAAAACTTGCTCGACATCAAAACAAGTTACACAATCAAGAGGAAAACTAATACGTCAAATAATATGATAAGAAAACGTGTTAAGAAAAGTTGTTGTTTCTCGTTAAGTTTAATTGGTTATATTTCTTACCAAATTGTTGACCTTTTGAGTACGATGACTTAAAGATTTTGAGTACGATGACTTAAAGATTTTGAGTACGAATGACTTAACCTTTTGAGTACGATGACTTTATCTTTGACTACGAAGACTTAACCCCTTGAGTATGATGACTTAATTCCTTAAGTACGATGATTTAACCCCTTGAGTAAGATGGCTTAACCCTTTGAGTATCATGACTTAACTCCTTGAGTATGATGACTTTCCCCCGTGTGTACGATGACTTAACCCTCTGAGTATCATGATTTAACTCCTTGAGTATGATGACTTTCCCCCGTGTGTACGATGACTTAACCCTCTGAGTATCATGATTTAACTCCTTGAGCATGATGACTTTAACCCTTGAGTACATTGACTTAACCCCTTGAGTACGATGATTTAACCGTTTGAGTACGATGACTTAAACCCTTGAGCACGATGACTTAACCCCTTCAGTACAATGACTTTCCCCCTTCAGTCCCTTTAAGTACCATGACTTAACTCCTCGAGTATGATGACTTAAGCTCTTGAGCACGATGGTTTAACCCCTTAACTGCGGTCATTTTACTCAACGGAATAGATCATTATATTAAAGTCCTAGTACTCAAGGGATTAAGTCATCGTACTCAAGTGGTTAAATTATCGTACTCAAGGGGGTTAAGTCCTCGTACTCAAGGGGTTAAATTATCGTACTCAAGGGGGTTAAGTCCTCGTACTCAAGGGGTTAAGTTATCGTACTCAAAGGGTTAAGTTATCGTACTCAAGAGGTTAATATTTTTTTATGCATGAACAAAAACAATTTATCCTGCAGTAGTTAGACCGTTACGCATTACATTCTTCTATTTTATTTATATTAATGTATTGATAATTTATTGAATTACAAATGTTAGTGTTTAGTGTTATTTATTTATTTATTTATTTATTATCTATAATTTATTGTACTGGAAAATAATGGTATGGATAAATGGCCAGTTCGGACCACTGTATATACTCTCTCTCTCTCTCTCTCTCTCTCTCTCTCTCTCTCTCTCTGGCGTTATCTATTAGTGACCTAAACAATGTTATCTTTTCTTTATTCTCATTATTTCGTCAAGAATTAGAAGGCAATATTACAGTTAGTAAGTCAATTAAGTTGGTATATGTCCTTCACTTCTAAGCAGTCATGGGGTAATTGTAATGTGTAATTAAACAAATATAATTCTAATTACAATAAAAATAATTTACGTATAGATTGATAATATAATTGATACACTAAAAGCGAAGGTCAACAAGTACAGAACATACTACAGTTTATCATACCTTGTCTGCCTGCAACTGTAAATAATTACATTCGTTCACTAACTGATTGTAAATTTAATTGAACTTATGCAATATAATTGTAATTAATGTAATTTCCACTATGATTGCCCCATGCCTTCTTCTAAGTTATTTTTGTTAACAAGTTTATATATAAATCAAAGAACTGTGTCAGGTAAGGTGAAGACTTGAACCTCAAGTCTTAATTTACCCCCATAAGGTTACGGTGAAGTCTTAGTGTACCCTTGTGTGTCGTCTACAGTGTTACCCTGACCTACAGTAACGCTAGTGATGAGTGTTGGTAACGCTGTATGTTAATTAGTGATTAGTAATGACCAAATACAGTTAAATAACACACTTTGTTACACATATTTTCTCCATCAGATGTGAGCCTGATTGAGCCTTAGTCTGATGGAGCCCCAGACTGATGCAACACCAGTCTATGTTGTTATATATAAAAATAGAAAATTAACTGTGTTTTATTCATCCCATATATCTCCATGTGTGTGGTGGTGGGGCCCAGGCGTGTGGTGATGGGGCCCAGGCGTGTGGTGGTGGAGCCCAGGTGTGTGGTGATGGAGCCCAGGTGTGTGGTGGTGGAGCCCAGGTGTGTGGTGCTGAGGCCGAGGCGTGTGGGGCCCCGGTGTGTGGTGATGGGGCCCAGTGTGTGATGGGGCCCAGGTGTGTGGTGATGGGGCCCAGGTGTGTGTGGTGATGGGGCCCAGGTGTGTGGTGATGGGGCCCAGGTGTGTGGTGTGTGTGATGGGGCCCAGGTGTGGTGATGGGGCCAGGTGTGTGGTGACGGGGGCCCAGGTGTGTGTGTGGTGATGGGGCCCAGGTGTGTGGTGATGGGGCCCAGGTGTGTGGTGAGGGGCCCAGGTGTGTGGTGATGGGGCCCCAGGTGTGTGTGATGGTGGGGCCCAGGTGTGTGTGGTGATGGGGCCCAGGTGTGTGTGGGGCCCAGGTGCGTGGTGACGGGGCCCAGGTGTGTGGTGATGGGGCCCAGGTGTGTGGCCCAGGTGTGTGGTGTGGGGCACAGGTGCGTGGTGACAGGGGCCCAGGTGTGTGGTGATGGGGCCCAGGGTGTGTGGTGATGGGGCCCAGGTGTGTGGTGATGGGGCCCAGGTGCGTGGTGACAGGGCCCAGGTGTGTGTGATGGGGCCCAGGTGTGTGGTGATGGGGCCCAGGTGTGTGGTGATGGGGCACAGGTGTGTGGTGACGGGCCCAGGTGTTGTGGTGAGGTGGGGGGCCCAGGTGTGTGGTGATGGGGCCCAGGTGCGTGGTGACGGGGCCCAGGTGTGTGGTGATGGGGCCAAGGTGTGTGTGGTGATGGGGCCCAGGTGTGATGGTGGTGCGTGGTGACGGGCCCAGGTGTGTGGTGATGGGGCCCAGGTGTGTGTGGTGATGGGGCGCAGGTGCACGGGGCCCAGGTGTGTGGTGATGGGGCCCAGGTGTGTGTGATGGGGCCCAGGTGCGTGGTGACGGGGCCCAGGTTTGTGGGTGATGGGGCCCAGGTGTGTGTGTGATGGGGCCCAGGTGTGTGGTGATGGGGCCAAGGTGTGTGGTGATGGGGCCCAGGTAAGTGGTGACAGGGCCCAGGTGTGGTGATGGGGCCCAGGTGCGTGGTGATGGGGCCCAGGTGCGTGGTTACAGGGGCCCAGTATGATGGAGCCCAGGTGGGTGACGGGCCCAGGTGTGTGTTGACGGGGCCCAGGTATGATGGAGCCCAGGTAGTGGTGACGGGGCCCAGGTGTGTGGTTACGGGGCCCATATGTATGGTGACGGTGCCCAGGTGCGTGGTGATAGGGCCTAGGTAAGTGGTGACGGGGCCCAGGTGTGTGGTGACGGGGCCCAGGTATGATGGAGCCCAGGTAAGTGGTGACGGGGCCCAGGTGTGTGGTGACGGGGCCCAGGTGTGTGGTGACAGGGCCCAGGTGTGTGGTGACAGGCCCAGGTGTGTGTGACGGGCCCAGGTGTGTGGTGACGGGGCCCAGGTGTATGGTGATGGGGCCCAGGTGTGTGTGACGGGCCCAGGTGTGTGGTGACGGGGCCCAGGTGTGATGGAGCCCAGGTAAGTGGTGACGGGGCCCAGGTGTGTGGTGACGGGCCCAGGTGTGTGGTGGGGCCCAGGTATATGGTGATGGGGCCCAGGTGTGTGGTGACAGGGGCCTAGGTGTGTGATGATGGCGCCCATGTGTGTGATGACGGGGCCCAGGTGTGTGATGATGGGGCCCAGGTGTGTGGTGACGGGGTTCAGGTGTGTGATGTTGGGGTCCAGGTGTGTGGTGATGGGGCCCAGGTAAGTGGTGACAGGGCCCAAGTGTGTGGTGATGGGGCCCAGGTGTGTGACAATATCATCACTCAGGTTCCCTACACCAACCACTCGACGAACCTTGGCGAGTAAACATGAGTGACGCTGTGCTTGAGTGAGTGAGTGAGTGTGGCTGAGTGTAAGGAGGTAACACTATAACGGTGGGTGGACGAGTGGAGTGATCACATCCACTGTTTCCACCTGTTGACTCTCTCTCTCTCTCTCTCTCTCTCTCTCTCTCTCTCTCTCTCACCATCCACCTAGCACGGGCAATGTTATAAATAGTCATAGCCTACAAAAGAATCACTGTGTGCATATGACCGCTGATCACCCAACAGCCTACACACGCACACCTTACAATTTCACATGAACACCTGCCAGCGTGTGTGTGTTAGGAGACTTAAGGTCGAGGTGCTTTGTCATTCACACACGATAAGATTATATGTATGTATGTATGTATGTATATATGTATGTATGTATGTATGTATTTGTGTGTTTATTTGTGTGTGTTTATGTACGTATGTATGAAAACCTTTCTCTTAGCAGATATCGAATTCCAATCCTCAGCAGTTACTCACCTTGGGTATAAGTTGTTTACTGCATCGGTTTGGCTGGAATCTGTGTCACCAACCGGCCACAGTGCAGCTTTGTGTGAGTATGTATACCGGCCCATCTGCTTAGTAGAGTCAGTCGCCACTCAACCCTCAACATGGAGGGAAGTATCGAGCAATGCTGCACCATCAGATTTTGTTTCAGACAATGAAAATTGTTGCAGAAACCCATGAAATAACCAAGGAAGCCTACAAAGATGGAGCAATGTTCAGGGCTCAAGTTTTCAGGGGGCACAAGAGCTTCAAAGAAGGGTTCACCTTCTTTGAAAATGAGCTTTGTTTTGAGCGGCCTTCCACCGAGAGAAATGATGAAAATGTCCAGAAAAATGACCAGCTTGTCCATGAAGACGTAGGGGGAGCACCCGCGAGATTGCCGAGCGGTTGGACCTTTCATATGGAAATGTTAACCAGATTTTGACTGGCGACTGGCAATTGGCTCCTTCACCAGAACAATGCACCCGCGCACATTGCCCTCACCGTGAATGATTTTCTGGTAAAGCACGGCATCCCAGTGGCCCCCCACCCTCCAGATCTGGTCACCTGTGACTTCTGGCTGTTTCCGAAGTTCAAGTTGAACCTCAAGGGGAAGAAGATCATGGACAGAATGGAGATCCAGGACACATTGCAGAAGGTGTTCTCCAGCCTCACCAACAAGGACTTCCAGATCTGCTTCCAGAAGTGGGAGGAGGGGATTCAGCACTGCATTGAGGCCTCTGGAGAATGTTTTGAGGGTGAACTAAAGTTTCACGGCAATATCTTGAAAAATAAAGATTTTATGAAGCCAGTCCGGGAACTTTTGGATCAGGACCCGTTGTGGGTCGTTCGACCTGTGCCCGGGTGGGCTAATTCCCGTAAAAAAAAAAAATGTATGTATGTATGTAAGTAGTGTTTGTAAGTTTATGTCAACAAAGTCTTTTTACTCCTAGTCCGAGGAACACGTCAGATGTCCCACGTGAAGGTCGACCCTGTGTTGTATATCTTTTCACTGTAATGCTTCACACTTCTTAACACATTATATAAAAACACACACACACGCAAACACACACACACACAAACACACACACACAAACACACACACACACACACACGCAACCACAGATACACACACACGCAAACACAGACGCATACACACACACAAAATAAAATAATAAATAATGGAAGCCCCTCAAAATCGAGGGGCGTGAATTTGTTAAGGTGTAGAGGCTGTCGCCAACACAATAACCACACCCTAAGTTAACGAGCTGCATGACCCAGTGTCAAGGAATATTCGGAGAAGACCGGACAACTCGCCAACTGCACTGGCTAACCATTACCCCGGAATACGATCCGCAAATCGATTAACATCCAGGTTCCCAATTACTGCTGGGTAGACAGAGGCAAATGGCGAAAAGAAACTTGCCCATAGTTTCTCCCTGCCCGAGGATCGAACTCGGGTCTGCTCGCTTGCGAGGCGAGGATGGTGACCATTACACCACAGGTTACCAAACACACACACACACACACACAGCCTACGCGATCAGGTCACCAAGTATCGGTCTACCAGTTATGGGGTAATTGTAATTCGCAATTGCATTTTTATTGTAATTAATTACAACTTTCGCAAGTAATTGTTGAGTAATTATCTTTAACTACTGAAATATTATTTGTAATTGCAACTGTAAGAAATTACGTTCAGAGTGACAACACAATTAATACAACATTACTCTAAAACACTGGACTAAGCTTGTCTGCCTGGACACCGTGTATCTTTACCACCAGTAGTGAGGTGTGGCCACTCGCTCCCCCTTTGGTACGTAAACACTAATTTTGTGCACTTCTCTGGTATCAAGCCATAGGTAGTGGTGGACTCCTTAGGTCACGTGTTTGAGGGCCTAAGCCAGCTATATAGCAGGTGTAGACTGTAGAGGGTTGAGGTACTAGAGGCAGGTGTAGAGGGTTGAGGTACTTGAGGCAGGTGTAGAGGGTTGAGGTACTAGAGGCAGGTGTAGAGGGTTGAGGTACTAGAGGCAGGTGTAGAGGGTTGAGGTACTAGAGGCAGGTGTAGAGGTTGAGGTACTAGAGGCAGGTGTAGAGGGTTGAGGTACTAGAGGCAGGTGTAGAGGGTTGAGGTACTTGAGGCAGGTGTAGAGGGTTGAGGTACTAGAGGCAGGTGTAGAGGGTTGAGGTACTAGAGGCAGGTGTAGAGGGTTGAGGTACTAGAGGCAGGTGTAGAGTTGGTACTAGAGGCAGGTGTAGGGTTGAGGTACTAGAGGCAGGTGTAGAGGGTTGAGTGCTAGAGGCAGGTGTAGAGGGTTGAGGGTACTAGAGGCAGGTGTAGAGGGTTGAGGTACTAGAGGCAGGTGTAGAGGGTTGAGGTGCTGAGGCAGGTGTAGGGTTGAGGTACTAGAGGCAGGTGTGAGAGGTTGGGGTACTAGAGGCGGAGTGTAGAGGGTTGAGGGTACTAGGGCAGGTGTAGAGGTTGAGGTACTAGAGGCAGGTGGGGGTTGAGGTACTAGAGGCAGGTGTAGAGGTTGGGGTACTAGAGGCAGGTGTAGAGGGTTGAGGTACTAGAGGCAGGTGTAGAGGGTTGAGGTACTAGGCAGGTGTAGGGTTGAGGTACTAGAGGCAGGTGTAGAGGGTTGAGGTACTAGAGGCAGGTGTAGAGGGTTGAGGTACTAGAGGCAGGTGTAGAGGGTTGAGGTACTAGAGGCAGGTGTAGAGGGTTGAGGTGCTAGAGGCAGGTGTAGAGGGTTGAGGTACTAGAGGCAGGTGTAGAGGGTTGAGGTACTAGAGGCAGGTGTAGAGGGTTGAGGTACTAGAGGCAGGTGTAGGGTTGAGGTACTAGAGGCAGGTGTAGGGTTGAGGTACTAGAGGCAGGTGTAGAGGGTTGAGGTACTAGAGGCAGGTGGGGGTTGAGGTACTAGAGGCAGGTGTAGAGGGTTGAGGGTACTAGAGGCAGGTGTAGGGTTGAGGTACTAGAGGCAGGTGGGGTTGAGGGTACTAGAGGCAGGTGTAGAGGGTTGAGGTACTAGAGGCAGGTGTAGAGGGTTGAGGTACTAGAGGCAGGTGTAGAGGTTGAGGTACTAGAGATGATTAGCAGAGGTAAGTTGGATCATCCCCCCACCACCACCACCGTAGGGAAGTGAGAAAGGAGATGTGGCTCTTTTTCCGTTGTCTTGTATAGGCCTACACTGGTTTCGTTATGTGTGCCGGTATGGTTAATGTTTTATATATCTGGTTTATTTTGTAATCACTTATAGCGTATAAGAAAACCTTAAATATTGTTCCACTTCTATAATTTTAGTGACATTTTCAACAATTTATTATTTTCTTTTAACGAATGTTTACCGAGATTTTAATTTTTTTTTTTTTACAATGACATAGACAAACGTGAGGTGACAGTACAGCCCTCGCCGCAGTCATTGACCAGATTCACCACAGATGACCGTTGCCTCACACACCTCACGCTGGAACCAATTTAGACCAATACAGTACCTATCATCACTTGTATGAACCTAGTTTGTGTGTAACAATTATAGAATGTATGTATCTACACGAAAATAAAATACTTAGACAGTGCTACAATTCTTTCTTTTCCTTTATTCATATTAGGTGTTGCTCTGAGATATACAGTGACTATACTTGAAATCAATATTTTGCGAAATGGATGCCATGATGTAGTCAACTGTAAATATATTCTTATTTTTTTTAAATTGTAACCGTAATTATAATTAAACATATACAAATAAATTTATTTTGCAATCAATTAAACTGTCATTGTAATTTCCCGCCTGCCTGAACACTACTCCACCAACCTCCGGAAAGATACTCCTGCTCGTTAGTAATATGTCGACGACTCCACCGTTGGCATCAGTGTGAACAACTCGGCTCCTGACTATAGCGCCCTCCAGAATATACTGAAGTTAATTGAACAGTCTCTGTTTTGGCCATCCACACCTCTGTCACCATCAACCATGCCAAGACTATGGTCATGCACATCAACCTCTCCTTCTACCATGACCCACCTCCCTCCATCACATTGGGCCCCAACATAGTCCAGGTTGTTGATTCAACAAAGCTCCTCGTCGTCAGAATAGATAACAAACTGAGCTGGAAAGTATGCGTCATTACAGCCGTAAAATCTGCGTCTGAGCTCATAAATGTTTACATAGCATTTATACTTCTTAAACTCATCTATGCTTCCCCTGTCAGGTCTTCTTCTTTAATTACTACACATACAGGACTCCTATAGAGTGCAGAGGGCGTGCAAGACTAGTATCTCCCTCTCCTTCACCACATATCAAGAGGTGTTCAGTATACTGACCTTCTCAACTTTCTTGCGTCATTACCGTGACCTAATCTGTCAATATAGGACAAAGCTGCTACACCATCCTCGTCACCACCATTATGTTATATGTACCATTTATGTCTTTTGTATATTTTCAGCTTATGTCTAATGGGATTTTCAATTAACCGATAATAATCACTCCTCACACACACACACCATGTACTAGATAGTCACTCTATAGACCAGTAGCGACACGTCTTGCTGTGGACTTTACGGTGATTTATATTACACTCATTATAACTTAAATATGCAGTACATGGCGATAATAGGAAGACTGTTATTCTACTTTCCAAATGAGTGGTCGCTTTTACTGCCATATGACACGATGTTATCAGTCATGGTATATTTGTGTGTGTGTGTGTGTGTGTGTGTGTGTGTGTGTGTGTGTGTGTGCTCAGCAAGACACCTTCCTGTACACACACTCCCAACACCAAGAATATAATTATCAAGAACATTAGATCATAAAAATATAAACATAATAACACAAGACTCAAACAGCCAAGAACATAAGAACAACCTAACCTAACCAGTATGACTCAAATAGACCCACCTATTACCTAACCTAACCACTCAAATATCTGTTCCACCTATATTCTATAGTCTATACACTTCTCAACGTGAGTGGTTTAATATCATTATTTAGTAACTTATTCTCCCCATCTATAACTTTATATTTCACAACACGTATTTATGTTTCCTGCCTTGATCTAAATATCTTTAATTCTAATTCATTGTTGCTTGTTTTGTTTTTATCTAATAATTTAATTACCTAATTTTATCACCTTTTTCTTTTAATCTCATATTTTAAATGTTCACTTTGCTAGTTCATCAGAGTTGTGTGATGTTCAATTCTCAGGTGAAGAGAGTGAAAACCAGGTCAGTCTATTGTCTTCCTGGCCAGTGCAATGCTGTAGGGGAGGGGGAGGACGAAGGAGGGGAGGGGTGGTGTGGGGGCCGGTGGACGAACCCACTAGTGAGGCTCCAGTGTACATTAGAACGCCGAGGTGTTAGCGTCTTAACTCCTGTCTTCGTCTCCAACCATTGAGAATTTTTACTTTGTGTGTGTGTGTGAGTTCATGTAGTTGGCCGAGTTGACGTAAACATTAAGCTAAGTGAGTATGTTGTTATTATCGTTTATACCAAGATAATGAGAAACAGTGTTGATGGTACAGTTGTTACCACCGTGTTACCACTTGTTGATACACACATTAGCCTGAACGATCATGTGACGTGAGACAAGTGACTAAGTGAAGGAAACGACACAGAGTTGACTAACGCAGTTTTACAATGAGCGTCATTTTTCGATGGTTGGCCCGGTGTGGCCAGGGCTGTGGCCTGATGCTACTGTGTATACTGTGTGTGGTCATCCCCCAAACACACAGTCTAGTCGTCCCTCACACATCCTCCTCCTCCCTCACCCCACAACAACTTCAAGGTATCGGGTGGTCACATGAGGCACCCCAGGGTGGAGGTGAACATTCAAGACAGAGCATAAGTCTCGATGACTCCATGTCAGTGGATCTCCATAATGCAACAAGTAGCGCTGAGAACGTCGACGAGGACAACCTGGTGACTGTGTCCGAGGAAAGATTAGCACACAGCGCCACGCACCAACAGGTAAGCCGCCACCATGTTCATCACATAATATCTATCGAGCCGGAGCCTTATTTTTGGGGGGTGGCTGTGTCTCCAGGCACTAGGTCAGTCGCCGCCCCAAGTCTGGGTACCGTAAAGGACGGGTCACTCACCTTGCCTCCGTCCCCGCGGGTCATAACTAGTAACGGAGCACAGTTGGTGGAGGTCCTCGAACCACATACCTACCCCGGTCACCCATTATTTGCTTCACATTCTGACATCACTACCTGGAGATCACACCATGACCTCACTAATCAAGGTTTTTCCGATACTCACACGCCAGAAGACACACGCGACAATAGACAAAAGACAACAGACCGAGACGCTGTTCAACATCACACACCTAGTACAGGTTTATTAACCGTGACGTCTAGTGCGAGGCGCAAAAACAGTGGCCATGCTGAAATAAACAATGTGGGTTGGCATGTGGAGGCGAGCACAAGACAGACAAGTGTGAAGGATAATACAAGCCAGGCAGGTGTGGAGGATAATACAAGCCAGGCAGGTGTGGAGGATAATACAAGCCAGGCAGGTGTAGAGGATAATACAAGCCAGGCAGGTGTGGAGGATAATACAAGCCAGGCAGGTGTGGAGGATAATACAAGCCAGGCAGGTGTGGAGGATAATACAAGCCAGGCAGGTGTGAAGGATAATACAAGCCAGGCAGGTGTGGAGGCAAGCACAAGACAGACAAGTGTGGATGCCTGGATAAATCAGGCACGTGGGTTAACAAAGCAAACAGGTGTGGAGGCAAGCATCACAGGTAGCCAGGTGAGACAGTTCCCTAGAGGGCCAATAACGGGAGGCGACGACCATACCTCCTCACGCCCGGGCCGCTCCTCCACACCACCACAAAGTTACACTAACCCAGTAGTCATTGCTCGTCACCCGTTACCTTCACCAGGCCCCTTACCACGGCGTGGCGCGCTTTCTGCCTCACAGGAGGACGGGGAGAATATCCAACATGCTGCCTCCTGGGCACAAGGACATTTCAGTACAAGGGAATTAGCTGAGAGTCCCCGAAGAGTCGTTCCTCACTCCAGAGGCAGCGTACGAGATAGCGATAACAGCCAGGTGGGACAGCAGGGTGTTAGTACGTCATCCTCGGTTACTCAGAGTTACCCACAACTCAACAGACCTATTCCTTACGACACTGCTAGGGATCATCACCCGCTTCTTGATGAGGTGTTGAACAAACAGCTCCAGGCCAAATCTCACCCTGTTTTCACAGGTGGTCACTCCCAGGTCGTGTTGGCGTCACATCTTCCACACTCCAGGAACACTCCGGGGCACGAGGCGGAACTCCAGCCCGAACAACTTCCACAACCAAACTTCACGTCATCTATAAAAGTTTATATCAGTCCAGAGTCTAAGACCAGCAATGGAAAAATTTCCACAGACTCTACGCCAATACATCCTGGTGATCACAGTAAAGCTACAGGTGCCAGGTCGTCATACAGACGCCAGTATGTGAAACTGAATCCTCTGCATGTCCGGCCGTCAAATGGAGGCAAACCCGAGGCTCTGAGTTCCACACCACTGGCACACCCCGAGCACAGCAACTCCTCCAGAACCGACCTCTCCCAGCACGTCAACCCAAAAAGGAGGAGGAAGAGACCCACGACGCGGCGACCTGCAGGAAGTCCGCCGGCGTATGAGAGTGGTGGGCCCGTCGATCCCGCCCAGCTGATCCTTCAACAATCTCACTTCCATCCAGCCGCTCCTGGACGACCCCCATCCGGAGTCATCGCTCAACCAGCCCCTGTCATCCCTGAGACCCTCATTGGCTCTACTGAGGCCCCACCAACTTCCCTCTTCTTCGTCAAGAATGTAACAGGCAATTCAGATTCGCGTCATCCCCCGTCGGTGGTAGAGCCAAGCGTCTTACAGGTCAGCGGCACACAGGACGGCCAGGATTTAGGTCCTTCTCCATTTTTCTCAGGACATCCTATTCAGCCACCTTATGTGTTCACTACCGCGCGACCTGCCAGCAGCCCGGTCCGTCCTGCCAGTCTCCTCATTTCGTCAGGATCCACCACACTCCCGCCCATCACGGTGCCTCCTCCCGGATACAACCCACTGCTTGAGAATTTCCAGAGGCTGGACGTAGTGGAGGTAAATAACGACAGGAACTCTGGCGGTGTACACATCCCCGCACCTCAGTTCCCTTACTCACTCCCTCCACCTTCAGATTTCTACCCCAGCGCATCTATCCAGGACTATTTTGCTCAGTCACAATCACATGCACCGGTTCCTAGTTTCCTTGGGTCATCCAGTCCAGAAGTTTCAAGCCAACACACTGCTGCTTCCTCTCTTTCGTCACCAGTTTTAAGGATCCCCGGAGCCGTACCCACACGACCCCCTCTTAGGCAGCCCATCATAGTGTCCAACAACACAGTTGTTAATGTACACAACACAGAGCATATCATTCCTTTTCTTGGTAATAATACTACATTTGGTCTCCTGAAGCAGATTGCAAAGTTGACAGTGGCAAACTCTGGCGAGCAAACACCGACTGATCATAACACCAGACCAGAAGTTGCAGCTACGCAAAAACTAAATGCTCTTCTTGGAGGCTTAGAACACATACATAGCCAGAACACCAGCCAGGGAGCACAGACAATGAAACTATCAAGTGGAATTTCTGTACCAAATCCTAGTATACACGTCCTTCCTCAACAAGTCCTTCCTGCCACCTCCCCTATTTCCCCACCACAATATCCTCCCAGCTACCAACACCCAGGGCTTCTGGGCCAGGGATTTCCACTAACCTCTGTCGCCGCCACTAACCCACAGACTGATGTCAACAACTCACCCGGCCCTATACTAGCGTATCTTCCAGGCCACCTCCCACAGTCAAATCCCCAACAGTTACAATACCCACAGAGACCCTACCCACTAAGACCCTACTTACAAAGGCCTTACTTACAAAGACCTCTCCCACAGCAGTTTTATCCGCCGTTTCCTGGATATGAAAACCCTTATGGGCATCAGTTTGGAGGTTTCGGTCACCATCCTCCCGGGTCACCCAACCCGGAAGGCCAAACTTTGGACCCAAACATGGGTGAAAATGGTGGGGGGGCGTCAGCCAGTGTTGCTGCCTCAGTAACAGATAAAACCTCGTCAGCGTCCTCAGAAGCAGAAGGGAGTGATGGCGTTGTATCGTCATCAACAACCGTCATAAGAGGCGGAACATCAACTAGTAACAACAACTTTTACCGGCCTCGGCCTGGGCAGGACTCGGGGACTTCTGCCGCCAGTCCTTTTGCTGCAGGTTCTCAACGTCCTGGACCACGACCTTCTCCTACAGACGTCAGAAGACCTCGACCCAGACCTCCAATCATCGTCGACGGCTACCTGAACAGAACGGCAGTTCCCCAGGACGTCTTCCCAGGAGCCAAAAACGTGAACGTGCAGTGTTCCCGCAGACATGGCTGTCCCATGTTCATTCTCAGGACGCGGCCAGACAGTCCACTCCCCAGAGACCGAAACAAAAACACTCACATTTTAGACGAGGCTTTTGAGAAAAGACCTGGAGGTAACATAAACATCGCATGTGACTACCAGGAAGGTTGTCCCACATATATCATCAACACCACCCCGGCACCGCTCCAAACCTCCACCACGCCGTCACCTTCACAAACTTCCCCTACAAGAGCACCATCACAGCCAGAAGCTTCCTCCTCGCTGTCACAAAACTTACCTGCCACTCTGTCTGATGCTGACCTCCTGGACGCTGTTACACTGGTACTCGGACTTCTCAACCAGACTGGTGGCCTCGACTTATCAGATGAAGAAGGAAGTTTGACTGGTGACTTCGATTACATTCTTCGGGGTGCAGGTATTGAAGGATATGATGACCTCCTCGCACACACTCCTGGAATTGTACCTCCCATAAATCCCCAAAATATCCGGCCAGGAGTCCAGTTTGTGCCGCATGAAGCCCCTGTCCCTACACCAAGTCCTCTGGCCCAGCACATTGGTCTTCAGAATCGACCTAATTTTAAAGTGGTCCGTGTGCCTGAGAATACGGTCCTGAACCCACCCTCGTTCTCAGATCTCCTGGACAACAAACAGAGCCTCCAGGTGAACCCTCTCCTGACCAGCGAGTTTGGCAACACTCGTGACCCAACTCAAAATTTCCTCGGTCAGCCGGGCACATACGACTTGCTGAAGAGCCAACTCGTGCAGGCACATCTTGGCTCACTACAAAAGACTGGTTTGTATGTGACCCGCCAGGCGCCACTACAAGGCCACAACCTGCAGAAGGGCAGCCTTGACGATGCCCACATGGGTCAGGTGGCCGCAACGACACCTCCATCACTGGCGGTCATCTTGAGTCTAGAACAACAGAAGATCCCGAATGAGCCTCCGCTGGTGCCACAAGACCCCCAGGAGGGCCACCATCACCACACCATGATGAGGCAGATCCTGGCAGGCGCCCTCGTCACTGTCCCCATGGCGACGGCTCTTCTGGGTGCCCTGGGTGCCCCCGCGGCCATCATGGCGCCCATTGGGTTGGCCATCCCCGCCCTCCTCACCATGGGTTTTATGGATGTCAACAGCAACTCTGGAGGTTTTGGCAGCCACTTCCGTCGCCATGCCCACGGCCACCACCATCACCACCAAAACAACAACAATCAGCCTACGACCTCCTCCACCATCAACCGTGTAAGTTCTGCATCATTGTCTAACTTCAGCACCGTTGTCTTAAATCTCTGCCTGCATGAGGGACCACCATCCTCACTCATGCACACTCCTTGCTACTGCACCATTTCTCACTCCTACGCTCCAGCCAGGATCTCGATGATCCTAAGCCATCCGGTTTCAATTAGCACAGCTTCAAGATTTAATGTCCAAATCATTGTTTTTTTACCCTAAAGGTAGCTTAGTAAACGAGAATCTCTCTCTCTCTCTCTCTCTCTCTCTCTCAGCACAGTGCATGACGCTCCTCCACCGGTAATCAGCATTACATTGCCTGTCTAATTATCTACACACCCGTACCACTTTACAGCAATACCTGTCACCGTCGTAGGAGCCAACCCCAGCAAATTTCCTTATACAATAATCTACATCACACCTACTCCCTCCCTCGACTGTGAGTTGGAGATAATAACAATATGACCACGAATATCCCGGTAACTTTGGCCCTCATCACCGCTAACAAAGAAAGAAAATATTCGTCGGGCGACTCTCCGGTAAACATGTCATAAAAGAATGAAAGGGAACGTCAGACGCTGCTGAATGCTCGTGCTGGCGTTGTTTTCTCGGGTCTTAGGGGACATGGCGGTCTAGATATAGTTACGGCCAGGAACTGTCAAGAATAAGTGGTTCTTTTGCTTATATTTACAACGTTTGTGTGTTCGTCTGTGTGATGACACGACTAACACACTTTTATTACTTCACTTGTACTGTATATTAGTGAGGTGACAAGTACAGTGTAGTACAACAGGAAACAGGGGGTAGTAGTGAAGTACATATGAGGCTCACTGTACATACAGCTACGAATGCTTTAAAATAACTATACCAATATCAGCATGAATTTGTCAGTCTTAGTCTTATTACAGGGACGTACTGTAATGTATGTTAGTCCAGGGGATCACCTGAAGGAAGATTTAGACATCCTAACGCTGCATGGGGAGGGGTTAAGTTAGTACTGTTAGTTTAATTATGTTAGGTTAGGTTAGGTTATCATTAAGGTGCTTAAATCTAAGGTGAAATAATCACCTAATCTTCAGGTGATCCAATCTTGGTAATTCCCACACTGTAGCAGAAGGTAGATAGTAGTAGAACACGCCTGTGTAACTCATATAGTGATGCAGTTTTAAGACGCCAATCACACATCAGTAGACGTAAATGACACAGTTTGGTATAGCAGTCGGATCACCTGAAGATTAATTACCCTAACGCTAACCTACCGTAACTTAGCCAACCCCCAGGTAACGTTAGAGTGGTTAATCATCAGGTGATCTCAACAGGTGGCAGGTAGGTGTGGTACTTGTGAGTGTCATCATAATACACGTAGCCCCTCAGGCAATCTTACCTGGAAACTAATGTTCTTATGTACAGCAACTCTCTTATATATCAGTAATTTGCAGTACCTAAATAAAGTGTTTACAGCGTACATTAATAAATTATTTTAATTGTAATATTTTCATTAATCTTCAGAAAGGTACTATACTGTGTAAGACGTGTGGTTGAAGGGTAGTATAGTGAACAGGGCCGGATTCAGGAGTGGGCAAAGTGGGCAGCTGCCCAGGGGCCTCCACATATCAGGGTTGGTCGACTTGAAACCACATGAATGACTCCAGTCACGTCTCACTTTTGTGTGTGTGTTGGGAATTTGTACACTAACAATAAATATAGTTAATTAAAAATTTCTCAATGTTCTAATTTCCTCAACATAACTGCATATGGCTTCAAAATTCTCCAAAGAAGTGTTCAAATTTCAAAATTTCCCCCCGGAACTCCCAGATGTTTAGGCTCGCTTCACTCGCCACCCCACCCTCTTGGGTAGTTATAATGAGAGGGGCCTCCACAAAGAGGCTGCCCATGGGCCTCCACAGGTCTAAATCCGGCAATGAATTAATGAACGAGAGAGAGAGAGAGAGAGAGAGAGAGAGAGAGAGAGAGCTGCACTTTATTACACTAAAATGAATCAACAAATTTAAAATATTCATGTTGGTAGTTGCGGCCACCTTAGCGTCTCCTACACCGCATTCCACAGTTTCTTACTTCTATCGTATAAGAACGCCATTGTAGGTAAAGTACAGGTTGGTCGAAAGTTCGTCTGGTAAAGATATTACCCATGTTACTGGTGGAGGGGGAGGGGGGGAGGTGCTGTGGAATGTTAGTGTTTGGTGCTCTGTTGTGGTCGGGTCACTGACTAACGATTGTACTGTTCTCTCTACACAGCTGCTGTCTGTTGCATGAATGTCCCGTACAACACAACGTCATGTGCCGGAGGTGCTCTAAAAATAAGTTATTCACTAAAACAATTAAAAATACAAACATAAATCTTATTTACTTAGTCACAGTTGATGGGAGATGTTATGGCGTCACATGAACCGCGAGGCAAAATATACACTGGACTGCTAACACTGCCTCGGAAAACCAACTTATCAAAATGAGATTTGGAAACGGTGTGTTTACGAGTGTGTAGGTCTTAGAAAGATTAACATTTGAGGAATAATACTAATCTGGTATCCCTGTTTTATTAAATACACAAATAACGGTTATAACAACAATATATAATACAAGGGGTGTGCACTATCCACTAGGCTTTGTGATCAAATATTTGTGGTAATAAATATCGCCGTCACTACCTTATAGTTCTTACATATTTTCATAACAAATATTTATGAGTTCGAAAAACTAAAGCAATAATATTCAACTTCAGTCATTTTTTCTTGCCATTTTAAGACAGCGATTACACACGGACTCTACACCTAATTATTTTACCCCAAATGGAAAGAAGCATCTAGCGGCTTACCTGGGCTATCTTTGGTTCAATAAACTTATTGTTGACCATGATTTGTATAAATACGACAGACACATTATTTATACACATGCGCTCTGTACACTATACAAGCTCGTGTGTATACTTGTATGATGATTTACTTAATACATATCTATCTACCTACCTACTTTATCATACCCGACACACACACACCGGTTTTGGGGACTACAAAGTGGGTAAACAGTGGGGTTGTCCGTTACTGTGTTGACTCTGGCGAGGGAACGGCGGCTCCTTCCTTCATTAATATTTATTGTTCACTCTTGCTATTTCGGCTAACTCTTAATTTCCGGGATATAAGATAACGGTTAATGGTTATTATTACTGTGTTTGTTTTTGTTTATCATACCTAAGAATGCTTTTGTCTTTAATATTTATCAAGAATTGTTCATGAGTAACCTAAACGATGTTTTCTTTTGTTTTCGTTCTGGTATCAATATGTTTTTTATTACTATTATTGCAAGCCTCTACCCACATGGTACCGGGTGGTGAAGTGCATCATCACATTCTTCCATCATTCATCCTCTTCTAGTAAGTTCAGATGCGTACTTATGCCTACGAATATATTAGCCTTAGAATAGATAGCCAAGAAAGTTACCATTAAAACATCTTAATTCTATCACCTGAATATTTGCCCCCCCCCCTCCCCCACCTGCTTATTTCCGATTTTCTCCTCTGCTCAAGTAAATCAACTTTAGAAATGATAAGAATGAGTTTCGTATGATATTTTTTTAATGCACTATCAAGATTAAGCCTACCAAACTTTACCATTAACATATAAATATCCTAAACATTCTTCACAGAAAGTTTCCAACATGATTTACAATTAATCTTTTTAGTTGTTATCCTCTCGAATTTCTTGTTGCCTGTTGACCGCAAAGAGAAGATTAGGAATCCCTGCTTAATTCGCCTGATGATTGAACACCCTAACCTAACCCCCCATACAGTGTTAGGATGTTTATTCATCAGGTGAAAAAAGCGGGTTCCCAATCTTCATGAGATGTAAAAAAAAAAGTCCAAATGGTTCTCTAACAGAACTCCATCATTGCTGAATATCCACCGGCTCCGAGTGACCGGTGGGTGTTCAATTAAGCCTTCCCCTGTACCTGTAGACAAGTTAGAGAGCGCGTCACAGGACAACTCTCTACTCGGCAGTGGTTCATATACCCCTGAATTGCCAGCGATCGCTACTCACGCAATGACAGAAATCACAAACAAACCAGCTGTCACTCATTCAAGGATGACCCTCAGTTGACAAAGGCCTGGCGAATTACTAAAGTTGATTTACATAAACTAATTCAAGATTGAGCTTGCTGGACTTACTGGGAGGGATCATGAGTATAGCTAACTCACTCATGTTTTGCGTTTGTGGAGTATAATAATAATCATAACTGTTAAAACAGACTAGCAGTCAACGTGACCATGGCACTGTCATCAAGTATTACCAAAAAAGTTGTTCCTTACCTTGATAACCGTCCCCATCTTCTCAGAACTGTAATTTAAGTATTTTGTTTTTTCTTTTATGTTTCTCCCGGGCTATTCCAATCCAGGCGGTGTCACACTAGCACTTTTTCTATAATTTTCTTGCATCAATTTTCTCAAGATTGTAATTTTTCTGAGGTAACTCTATCACACAAGCCTAGAGAGAACTAGGGAGGCCAGTCTGTCCTCGTTCGTCAATTGTAAACAAGCCGCTCTATGTCAAGCTGTATTTACGAATAACAACATAAAGATAAAATTTACACATAAATAATATGTTAAGAATGCTATACTTAATTCTTTTAAAATTTAATTTATTCATTTTACGTTGGTGAATATTTATTTTATATAACTATCATCATTATCGAGTATAGATCTTAACTTGACCACTGAAATTGCCGTCAGCCAATCAGCCAGGAGGAAACTAGTGACGCCGCCTTAAGTAAACTATAAAGTGTCCAGTGATTGTTAGTTTAAGTTATGTAAGTTAGATTAGGTTCAAATCACTGCCCGACGACCACCATAACAAAAACATTTCACAAGAGACTAACTTACCAGATGGTTCTCATTTCTTTGTTTTATAATATATTTTGGGTTAACAATATATAAAAAAAATGCAGAATATTGAAAATAATAACAATACTTTGGGTGCACAAAAGTTTAAATTACCAAATATTCTAGTATGTAAGATGGCCAGTTTAAAGAAGCTACCCATTTAAAATATCTCATTTTCTCTTATTTATTGATATTATTCTTGGGTAACTAAGTTATTACGATACTGAACTGACGACAACATACAGTATATGCATGCCAGTGAATATTGAGTCATTTTTGTTGTCTAATCCACCTGTACTGACTTCAGGAAGACAATGACAATAACAAGCAGGACCAGAAGAGTAACGACGTGACCTCCAGCAACCAAGATGACGACAGCAGAACCAGGAGACCAGGCCAAGGTCAGAGGCGAACATTGCCTAGTTGTTGTTTTTATCACTTCATCATTATCAGCTTACTAACCGTTCTGGAAACTTGGTGATTCAGGGATGGTGAGGTCATATACGGAGTTTAATCAGGTCAATGAGACTGATCACTGGAGAAAATAGGGCCTTTTCTAACCTGCCTAAAGTAAATTTCGTGTTTATTTTAGCAACTTTCAATGAGCAAGTCCTGAACTTCGTCTAGTATCTTTCTTGGGCTGAATGGATCATATGTATAGTGTGAATCATCCTTAACATATTTTGTAACACAGGACACTCCCAAGCCATCTACACCACACCTACACACACACACATTAAGATTTCCCGGTGCTACAGGTGGTGGTGGTGGTGATAGGCGACCCAGTTCATCTCCTAATAACGGAGGAGGGATGGTCGGAGCTATCAGGAGGGCCGTAGGTGTACTGCCCATGGTCGCCTCCCACCTCACCTCCAGGATGGGTCTAGGACGACAACGACAACGACGCTCAGCTGATCAAGGTAACATAAAGCAAGAAGGAATATCCAATATTTCTTTACCTCTATAGTTTTCATCTTTATATCATAAACATATATCTGTAGTATGTCAACTAACGAGCCGATCAGTGGCGAGGAGGATAAACGTAAAAAGTAATATATACGTATTTACTTTGCAAGTAATGTATGAAACTCGTGAAAGGTAATTCAAATTCTATCACATAAGAACTACTCATAAACTGTATTTTAATACCTGCAGTTTCACTTATTTAATCCTGTTTGAGTTGATACCTACCTTAAGAAAAGCCATGTACTTATGTACTACTATTACCTACAAATAGATTTTGTTTTACACATTGGCGACGATGTTTAAAATTATTTCCCTTTCTAGAATTGACCACTTCAACTTATACTACAATGACACGCTCTGAACTCTCACCGGAAACCACCCAACCCAGCCTGACACAAGAAGACGAAGACGTCCCCACACCATCGTTTCTTCTAGAGCTGCAACAAGGAACCGACGCCCCCTCACCACCTTCCCTCCTGCAGCAGCAACAGGAGTATTTCCCCGCATCCCCTCTTCATTTGCAACAGCAACAACAAGAGGAGGTGCTCATCTCACCTTCTGCCCTGCAGCAGGACCTGGACACCCTCAGGAATATGACACACTACTACTCCAATTTAAGCAGTCACAACAAAAACAGCAGCAACTCGGTGAGGACACCAACTCCAGACGAAGTTAAACTGCACCGCAAGTATCTGCTGACGGTCCTGCAGAAGTTAAAGAAAATAAATAAAGAGATGAAAACCTCCGTGGGTAACTCTACAGCTCATCAGGGAGGTGTGCTTACAAAACTCCAACAAGATATTGTGTCCCCTTCGGCAGCAGTTCCTCCTCCTCAGCCAGATAATTACCCCGAACACTCACCAGAGAGTTATGAAGACGCGCCTCTTGTGTCCCACGATGGTAGTACTTCACCTGTTGACCAAGACCTTCATCTCGCAAGTTCTGCTTCTAAGGACCAGTTACCCGAAGACGAAACAAATGAGAAACCTGTCGGCGTAGGGGTGGCTGTCGACAGGATTGGACAACCCCCACTTGGCGTGAGTCTAAGCAGATGGGTTAAGTTAGTTTAGTTTTAAGGTAGTTAAAGCTAATGAATTTCAAGTCACACCGATTATTTATCTGTTAGTTTCAGGAGGATTTGAGTCGCTTCTCGTGCATATGAGAAGCTTCGGCAAGAAGCAAACAAATGACAAAAGAAATAAAAAAAGCCAGGAAGCGCAATTAATCCACTCCGTAGCTTGTGTTAATCTAACCCGAAGCACTTCCTCATACAGTATATGTGATTAGCATACACACAATAATGGTGGAGTAATCATAGAGAAGGTTCAACTATCTACACCAGGTGTCAGGTGGTGTTGAGGCAACGAGTGATATGTCATATTTTTCGTTCAGTTTAGTTCTTCATTTGTGGATATCATGACATATATTTAGCTTCCCTATCTACCCCTGTCTATTATTTTATCTCATTGTCCCTTTACTCATCTTTCATAAGCTATCTCTCGATTTCTGGACCCCCCCCCCCTCTCTCTCTTTCTCTCTTACAGCTTTCTTTCCTCTCCAATGTATATCATTCTCTCTTCGCCCCCCCCCCGACACACACACACAGCACCACCACTACTCACCCCGTCCTTCCGTCCACAGAACACAGACCTCCAGAACCTGGATGTAGGCGCTGCCTCACTACTGCTGAACCAGTTCCAGACACAAGGACAGGGATTGAACTTGTTACCTTCTGCCTTCCTTGGGCGTCCACCACCCCTCACCACCACCACCTCCCCACCAGCGTCACCACCCACGCTTCCTCCAAGATTTGACCTCATCTATGGCCTACAAACAGGTTAGGTTATGTCGGGTTAGTAGTGTCAGATTTAGATAGTTACTTACTTAAATTGGTTATTTAGTTAAGTTGGAAGTAGTCAGTTGTTTGACCAATTAGTTTGTTTATTACTTAGTTTGTTGGTTATAACAGTAATAAGTATTTAAGTTAATTACTTTTTTATCAGTTTTAACTTGTAAATACATAACTCATCTACTTAATAAATTAGTAGTTACTTTAAAACTATGTTGAGTTTGTCATTGCTAATAATAATAGTAATAATAATTTATAACATACAGCCACACAAGAGCATAACAATATAAAACAAGAATAATAATCATACAAACAATAACATTATGTATGACATGTATAAAATTGTACATAAATACCTGAAGTATTAGTAATATCTGGCCTCTGCTGCTGGAAGGTCGTGTAGGTATTATAATTTTTAATATATATTTTAAAAAATCTTTGTATTCAGGAGCGATTTTTGTTTAGGTTTTTATTATGTAGTGACATATAATGAAACGCATTGTTCACCAGCTATGAATTAATAACATATACTGTACTGTACTGTATGACCCAGAAGTAGATGCCAGATATCGCTAAGGGTAGAAGGAGATTTAGTTATGATAAGGCTTTACCTATTGCATGATCTGACACCCTAGCCTAGCGGGTCTTATGACTCTTATCTCTATAAAGCTTATTATCTTTTTAGGTATTAATTATCTCTTCTAGGACTATAATAATATTAATGTCCATTGTATTATTTTAGCTTCTTTTCTAATATAAACTTTCTCCTTTATACTGTAAGGTTTAGTATACTGGATCTATGCTCATGTATATACTGCATGCTGTATATATATTTCGTTACTAATACAAAGGTTTTCTCCTGACACTTGTAGCGGCTCTTGACTGTTTGAACGCCCAGCTGTGTGTCTATATACATCTCACTAGTGTTGGGTTAGCATTAGGGTGTTTAATCAAATGAAATAAGTTGGGCTTCCTAATCTTCACGAGGTATGTTACTCCGCCGCTATACTGTCGTCCCTCAGACGCCTCCTTCTGCTTCAGTGCCCTGCCGTCCTCCTCCAGCTACCCTCTTGTCCCTCACTTCCTTCTTTGTGTCCTCCTAGACCTTCGTCATCAGCTTCTTCCCGTCACGTGCTGCTGCCTCCTGGTGGTTGTCCGGGCAATATTCTGAAAACTGTGACCCTCCCTGGCTGCTACTCACTGTATCTCTTTGGAATCTGTGGTTGGGTGTTATTGTGTGACAGTGGACAATCATTTTCGCCACACAGACAGTTGTCCTCAGTTCGATTCCCTGCACAGTATAAGCTGGACCAGTTCCTTTCGTCCCGTCTACCGAGTAAGGGATTCTAAGTAACCCAGCGTCTTCTTCTTCTCAGCTGATAAAGACCACATATGATGGCCGCTTGGTGAATCTTATTTCACTGATTATTTTCATGTTTCTTAACTTGAACCTCCACCTTCTATCTGCCTCTCTGTAGCACATCTGCCTCAGTGGTTCCTTCCCGATATATTTCCTGGTAACTTCCGTGTGAGGACTTCCGAGCTCAAATATCCATCTCTCCCCCTTCAGCGCCCCTCCCCCTGGCCTCGTCTGTCAACGCTGCCCCCTTTCCCGCCCGTCCCCTCCCTCTGGCCTCGTCTGTCAACACCGCCACCTCCCCTATCGGTCCTCATCAGTTGGGTTCGTCTGTCAACGCAGCCAGCCTCCCCCTCCATGTAATCCAGCAGTCTGAAGCGATGGGGTCAGCCGCGGGATTTCAGGGAGGACTACCACCATCCCTGTTTTCTGTAGCTCTCCAGAGCGGTGCCATCGTCCCTCAACCAGGGGTAGTGTTCCCTGCCCAGACTGCCAACCTCCCTCCCTCCATATTATTCGGTGACCCAAGTCAGTTCTCAGACTATTCGGTGTTTGCTAACGCCCTTTCAAATCTGGAAAGCTTCACGGAGCCACCGAATGTCTTCATGGTGGACGGTCAGGACTTCCAGGAGCTCGACTCACTACAGTTGGCAGGGCCGCCGTCTCTACCGTTCAGCACGTCAGAATTTCAGGATGACGTAGTGGTGCAGCCAGCGACACTCATCCTCCAGAACACTGACCTGGCCACTGCCATCACCAACTTCATCAACAACCTTGTAGACGCCATCAGCCAGCTCATTACTGACTTACAGACAGCCTTCGCCGACAACACCGGCCTGGCGCTCCTGCTGCTGCTGGGGCTGCTGCTCCTCCCTTTCCTCCTGCAGCACCTCAGCGAAAAACACGGCGGCGGTGGCTACGGTGGTGGCGGCTACCACCGGCGAGTTTACTCCATGCAGGGCCGCATGATGGTGACGGAGACTCTCGCCCAGCGAGTACTGGAAAACATAGAACAACTAGAGGCGACCCTAGGGCATCGTTAACGACACCACGATGTCAGAAATGATAAAAATTCTCCCAATAATGTATCACCCGCCAGCGTTATACCTCGTCATGCTAACAGTGAGGGACACATCTGAGTAAACCACAGTAAAACGTCTCCTCAGTTCTCTCGCTGGTAGGAAGATCACTGGACGCATCTTTAAGAACTCTGACTCATGTGTGTGTGTGTGTGTGTGTGTGTGGAAGCCGCAGAGTCTGCTTTAAATTTGCCGAATTCTTTAACGACTTCAGATTACACGGAAAGAGTTTCAACCCAACTTGGGTTTTTATCATAATCATGTATAATCACCATAATTATTTTAATCTAATCGTCACTCCTAACCTACACACAGTATGGCCACATAATGTATGGGGTCACAAAACATGTATATAGATATAATGTTAAAAATTATACATATTTTATTGTACATAAACTCATTTGTACCAGAGCCACAATACAGGAGGACATTAATAGGTTTTATTCTACAGTTTCTTAATTTATTAATTTAATCCAACCTAACCTAACCTGACCTAATCTAACTAAACCTAATCTAACCAAACCTAACTTAACCTAACCTAACCAAAGCAAACCAAAGCTAACCAATCCCAACCTAACTTAACCTAACTTAACCAAATCAAACCCAACCTAACCAAAGCTAACCAGACCCAACCTAACCCAACCTAACCTAACCAAAAACCAACCTAGCCTTACTAGATGCATTTTTTCTAAGCCTTGTTACCAGATTAATGAATAAAACTTGTACATACTACTTTAATGAATAACACCGATGTAAATACCATTATCAAGTTTATGAATGAAGTTAGATGTTGTAAATAATAATAAGTGAATAATAAAATGGATGAGTTTTTAAAGGCACTTAAGAGGTGTTTCAATATAGTAGTGGAGGAGTATTAAGGCTCTAAAAAGCACCACCATCACCCTGGGTTCCATTTAAGCACCATCACCCTGGGTTCCATTTAATCACTATCACCCTAGGCTCCATTTAACACCATCACCCTGGGTTCTATTTATCACCATCACCCTGGGTTCCATTTAATCACTATCACCCTAGGCTCCATTTATCACCATCACCCTGGGTTCTATTTAAGCACCATCATCCTGGGTTTCATTCAATCACTATCACCCTAGGCTCCATTTAACACCATCACCCTGGGTTCTATTTATCACCATTACCCTGGGTTCCATTTATCACCATCACCCTGGGTTCCATTTAAGCACCATCATCCTGGGTTCCATTTAACCACTATCACCCTAGGCTCCATTTAACACCATCACCCTGGGTTCATAAGAACATAAGAAAACAAGGAGTCTGCAATAGGCCGGTTGGCCTGTGCATGGCAGCTCCTGTCGAGAATTACTACCACTCTCTATCATCCATGAATCGATCTAGCCTCCTTTTAAATCTTTCCAGCGTTCCAGCACTTACTACAAAGTTGCTAATCTTGTTCCACTTGTCCACCACCCTATTTGTGAACCAGTTCCTTCCTATCTCCCTCCTAAACCTAAACTTATCTAACTTAAATCCGTTGCTACGAGTCCTATCCTGCTCGGATACTATAAGAACTTTATCTATATCTCCTTTATTGATTCCTTTCACCCACTTAAATACTTCTATCATATCTCCTCGCACTCTTTGTCTTTCTAGGGAATGCAAGTTTAGTTCCTTTAATCTATCTTGATACGGAAGGTTTCTAAGTCTCGGAATCATTTTCGTCATTCTTCGCTGCACCGACTCCAGTGAATTGGTATCCATTCTATAATAAGGGCACCAGAACTGAACAGCATAATCGAGGTGCGGCCTGACTAGTGCAAGATATAGTTGCAATAAGACCTTTGCACTCTTATTACTTACACTTCTAGATATAAAACCCAATACTCTGTTAGCCTTATTTCGAACATTAACGAACTGTTTTCTAGGCCGTAGGTCCGGGCTTACAAGTACCCCTAAGTCTCTTTTACAAGTCGACTTCTCTAGGTTGATGTTGTTAAGGCTGTATACATTGACAGTATTTGTTCTTCCAATATGAAGTACGCTGCACTTGCTGGTGTTGAATTTCATTTGCCATTTTTCTGACCACTCCTACAGTTTTTTTAAATCCTCCTGTAGTGCATTTGCATCCTGCCCTGAATTAATTTGCCGCCCTATTTTGGTGTCATCCGCAAACTTGCTTGTGTCACTGCTGATCCTAGTATCTAGATCGTTTATGTAGATTATGAACAAGAGTGGGCCCAGTACTGACCCCTGGGGAACCCCACTGGTTACACAGTCCCACTCACATTTAACACCATCTACGCTGACTCTCTGTGTTCTATCGGTGAGCCATGATTTTATCCAATTTAAAACTTTCCCCTCGATACCATGAGCCTTAACTTTTCTCAGAAGCCTCTGATGCGGTACTCTGTCAAATGCTTTGCTAAAGTCTAAGTAAATAACATAGTAATTTTCGTCATTATCTACTACCTCGAAGACTTTCCTGAAAAACATCAGCAGATTTGTTAGACAAGATTTTTCCTTTGTAAACCCATGTTGAGAGTCGTAGATTAATTTGGTTCCATTTAAGCACCATCACCCTGGGTTCCATTAAACACCATCACCCTGGGTATCATTTAACACCATCACCCTAGGATCCATTAACACCATCACCCTGGGTCCCATTAGACCACAGATATTACCAATAATGACTGAAAGAGCACCATTACGTCCCCAGTCGTCAAGATCAACACCATCACCACCATCACCATCTTCGTCATAAATATTCACCACCATTATCAGTCACCATCATCATAGTCACCATAAACTACCACCATTAACCACCACAATTACTCAAAGCAACATCACAATAGATCCGACCTAATAACAAACATTGTTATTTTCACCATCATACACACTATGAGTCATTACGCTTCGTTATCACTATCACTCTTCATCATCATCAGCCATAAAGGCCATAGTCATCTCACCACAATCTTCATCATCGTCATCATCATTATCATCATCATCATCATCATCATCATCATCATCATCATCACCACCACAAACACTACTACCACCATTACCACCATCACAATCATAACCATCATGATCAACATTATTTTACCCGTCACTATCTCCTGCAGCAGTGGATGATGAAATAGTCAGCTCTGACAGTGACGGCGACAGTGACAACGTCTTCCCTGCCTCAGCCCACCCGGCTGACCTCTCCACCCTCTCACCCTCCTCCCCCGGCCTCCAACCTCCTCTCTTTGGTCTATCATCACCCAGAGTGTTCCCCAGAGATCCCAGGCTACAGGATCCTCTTCCAGACTTTCTCGGTGCGTCACCACAGCAACCACAGCCGTTACCACCTGCCACAGCAAGTAACTTCAATTATCTCTCTGACGAGTCCCCGGAAGCCTCCCTCCCACAGACGATGGCAGGCACACACGCGGTGCCTCACAAGATACCGCACCCGGTCCAGAGTATCCCTCAGCCTGACCTCCTGGAAAATTATTTGGCTCTGGTCAAGGCTATTAATGTGGTTAAAGAGCTCAACAGAGTACGGCAAAGTCCTGTGTTACGTCAGGTGAGCGAGAGCGACACGAGGCTCACAGATGTTCAGGTACAAGAAGATTCTCCTGATTGGCTCTTCCTCAGAAATGCGGCACAGGACGTGTCAGATGCGGCGCCTAAGTTCATCACTGCCATCACATCACTCTTTAGTAACATCGCCACGGCAGGCAGTAACTTCGGCAAGGACACCGTTAAGGCCATCAGCACGCTCTTCGAGGACTTAGGTTCTGCCATCGACGAGACGCCGCCCATCCTGCTCCTCGGCCTCATCCCGCTCATGTTCCTGTTCATTACCTTCTTGTTTTCCTCCAGCAAACACTTAAGCTTCGGACACCCCATGATGGGCGGAGGCTACAGAGGCAGAGCCTTAGCAGAGTCTATGCACCTCGACTTGGACGCAGCAGAGTCAATGGCCCGCCTCATTTTGGGTCAGATCGATTCTTTTGAGGAAAAACTGCCGAATTAGACTCCACCAAGAGATTTACCGAGTGTCTGAAGTTACGTAGTGTTACTCTTTCGCATGTTATTAACTATGTTGGTCTATGTGCTAAGTGAAAGATTTTGAGGGGATAACTCTGGCATTAGACACAGCACCTCTACAGTCACTATAAGACATCCGCTGGGCATTACTGATGTATGTACAACCACACTGTGTAGTTATCTTGCTCATTATTGTCTCTCAGTACTGGTAGTTATGTAGATGGTTAGGAATATCTAAAAAGTTCTCTGCTGTTTCTTATTGTAAGATAATTACTCAGTATTAATATTGAATTTTAATTACTCCAGACCGGAGAGTTAAGTCACACATTATGCTGGACTAAACAATATTACATAATATTACTCTGATATGTTTCGAGGAAGTAATTAATAAATAGGTGTTAATTAAACTACAATTATAAAAGTTGATTATTCTCATTTTATAAATCTTGTGACGTCACGAAGACTCTGCCCCTCGTAAGGTAAGTCTGGCCACATGCTGGAGAGACACAAACGTCTTGGTAGTTTAATAAAGCAGACCAATATCTTAAGATTATTCAGGAATTTGGGTGAAAATAAAAGACAAAATACTTTTATTTTATTTTTTATTGAAAGTGAATAAAAGTTACAATAATACAGTGACATAAATGTTCAAAGTCACCATACTCATAATGCTGACGTTAGTGGTGAATTTTACAACACAGATCATCATACTGTTGCAACACAGATCATCATACTGTTGCAACACAAATCATCATGCTGTTGCAACACAGATCATCATACTGTTGCAACACAGATCATCATACTGTTGCAACACAGATCATCATACTACTCCATCTTTTTAACCATCGCCAGACGCTGTTCATTGCTCGTCCAGGCCTCGTTATAATGATGGGGGGTGAGAGAGTATGGGGTGAGGTTGCCCTAAAAGATGTCGTGTTCTTTGCTCACAACACCATAGCTTCAGGGTAATGATTCAATTGGCTGTTTGGTGGAATACTGTATACACGTGACACAATCCATACAGGAATTATAATGATGTAAATGAAACAAAAGCAAAACAAAGAAACAAGTAAATGATGTCGAGAAAACACAAAACAAAGACAAAAATAATAATACAAAAAACATAAGCAAAATAAAAACAAATAATATCTTACAAACAAAAACATTCCAAAAGCAAGGACAAGATATTAAAGCGAATTTATTTTCCCTATTTAATATCACATCACTTGTTGGTAACTTTTTAACTCTATTAACATGACAATAAAATAGCCGGGCCAAATATGCAAATAAAATCCAAATCCAAATCGAATCCGAGTCCAAATCTGAATCAGTGTCACTGGTTAGGGGCTGAATCGAAGCATCTTTGTACCAAGTCACTGGTATATATATAGAGTTTAGTATTACCCAGAACCCAAAGTTATATATTAGTATTATTTAATGACCTTTGACCTCTGTAATGGGGTTAAAAAAATTATAACACCTGTATTGACGTCTTTGTGAAACCGAATCCCAGATATATTGGTTCAAATACAGTGGACTAGTGAGCTCCAAATCCCCCCCCCGTACCAAAAAAGATATTCTCGACAACCTTAAAAGGCTCCAAATTACAATATTTACAGTAATACAACAGCTGTAGCGAGTAATCTTTGTCGCCAGAATCAGAGACAATGGTTCAAAATACAGCGGATGAATGGACGAGAAGCCCTCAAACTGTATATATCTAGAGGGTGACCTTTGACCCCTGTACAATGGTCAAAAGTATATTATAAAATTACCTATGCCACTATTTGACCTCTATACCAAGGTGCTTTTGTACGAAATCACACACACACACACACACACACACACACACACACATCTGAAGTTATTTATGAACTATAAAAAGAAATAATTGTGTCAACGTTCAATAAAAATAAGAATGAACAGCCGGTCAAAATATACGTCTGGGTGGTCTGACCTTAAACTCCTTAATTAAAAAAAAACCCACCTAAGACAGAACAAAGTAGATAGACTCAACAAGATAAAAAAAAACAAGAAGAAGAATAATCAATTGTTTACAAGAATAAGGAAAGACAAAGAGAAACAGATAATAACAACATAGAAAAACTTGATAAACACAACAAGAACGATAACAAACACAGAAACAAAATACAACTCTCATTATTATACAAAATAATTCAAACACCAGTATAGGAGAAATATAACAATGTCTTATATGAATATCTCTCCTAGATCTTAAAAAAATATTGTTTAGTGTACAACCTAAGACACAGTGAATGGTGGTCACGATCCCTGGCTAATGAAACACACTTGGATACAACAACATCATCTGTGGAGTATACGAAAACATCACATGTATACTAATAATTATGGTTATATCTACAAGGTAATTCACTCACTGGTAGACCAAAAGTATCGTTAAAATATCCTTAATGTTTTGGTATATTTTTTGGTCATGTTTTCGATGTTGTTCTCTCAAATATCTCTCTTACTCATTGGTTTGTTGTCTCATAAATAACGAATATGATAACGAAGCTCCGGGACTAGCCAACGAGTGATTCACCTCAACTCACTTAACATAAATAGCCTAAAATTTCTACATTCACATTGAGTCCTTTGATGACCATTCCTCTTAACTACAGATCATAATATAAATACATTCACTTGGTTGCCTTCACTTAAAACCCAAACAGTACAATCTTACCTATTTTAACTTAATTAGAGACGTTTGTTTACCTTAGCACCAGTTAGGAGACAATATTAAAGATACTCTCTCTCTCTCTCTCTCTCTCTCTCTCTCTCTCTCCCCCTTGGTAGATGATCCAGTATGCCTGTTTTTGCTTCGTATAAAAGACATCCTTCTGAATCAATGTCTCTAGTATAAGCAGTATATTTTCAAAGTGTTTGTAGTATAACCAACACACGTAAGGTTCAGTTCTTGGGGGTATAACGTAGTATATACTTCAGTGGCAGGTCTTGGGATATAGAACAATATACTTCCTACTGCTCCATCGCGAACTTTCCACGAACTCTAAATGGTCTGCTGAACTGAAAAGAGAGAGAAGAGTTAGTTAATGAAAGAGACTTAATGTGTTGCTTGAGTGAATTGTTCCTATGGTTAGTATATGAGAGTGGGTGTGAGAATGAGTGTGAGTATGAGGGAGAATGAGTGTGAGTATGAGGGAGAGTGAGTGTGAGTATGAGGGAGATGGGTGTGAGTATGAGGGAGAGTGAGTGTGAGTATGAGGGAGAGTGAGTGTGAGTATGAGGGAGATGAGTGTGAGTATGAGGGAGATGGGTGTGAGTATGAGGGAGATGGGTGTGAGTATGAGGGAGATGGGTGTGAGTATGAGGGAGAGTGAGTGTGAGTATGAGGGAGAGTGAGTGTGAGTATGAGGGAGATGAGTGTGAGTATGAGGAGAGGGTGTGAGTATGAGGGAGATGGGTGTGAGTATGAGGGAGATGGGTGTGAGTATGAGGAGAGTGAGTGTGAGTATGAGGGAGAGTGAGTGTGAGTATGAGGGAGAGTGAGTGTGAGTATGAGGGAGAGTGAGTGTGAGAAAGTGAATGTGTGGGAGGGAGCGAAAGTGTGTGGGTGTAATAAGACTATCATTAGAAGGCCCCATCACCAAGGTCACTCCAAAAGAAGTGCATCTCACCTCCCAGAACAATGTTTCGCTGACGTTTAGGTGTACCAATAGTCACAGCATTGATGTGACTCCTTAACTCTTAACAATATATATATATATATATGTATATATATATATATATATATATATATATATATATATATATATATATATATATATATATATATATATATATATATATATATATATATATATGTGTGTGTGTGTGTGTGTGTGTGTGTGTGTGTGTTAGGGATGACTTTGTATTACACAGACGAAGCGATTATTGTGTGTAAGGACAAAGTATTCCCTACTGGTGGACAGCGACACTTCCACTTCATTTTTACGCTTTTTCGGTAGCCGAGTCATGCAAGGGTGGTCAACAGATGGTGCAGGGTGGTCAACAGGTGGTGCAGGGTGGTCAGGAAGTCGTGTCGGGTTGTCAGTAGATAGGGGTGAGTCACAGTCGTGCAGTGATCTTCAGGGAAGTCGTGCAGGACCGCTTCTACTACTAATGTGAGGTGTCGAGAGGAGACAACATCATTGGGGAGTTTTGACGGTACCGTCTGAGTCAGGTGGTGACTGGCTGTCTGGTTATCTCTGTCCGTCGTGATGTTGCACCGCCCCTCGCACCCTCATGATCAGCTCCTCTAGCTTCGACTGTCTTGTGACGCCCTCAGCGGAGGTGCTGTACGAGGTGGCGTCTGACCGCTTGCGCCTCCTGCCCACGAAGGCTGGCAGGAGAGCGGCAAAGGTGGCGGGGATGAGGCCAGCTCCCACAGCTGCCATCACCGCATAAGGATTGTCAATAAAGCTCCCCTCGTTGGCTGATGGAGGCTGTTGAGTGGTAGTGGTTGTGGTGGTGGTGGTGGTGGTGGTTGTTCTGCGATTGACAGGCACAGGACGTGGGGGTTTGGTGGTGGTTGTAGTAGTAGTGGTGGTGGTGGTAGGGGAGGAAGTAGTGGTGGAAGAAGTGGTGGTAGTGGAGGAGGTGCTGGTGGAAGGCGCTGGAGTGAGGGAGTTAAGGGAGATGAGAGAGAAGGGAACACTCACTTGGGCGTATCCCGCGGGAGTGACAGAGATGTGCGAGACGGGGGAGGAGGAGGAGGACGTCACTCTAGGGCCGGTCGCTGGCAGACCCGCTACGTGACCTCCGTCGGTCTCAATCAGTGCCGGAGGTCTGCCGGGCAAAGCGCTGGGTACCTCCATTACATGAGGGCCGGGCTGAGAGCCGTGGTCGGTGAAAGTAGCGTGTGGTGTTCGCTCACTCAACCCCAGCACCGTCAGACTGGCCTTTGCGTGATGGGAGGGGTTAGGTAGGATGTACTGTGGAGTGGTAGGTTTCTTGAACACTCCCTGGTCGATATGAGAGTTGCTCGATGAGATTTTAACCCACTCCCCAGTGTCTTTGTCCAGTTGCGACACCGTCGATGTACTGTAGCGGTTCCACACTCCGTCGTAGGGCGCGGGACGAGGCGTTGTTGCCGTGGAGGGGATACTAATGACGTCGTCTCTGTCATCGAAGAGATAAGTGTGAGAAAGCTGATGAGGCGGGGGATACTGAAAGGGTCGGTGACGCTGAGGACGGAAAGGTTTGTTATTGTAGCCGGGACGAATAGGCCTCACCCTCTGCCACTCTATCGCTGGACTTCTTGTGGGGAAAGATTCAGAGATTTTGTCCCAGTTTGTCGTTGGTCTTCTCCCTGGGAAACTAGGAGAAGTGGGACGACTTGGCCGGGTAGGGTCATATTGCTCGTACTTGAACACTTGTCCCTTTGAAGGCAGAGGCTGCGGCCTGTACTCTGATCCCGGCCAGTAATCAGATGAGTCGAAGAAGGTTGAACCACCAAAAGCTCTTTCCGACTCTCGTCTTTCTGTCTCCGTTGGACGTTTTGGAGTGCCGCTGGTCTCGTAGTCGTCGGAATAATGGAAGCCATCACGAAGACTGAACTGCTTGAGGTAGTTCTTGATGTCAGTGTTCGTGAAAGGTTTGGCTGTGGGCCTTTCAGTGTTGGAGGTCCTGGCAGGAATGATGGAGGTACACTGCCGCCCACTCGTACATTCGATCGTGTAGAATTTAATTTTGTGCTGGATGTCGAGGCTTTTGTCTCTCGAATCTTCAGAGTCGTCCTCCACAGAGTCAGTAGAGAACGACCCTTCCGAGCTGTGGTCTTTTGACTGGGTGTGGACACCGAGGGGTCTAGAGATGATGATAGTGCTAGGAAGAGCCTTGCCGTTCTTGCGGGTGTAGGAAGCGGGTGCCACATACAGCTCCGTATCCGTGTGGTCCTCCTCTTTGATCATGAGGGCGTGGGTTGCACACACAAACCCCGCCGCCCACACCAGCCTCCCCCACACTGTCCAGAGTCTCATATCAGCTGTACCGCGGCTACACCATCTGCAAAACAATGACCCACTGTACTGTACATGACACAAACAGTCGAGAGTTACTGATCACACACCAGAATCAATGAGCTGTGAGAAGTGTGATGAGGAAGGAATGACTCACCAAACACTAACATATGTAGGATGAACGATAGGGTTTGGTGTTATGTAGCTAATGAATAATATTAAGGTTTGTGGGTTTGGTCAGTTCCCAGATGAGAACAGTACAGTATATATAATAATTGAGAATCAGTGAGGTTAAATGTTTGACTAAAATATTTAATTATCTTCAATGTCATCTGAAAATAGGAGCCTTAGAGTGCATCCATTAATAAGACAATTAATTCAGTAAGTTATATTAAAGCTAATTTGATAATTTCAAATAAGATCAAAACTAAAAGATAGCCACCGCCTTACCTGAAAATGGAATACATAGAAAACTAGAAAATGGGTGAAAAAACCTGTTTTTGGTTTGGGAATTTTGAGAGAAAAAAAAGGCTTAAAACTTGACAGAAATTTTTGTCTGTTTTGTGGATTTGGAAAAAATATAATTTGTTACAGTAAAGTGTTACAAATGCCGGTTATAAACATATATGTTCATACAGGTTCAATACACACATGGAGAAACATTCTATACATACATATACACACACAGGTTCTTTACACACATATACACACGCAGGTTCTTTACACACATATACACACGCAGGTTCTTTATACACATATACACACGCAGGTTCTTTACATACATATACACACGCAGGTTCTTTACACACATATACACACACAGGTTCCTTACACACATATACACACACAGGTTCTTTACACACATGCACACACACACACACACACAGTTACTAGATACAAATTAAACAGATGAATCATGACGCGCACCGAATGCTGTCGGTTCGCCTGATTTGTAAATATCACCTCGTGTTTACGAGTCACACTCCGTCAGTCAGTCAATCAGTCAGTTTATACGCAAGTCAGCGCCCGGCGACCTGCCCTCACACTCCGTCAGTCAATCAGTTATTACCGATTCAATTAGTCGCTCATGGAGTCATTCAATCAGTTATTACATGAGTCATATAATAACGAATTACCTCAGGATTAACCAACCTAAAGCTAATCTAACCTAACCTCCAGGTAGCGTTAGGGTGATTAATCTTCAGGTGAACATAATCTGAGAGGACTAATCTTCAGGTGATCCCTATTATCTGGTATGCATACATAAGAGCACAGGTCAGGTGTGTTGGATGGTGATTACACGGAGGAGCAGGAGGAAGGTGTCACCGTGCAGGTAGCGGGGGGCAGTGACTCGCACCTGCCCTTCATAGTCAACTACCATTTTAAATATTTAGAGTGTGACGCCACCCCGCCCCGCCTTTCCCCGTGACAACATTGTGCTCAACAGGATAGAAAATGAAGCATAATAACTCTTAATAAGTCTTTAAAGCTCGGGTATTATGCTTTGTGATTCCCCCAGTCTCACCAGCTGTTGATAAAGCTGGACTTGGGTGTCATACAAACGTGAATGTTGAGACTCTCACCTGACCTCAGTGTCCCGTAGTATCTTCTTTCATGTCGTGCCTCGAGGTCTGTCATTTAATACAATACATGACATTGATGGATTTGTTTATAAAGTATTTGTGAACTGAACGAAAATTTTATGTAAAATATAAATGAGAGATTTTATTTTGTTTTATACAGATATAATGATAATACTTAATGTGTGTGTGTGTGTGTGTGTGTGTGTGTGTGTGTGTGTGTGTGTTAAACTGAGTCTATAACCTTTATCTTTGTATTCCAGTAACTATTGTGATGAAATGACACGGTGTGCGACAGATTACAGAAGTGAAAGGTGAACGATGCCCTCGACCCAGAAAGTGTAGAGAGAGTTAACACAGGGGGAGAAAGTGAAAGTGAACAGGAAGAGGAGAGAATTAAGGCAGGAGGGAGGAAAGGGGGGTGGGTTATTCCGTTAGAATTGAAGAAACTGTGTAGAGAGAGAGGGGTGTGTGTGTGTGTGTGTGTGTGTGTGTGTGTGTGCTGTGTGTGTGTGACAGAGCATAAATGGGAAATCATTAACCCAAAGTTTATACAAATGAGAAAAAGTAAAGCAAAAGTATTAGGATTTTTGCCAAAGAGAGAAATCGGTTAGGTTAGGTATGGTAACTCAGAGGGAAAAGTTAGAAATATAATGATGATGATAAATAAAAAAGGAAGCGAAGAATAATGACATGAATAATAGCAGAAGGAAAGAGTGATAAATGTATGGATAGATAGATAGATAGATAATGTCTATCTATCTATCTACACGCCAGCCGTCTTGTAGGTTCAAAGGTCAATGTTGGCAGAGGTACAGTATCAGTCTATGTTGGGTCGTGTGTCGTGGTTGTTTGTGGGTCGGCTGTGATTGTTTGTGGGTCGTGGTTGTTTGTCGGTCGTGGTTGTTTGAGAGTCGGCTGTGATTGTTTGTGGGTCGTGGTTGTTTGTGGGTCGTGGTTGTTTGTGAGTCGTGTGTAGTTGTTTGTGGGTCTGGCTGTGATTGTTTTTGTATGGGTCGTGGTTGTTTGTGAGTCAGCTGTGATTGTTTGTGGGTCGTGGTTGTTTGTGAGTCGGCTGTGATTGTTTTAATGGGTCGTGGTTGTTTGTAGTCAGCTGTGATTGTTTTGTAGGTTTGATTGTTTGTGGGTCGTTGGCTGTGATTGTTTGGCCGGTCGTAAGTTTGTTTTTGTGTCATTTCCTTGTGATTGTTTGTGAGTCAGCTTCTTGATTGTTTGTGGGTTTTGATTGTTTGTGAGTCGGCTGTGATTGTTTGTGGGTCGTGGTTGTTTGTGAGTCGGCTGTGATTGTTTGTGGGTCGTGGTTGTTTGTGAGTCGTGTGTAATTGTTTGTGGGTCATTTAGTTGGGGGTATCTCTTCATCTAATATCTCGGTATGTTTGTTTGTGTGTTCAGGGGAGTTTTTCATTGTCCATCTTATTAACCTAACCTAACCTAACCTAACCTATCCTAACCTAACCTAACCTAACCTAACTCGAACTTACTGACTGTTAGAGCTTTAATGTACAAATAGGTATTGCTATAAAAATTGGTTAGGTTAGGTTAGGTTAGGTTAGTAAATCATGTATATTATAATTTGAAGTGTGGCTAATAATCCGGTATAAGTATCTCAAGTAATTAGTTTTCGCTTCACATTATTATTTTTACTTACTAATGGTCTCTCTCTCTCTCTCTCTCTCTCTCTCTCTCTCTCTCTCTCTCTCTCTCTCTCTCTCTCTCTCTCTCTCTCTTGCCTGCTTATGTTGATTAGATACATGAGGGACTTTTTACTTTGGTGAGAACTTCCAGCACAAATGGGCAGTGCGGAGTGCTACAGGACCCCAGGCAATCTATCACCTCCCCCTCTCTTCCTCCCTCCTCCCTCCCTCCCTCCAATCCTTCCTCCAATCCTCCTCCTTCCAACCCCTTTCCTTCCAAGCTTCTCCCTTCCTTCCTCCGCCCTTCCCTCCTTCTCTCACCGTGATGGAAGAAGCAAGCCATACCTCCCCACCATCTTACATAACTTCCTTCCTGTCTCACTTCCTCCCTCTCCCTCCCTCTCCCTCCCACCCTCCCTCCCCTCCTCCCTCCCACCCTCACCCCTCTCTCTGTCTGCCTATGAATTCCTATCCCACTTCAGCCTTGCCTCCGGTTAGATCAAGCTTCATCAGTTAAGTGCACCAATTAGATCAAGCTTCATCAGTTAAGTGCACCAATTAGATCAAGCTTCATCAGTTAAGTGGACCAATTAGATCAAGCTTCATCAGTTAAGTGCACCAATTAGATCAAGCTTCATCAGTTAAGTGCACCAATTAGATCAAGCTTCATCAGTTAAGTGCACCAATTAGATCAAGGTTAAAGGAGGAAATCATTTTGACTTTGCTCAGGTACGGAGAGACAGACAGACACACTGACGCTGCCCCAGGTAAGAACGCGACCCAGGCCTCCCAAACACTACACCGTCAGGGGATTGTTGTGGTTGTGGTTGTTGGTGTCAGGGATTGTTGTGGTTGTTGGTGTCAGAGTTGTTTTAATACTAAAACAATAATATACATACATACATACATACATACATACATACATACATACATACATACATACATACATGCATGCATACATACATAGATACATACAGTTCATACATACATACATACATACAGTACATACATACATACATACATACATACATACATACATACATACATGCATACATACATAGGTCTATTACAGTTCTTGTACATACATACATACATACATACAGATACCTTACATACATACCTTTACATACATACATACATACATACATACATGCATGCATACATACATGAATACATACAGTTCATACATACATACATACATACATACATACAGTACATACATACATACATACATACATACATACATACATACACACATACATACATACATGCACATACATACATGAATACATACAGTTCATACAGCACATACATACATACATACATACATACATACATACATACATACATACATACATACATACATACATACATGCATGCATACATACATAGATACATACAGTTCATACATACAGTTCATACATACATACATACATACATACATACATACATACATACATACATACATACATACATACAGCACTGACCAACTTACTGCCGTGACCCCAACAGCATGAGATATTGAAGCGACCATTAAAATAAAACTATATAGGTAATGGTGAAGAGAGAGAGAGACCATGTATACTGTTACTTGGCAATTCTCCCATACACTATTAATAATACATGGACTTGTATATTTCATTCAGTATGATAATTCTCCATACACACATACATATTCATACACACTTAATACTTAGAAGATAAACAGTGTCACCAACATACACACAGTCACACTGCACCATTAAACATTCCCAATATTGTATAATTTAACAGAAATAATAGTTTGTTGACGTGTATTTGTGTTTGTGTGTGAGTGTGTGTATGTGTGTGTGTGTGTGTGTGTGTGTGTGTGTGTGTGTGTGTGTGTGTGTGTGTGTGTCAACAATAATATATTCAATGTGTGTGTGTGTGTAAATCGTTCCTGCCGTGAAATTGTGAGTTTTCATGTTTCGCTCCACATGTTCTCATCACATATACTTGGATCTTATCACTTGCTTCACCACCATAACTAGGTCGTGTACTCACGTAAATCCACCACCAAGACACACACACTTTACACACAATATAACACCTGCTTACCCCCCCCCGCCCGGCAGATATTCACCTAGAGCGTTGCAGAGGTTGACTGGTTGACTGGCTGCAGGAGATGAGACGACGCCCAATGTGTAGTGGCCACGGACGAGGAGGCGACAGATTCCTTCGTTAGGGTGACAGGGACCTGATGATGGTTGTGTAGTGGCCAGGGCGAGGAGGCGAATTCCTTCGTTAGGGTGACAGGGACCTGATGATGGTTGTGTAGTGGCCAGGGCGAGGCGACAGATTCTTCGTTAGGGTGACAGGGACCTGATGATGGTTGTGTAGTGGCCGGGGCGAGGCGACAGATTCCTTCGTTAGGGTGACAGGGACCTGATGATGGTTGTGTAGTGGCCAGGGGCGAGGAGGCGACAAACTCCTAACCTAAACGGGGCGACGGATTCCAAAGTCAGTATGCCGATGACAACAGAACTTTCGACGATCTTGCGACAGACAGGTTTGCAATGGCAGTGACGGTAGGTGTTAGGTTCTTAGTTTAGCGGTGTCGTCGTCAGCAGCAGATGTGTGTTGCCTGCCGGACCACTAGGATACTTGTGAGTGACTGCCTCCCTTCACTCTGCTCCACCACCGCCACTCAGTCGAAAATTTCTCTTTTCCCCTCCCTAGGCTCCCTCCCCCCACCGTGAAACCCAACAGCCAGCACCCCGTAACCTCCTCCCTCCCTCTCCCTTCCTTCCTTTCCCCGCCAGCCATCACCCCTCCTACAGTAGGCATCAGCAAAACTTTCCTCACTAACAGTGGTCTCGGCTTAAAGGGTTCGGATCTACATTTCATCCCCTTTAAAAGATCATCACTTTGTTATTGGCCTCACAGCTGAAACACTAACATTATAGGAATTAGGATCCAGGATGTAGTGGACCGTTTAAGTGCGGATGGCGTAACCGAGGTGACCAGACAGCTGTAAACATTGACCATATTCTCCACGCGGTCCGCACCTTCTTGTTTTCATTTTCTGCTCCGCTGGGAATGTTGTGTTGTTTATCTTCGTGTATCTCTCTCTCTCTCTCTCTCTCTCTCTCTCTCTCTCTCTCTCTCTCTCTCTCTCTTTCACAAACCCTCAATTTAATTTCCCTTTATCATGAAAACATATTATAGTACTAACTCACATGCTATTTAGTTATCATTACAGCTATCAATTAATTTATACCATTCGTGTACATGTATGTATGTATGTATTCATAGCATTTCACTGGCTATTAATCTTTTTCTCAAATTTAGTCATTGTTTATTTGTTCATATCGAATTGTTATAAAAAAAATCCTTATCTATCTATCATTCTATCTATCCATTATCTTTATTCCTCTCTCATCTTCTTTAGACAGGAGCAAAAAAGAAACCAACCACAAAGAAAGAGAGAAATAATATAGAGATTAAAGGAAGACAAGGGGTGAACACTACAGGCAAGAGCTCGGCAAACAGAAGGAATATCTTACGTTATATAGGATGATCGAAAAGTCCCTGTGCACCTGCTGTACCTGACAATATAGTTCTTAATTACTATACCTACATTGTTATTTACGTTGTTATACTTACATTAATTATTGGAAATGTTCATAGTCAATATTTTAAGTAGATACTATTTCTAAATATTTACTGTAATTTAATAGAAGGTTTATCACAATGTATTTATAAAGCGAGACAACTCTAGTGTTAATTATTTGCAGGTGCACAGGGACTTTTTGATCACCATGGGCTCTTAGTGATCCTGTCCAGCTCCACATAAAGTCCATAACATAACATAACATAACATAACATAACATATCATAACATAACATAACATAACATAACATAACATAACATAACATAACATAACATATCAAAACATAACATAACATAACATAACATAACATAACATAACATATCATAACATAACATAACATAACATAACATAACATAACATAACATAACATAACATAACATAACTAACATATCATAACATAACATATCATAACATAACATAACATAACATAACATAACATAACATAACATAACATATCATAACATAACATAACATAACATAACATAACATAACATATCATAACATAACATAACATAACATAACATAACATAACATAACATAACATAACATAACATATCATAACATAACATAACATAACATATCATAACATAACATATCATAACATAACATAACATATAACATAACATAACATAACATAACATAACATAACATAACATATCATAACATAACATAACATAACATAACAACATAACGCAACATATCATAACATATCATAACATAACATAACATAACATATCATAACATAACATATCATAACATAACATAACATATCATAACATAACATAACATAACATAACATAACATAACATATCATAACATAACATAACATAACATATCATAACATAACATAACATAACATAACGTAACATATCATAACATAACATAACATAACATAACATAACATATCATAACATATCATAACATAACATATCATAACAATATCATAACATAACATAACATAACATATCATAACATAACATATCATAACATAACATAACATAACATATCATAACATAACATAACATATCATAACATAACATATTATAACATAACATATCATAACATAACATAACATATCATAACATAACATATCATAACATAACATATCATAACATAACATAACATAACATATCATAACATAACATATCATAACATAACATAACATAACATATCATAACATAACATAACATAACATAACGTAACATATCATAACATAACAACATAATAACATAACATAACATAACATAACATAACATAACATAACATAACATAACATACATAACATATCATAACATAACATAACATAACATAACATACATAACATATCATAACATAACATAACATAACATAACATATCATAACATAACATATCATAACATAACATAACATATCATAACATATCATAACATAACATAACATAACATAACATAACATAACATAACATAACATAACATACATAACATATCATAACATAACATAACATAACATAACATAACATAACATAACATATCATAACATAACATAACATAACATAACATAACATAACATATCATAACATAACATAACATAACATTAGCTACTCTAAGCTAACGCTGATTTAACCTAACTTAACCTAACGCTAACCTAATCTAATCTAACCTAATTTAAGCTAATCTAACGCTAACCTTACGTAGTTAACCTAACCTAACCTAACCTCACATGGTACAGCGTTAAAGGGGCAAATTCATAATGACTTGTACAGTGGAATATGGTGATCTGTTTTGACTTGTACAGTGGAATATGATGAACTGTTTTGACTTGTACAGCGGAATATGATGAACTGTTTTGACTTGTACAGAGGAATATGATGAACTGTTTTGACTTGTACAGAGGAATATGATGAACTGTTTTGACTTGTACAGAGAATATGTTGAACTGCTTTTGACTTGTACAGAGGAATATGATGGACTGTTTTGACTTGTACAGAGAAATATGGTGATCTGTTTTGACTTGTACAGCGGAATATGATGAACTGTTTTGACTTGTACAGAATATGATGAATTGCTTTGACTTGTACAGAGGAATATGGTGAACTGTTTTGACTTGTACAGAGGAATATGGTGAACTGTTTTGACTTAGCCAGGGAATATGATGAACTGTTTTGACTTGTACAGAGGAATATGATGAACTGTTTTGACTTGTACAGAGGAATATGATGAACATGAGCATTAGTGAAAGTGAGATGTACAGACGAGGTTCATGATCATTGTAATTACTGAACACAACTGCGTGACCTGAAAGAGACGCATTGTGACTCTGTGGTGAAAGTTCTCTCCCTACACCCCTTGCCATCCTCCATCCCTTTCATCCTCCATCCTTGTCATCCTCCATCCTGTCATCCTCCATCCCTGTCATCCTCCATCCCTATCATCCTCCATCCCTGTCATCCTCCATCCTGTCATCCTCCATCCCTGTCATCCTCCATCCCTATCATCCTCCATCCCGTCATTCTCCATCCCTGTCATCCTCCATCCCTATCATCCTCCACCCCTGTCATCCTCCATCGCTGTCATCCTCCATCCTTGTCATCCTCCATCCTTGCCATCCTCCATCCTTGTCATCCTTCAACCCTGCCACCCTTCACCCTTGTCATCCTCCACCCCTGCTACCCTCCATCCCTGTCATCCGCCACCCTCTACCCCCAGTATCTCTCCACCCCACCACTTGCCACCCCTGCCTCTCTCCACCCTACCACTCGCACCCCTGCCTCTCCACCCCTACCACTCGCCACCCTCTGCCTCTCTCCACCCCTACCACTCACACCCCCCTGCCCTCTCCACCCCTGTATCTCTCCACCCCTACCACTGCCACCCCTTGCCTCTCTCCACCCCTACCACTCGCCACCCCTGCCTCTCTCCACCCCTACCACTGCCACCCCTGCCTCTCTCTCCACCCCTACGACTCACCACCCCTGTATCTCTACACCCTACCACATTTTTCTTCCTTTTGCTCTCACATTTCTGCTTTCTTGTGCCAGTGCAAGCAATCAACAACGCCTGGCACTCTCCTCCGCCACTCAATAACAAGGTGATGGAACTCTCGCCTCACCTCACGTAAGTTCGTCAGAGTTTGGATAGAAGAGCGTACCAATGTTCACACACACACACACACACACACACACACACACACACACACACGAGTGAAAGTTGCGTATTGTGTGTGTATGTGTGTGGTTTTTGAGTGCGAGTTTTGCGTGAAAGTTGTTGTTGTGACTGAGGCTACCAACTACAGCGTCACACAGCGTCACACAGGTCACACAGGGCCAACCAGAAATAAGCTTAGTAATCGATTCCCATATCTTCGGTTAATATAGTATGATTCATATCTTAGTCAGTGACGCTCTAGTAGATGAAACCTCCCCTAGTAGATGAAACCTCCCCTAGTAGATGAAACCTCACCTAGTGAAGCTTACTAATAGCTATCACCTACACGTCATCATTTCATACTTTTCACTCCCAATTCGATTCCTCAAATAATAGTTAGGTTGAAAATATGAGAAATGTGAATTGTAACTATTCCACCGTGAATGATGATTATAGGGAGTGACAACAGAGAGAATAATATAATTACTACAACCATCAACGATGATTTACTGTATAAAATAGAAATCTAGTGAAGGAATAGACGAAAATAAGAACTATAACTCGTGAGTGATTTGTTTTCTTTGGTTCGTCTGTGTTAAAATCATTTATAAGAATATAAGTAAACAGTAGAGATTATATTTATGATCACTTGCCGCGTAAATTCAAAGTTATATTTTCCCCCACATTATATTTCCATTGTATAGACTAAAATAAAATGTGACAATACCGAAAAACAAAAATATTATTAAACGTGTAAGACTAAATAATAAGATTTTGGAAAATATTATATAAGTCAGAATCAGTTTTATGATTGATTTCGGATTTCTCTGATTTTTTTTTTCTGACCGTGTGTGTGTGTGTGTGTGTGAAAATGCTTAAGAAACTAACCTAACCTAACCAAACGTAATCTAACCTTACAAAACTTAATCACATCTTAAATGTCTTACCGTATTAAATTTCAAATTATTCAAAAAAGAAACTAACGTAACCTAGCCAAATAATAACCTAACCTAACCTAAAAAATATCTTACCCTGTGTTAACTGTGTCTCTCGCCCAAAGACACGGAGATTATTATACTGGCCACAGGTTGCAGTTTATATATAGTTACACAAAACTCTCATTCATGTATATTTTTAATTTAAATTTTCATTACTTATTAGCTGTTTTTTGGTCTTTTTTTTATTCTTTGTTATGAACTTTATTGTCAAGTGTTCGTACAGGAGGAAACCTAATAAAGTTCTTAACAGAGAACCAACCAACAGCCCGAATGGCTAATAAACTGATAAGTAGTGAAATGATAAATTCAATATGATTAAAGTATCGAGGGCTTAGTGGTTTATTATGGTTTCCCTTAAATTAAGCATATTTTCTTCTATTGAAAGAAAACGATAGAATTTATGTCTAACTATTGTAATACTGTACATGGTCGCTCCCTGGTATACTGTAGAATGTGATTAGTCAAATACTTTACTTTATCCTCTTCGCCATTGGTCGGCCTGTTAGCTCTGGAAATTTTATCGACTTGTAGTTTCTGTGTGACCTTTACTAGGGTGGGCATCCGCTAGAGACATGAACACTGGAGTGAGTGATGTCCTCTAAGGTGCTTATAAACATCTTGTTCGTCTGTAGTATAAATTAGGCAACTGTAGGTGTTCCAGTCTCTTTAACTACCTTGGGACCAGACAGACTGAACAACAGTACTCCAAACGGTGAACCATATCTCACATCTAAAGAGCTTTATGAAGGACGGTTCATGAAGATAAGGTTGAATTTCAAAACCCATTCCTCTCATCACTCTTGAAGCCTACAGAGACATTTCTGTAACGCTTCACAGTCCGTTTGGTTCTTAAATTTCCTGAATAACTTAGCGTTGTCTGTAAATACTTGTATGGAATAACATTTGACATATTTATGAAACAACCGAACAACAGCGCTCCCAGCACATTGCCCTGAGGCATCCCACCTGTCATAGGTACATATTACGATTTCGTGTTATTAATCACCACACATTGTTTGCTGTTGTGAATAAAGTCTCTTATCCAAGCTAAGACGTTCCCCCAAATCCCGTACCCTTCCTGTTTAATTTTCAGCCTTTCATGAGGTACGGTAACAAATGCCTTTGCAAAATCAAGTAATTGCATCAAACAAGAACTTCTGAGGGTAAAAACTGTGTAGTATTCCTTTTCGTAATTGATGTTTTATCATCACGTAAACGCGTATAATGCTCTCAAGAACTTTACACACTTTGCTGGTCAAACTCACCAAATAGTAATTTTTCGTGCAGTGGTGATCTCCCTGTTTGAACACAATACTCACATATGCCATTTCCCATTCGCTGGGGACCTTTTGTTTATCCAAGCTTCTGTAAGCTCGTTACATAACTCTCCTAACACTCTGGGATGCACATTATCGGGGCCAGGGCTCTTATGAGCCTTGAGCTTTGACAATTTGGTTTTAATGCATACTTCTGAAAGCTCAGTGTGAGTTAGTGCTGTGTCAAACCGTATTTCCCCAAACACAGGAAAGGTTTTCGTATCCTCCCTTGTGTACACCGAAGAAAAGAATATATTTAATGCCTCCACCTTGTCTTGATCAGTGGCCGCATCTAGTCTCAGATCTGATACACCCAGCGGCCCACACGTGCCTTTCGTCTCGATTTTGTGCAACGGTAGAAAGCCTTGTTTTAACTTGACCTCGATTGGCTCTTAAACTCATTTTCAGCCCTTCTACATTCTGGCTTGGTTCCTTTTATCTACAATTCTGAAATTTTTAACACAGCTTCCTGTGACCAAGACCTTTCATTTTTTTTCTTGGGAGCCAAACCGAAATATTACCCTGGGTGCCATGTGGGACATATCCAATATGGCCGACACTCGTATCATAACTTTTGAACCGAAAAGTGGTTATGTGACAAGTAATACCTCTATTGGGGGGTTTATGAGGACGAGAAATCCAATTATGATAATACTTTTATAAGGTCAAGGTCACTGAGGTCGGTGGGGGGCTCTTGTTGGTCTCGCGATCCCGTCACTGGTGCTGGAGATGATGCAGACCCACGAAACGATCCACCTCCCTCATTGACGTCCCTGACTGGTAAGAGGTAGAAGGACTTCTCACCCAGTGTGTACAAGTCTAATCACTGCTGCTGTAAACTGTGAAAGATAAGATCCATTACGGTAGAACTGACCTTATCTCGTGAGCGATCATTATCGCTGCTTCAGTAACCTTGGTCGTGCTGTTCACTGCACTAATAAATAGGACGACGTTTAGCCTTCTAGTACTTACTGAAAGGAAATGTTAACTCACTCCTAAAATAGAATTAAAACCTTTAGGCCACATGTTAGGTTTTATTTAATTTGGGTTGATTAAATGTGTAAACTATTGGATTTTCTACTGAGATTTAAAATATAAAAATAAATCCAAAATTCTACTGGCTATCTGTCAACACTACATTATTTTACCCTTTTTAGTGTAAAATTTACACGTACTTGTCAATACTTCAGTGAGAACATTATGACAGAAAATTCTGTAAAGTGAGTTATTTCCTTCTGATTACAATGTTTGTTTTCTTGGTGGTGAGATACATTAGTTCTGTAGCCCATGCACACACTAGGGCCGGCGAAGACCACCTAGATCATAAACATTTCCTCATAACTGGTAATAAAGAAAAATATATATTTACGACTGTCATTTTACAATTCTCACGTCATTTTACTCCCATCTCTGTCGAGTCTCGTTGTAGTTGTAACGCCATTGTGGTTGCTTCATCAATATGTTCTTTTAAACGTCCATTTACGTTAAACTGAAGTTGGTGATGGGTTTGACTCAGGCCCGCCAGAATGTGTACACTACATAACATTCACTTTCTATACTAAGGTTTGCATAAAAAAATAAGACTACACAAAATTATTTTTTTTTTACGCAAAAGATTGAAATATATGTAAAATATTTTGTTTCCTCACAACAATATTACATTTTCAAACAAAACTGTCCACATTTTACAAAAAAAAATGCAATTTTTTACACGTTCCAACTTTTGACACAAGTTTTAACACAAACACTTTGCCTTTATTACACAATTTCAAATTTCTCACCAGATGCATGACATACACAAGAGCACTGGCTGTACACAACAGTGAAGAGCGAGTGATATTGGTGTAGTGTTGAGTGACCCAGTTACCTGGCCTTCAAGCTGCTGTTGCTGGAGAACCACGCTTCCGTATGTTCACTGTGTGTGTGTGTGTTTACCTGTCTGTTGATGTGCCGGTATGTGTGTGCTTGTGGTGTTTTAGTTATTATCTACGTGTTATAGTCAGTGAGTGATGAGGTAATGATTGAGATAGAGTGTGGTAAAGGTAGTATGCCTAAGACACTCCCACACTTACAATTATCGTCTCTCTTCACACTGTAATGCTTTTCACATTATTAATGGGGGTAAAAGAAACATTTGAAGCATAAATAATTATTTATTTACACCAAATTGGGGACTATCAGTGCACCTTCAATGTAATAATGATGCAATGAAGCAGAGGAACTGTTTATGGTTTTGAAAAATGGAGACACACACACACACACACACACACACACACACACACACACACACACACACACACACACACACACACACACACACACACACACACAAAACCATCACTAGGAGCCGTCTGCCAACATCCTCAGCTCTGTACAGTCTGTCTGTATGTTTCAATAAATATTTTGCGAGTAGAAATTCGAAAATAGTCATCATATCTATAAGCCTAAGAAAAATATAATGCAATTGAATTTAAAACAATAATATTTACCTTCTGGGAGAGGATTTATTATTTATGAATTATCACAGAATTTATGAAACGTGACGCAGCTTAAAATCAAATAGCAGTTTAGTTTAGAGTTGCAATGGATCACTAAACAAGAATAGAATCTCTCGGGTGGTGATCCTCCTGTCGGTTTGTCTAGTCATCGTCTTGTGGTTCTCCTTGGCCTCTTCTGGTAGTGTGTGTGACGCCAGAACTATTCCATCCCCGCTATTTTATTGGTCATCAGTAGAAACCTTAAACAAAGTCCGTCGTGTCATTGGTCACATGTGCACCCCGTATCTCCTGTTAGCTTTCCTAATCGTCTCCTCCACAGTCCTCCATACAGGTCCAACTCCATACCCTATTGCCTCATCCCCGACGCCTTCCATCATACTTTCCACCTTCCATTGGTATTCATCCAGGTCCCGCTTCTTTCTCTTCCTGAAGCCGAGGGAAGGGTCAAGGAAAACCGCGGGGATGGCAGTAGCGAGGAGCCCCACCAGCGCCAACAGCCACATCCCAGCCTGGAAGTTGGTGTTCTCGTCTCCTACGTCGATACCCAGAAAGCGACCAGTCTCTGCTGTTCTTCTTACGTCATCAGGAGGCACAGCTGAGGAGTCTGGTGGAGGACGTGGCGATAAATCGTCTTCTAAAGTGTCATAGAAACTTGCACCATTCTCAACACCAATTGTTTGTCCGTATACAAAGTCGAGGCTCAGAATCATCATTACAGGAAACGTTATCGTCAGAAAGCTCTTGTGGAGATGTGATTCCTTTGTCATTTTCTATAACTTATTTATACCATGACTGACATATAAACTCACTGCCACTTATGTTGCGTCATCACCAGTCTGTTTACTAACTCACGGGCAGGTCTGACGTCAACCAGTCGTTTACTGTGACCCCACGAGGCTCACAAGTCTACGGGCAGTCATGCAGATTATACTTGCAAATTTGAAATCTTGAACACGTAAGGTGACGGCCCGGGTGTTGTCCACTGTCAGACCTGCCGACGTCTACCTCGGGGAGGAGGCCATCAACACTGACGACCCGCCCTGTGTAGGACCTCGCAGCTACTCCCACTACCTCCCGCACTCCCTCCCCACCACCTCCCTCACTCCCACCTCCTTCACTCGATGTGCCGACATACACTCACACGACAAATGCTTATAAGACATATACTCACACGACAAATGGAAAGGAAGACAAATGTTAGGTTAGGTTAGGTTTCTTGTGAGTATATGTCTTGTGAGCAAATGTCATGGAACCCCGTCACTCCCTCCTAACCACCTCCCTCCTCACCACTTCCCTCCTCACCACCTTCCCCTCATCACCACCTCCCTCCTCATCACCTCCCTCCTCACCACCTTCCCTCATCACCACCTTCCTCCTCACCACCTCCCTCCTCATCACCTCCTCCTCACCACCTCATCACCACCTTCCTCCTTTTCACCACCTCCCTCATCACCTCCTCCTCACCACCTTCCCTTATCACCCCACTCTCCTCACCACCTCCCTCCTCATCACCTCCCTCCCTCACCACCTTCCCTCATCACCACCTTCCTCCTCACCACCTCCCTCCCCATCATCACCTCCCTCCTCACCACCTTCCCCTCATCACCACCTTCCTCCTCACCACCTCCCTCCTCATCACCTCCCTCCTCGCCACCTTCCCCTCATCACCACCTCCCTCCTCATCACCACCTCCCTCCTCCTCACCACCTCCCTCACTCACCTCTTGAAACACACTTCGCCTATGACAACTAAGCAGTCATTGATTAACCTACGTTTCTATAACTGTATTTTTTTTTTGTATTTCATGTACTCTACGTGTTCAAGAAGAGTTCATTGTGTACAGGGTTGATTTATGATTTATACCGGTAACAGGTTTTCTCGTATATAAAGAGAAACGGTAGATGGTATCGTAATGATGTGTGAAGAGCTTATGTGTAAGTATCGTCGAATCGTTTCCTGTTCAAACTCTTTTCCCAACCATCACAAGGTCACTGGGTTATGGTGTTTTAGAGACGCTGTGTGACTAATGATTGTCTTTATTTTACGCCGTCGTGAGTCCGTCTGTTGACCTAGTTCACCACAGACAGACAGAAGTAGTCTTTCTCATCCTGCGTGCATTTCAGGTGTACTTGAGTCATCAGGAAGTATAGTTTATCTTTCCTTTCCCATACTGTACTCTCAAATTATGAACGATTTTTTTTTGTCAACAAGTTTCGCTCACCTGTTTTACCAACTCCATTAGGCTTTTCCCACTACTTATCAAGCTCCACCCATTTTTTGCTAGGCTCCTCCTATTATACATAAAACTCCACCCACGTCTTTTTGGACCTCTCCCAATACCCATTAAGCTCCACATATTTTATCCAACTTCACCCATTTTTCTTCCAGGCTCCTCCCTCTTCACCATAAGCCCCTCCTACTTGTTACCATGACCCACCTCTATCCTACAAACCCCTCCCACTTATCTTCATGACCCAGCTCTATCACATAAGCCCCTCCCATTTGCCATCATGACCCACCTGTAGCCCGTAAGTCTGTGTTCGTATGTGTACAGCAGACAATGATGCGTATGTACTTCTTGTAATTTATGTGTACTCTAGCATATCCACACTACACTTATATGTATAGGTGTTTACATACTACAACAAACAAACAATGTTCTTGAAATACTCTGTAACATTCATTGCCAAAATATCCTGATCACTGGGGTCTGATAAACACCCTTTGTGGCCTCTACTCAGGAAACCTTTTTGCGCTACCGCTCACATGTAGGATGAGTATGGAGTGCACAGTAAACTAGCTGCTGTCCGCGGCAAAATTAAAAAAGATAAATGTTTAAGTACATGTAAGTACTGTATATAAGTAAGACATCGTGCGCACGGGAGTATGTGTACCTAATACATCATGAGCATGTGAATATGTACGTACTACATCGTGTACATATTATGATGCTCCAGCCATTATGTTCTGGCTGTCATGTACACTATGACCCCACCTGGCGACCATATACTACTGTATAATATTCCGTCTTAAGCAACAATACTCGACAGGGTACATCATCATTCTATACATTTACTAAATACTATAATAGCTTATTCTACCATATACTGTAATACACTATCATATACTGTACAATGATTATGACACCACACACACACACACACACACACACACACACACACACACACACACACACACACACACACACACATTCCATGACTGGGTTGAACAATGAGTGGGGCAGTGAAGGGAAGAAAAGAGGGAAGGAGAGACGGTGAGAGATTGGAAAGGAAGGTGGGAGGGAGAGGTGGCGGGAGGGAGGGTGGGAGGGGTAGAAATAACGGTGCGACCGTAACCTTCTGGCCATTAACACACTCACCTCTGTTGCCACTCTTCCTCTTTCTCTTTACCGTTTACAGCCGTTGTTTGGCCAGCAGAGACCACAACAGGTAACTCTCCCGTCTGTAATAATGGATAAGATTAGACTACGACACTGCCAGGCGCCACTATAGAGATGAATTAGGTATTTAGGTTGAGGGGGAAGGTAGCGGGCGCCAGAGCATCAAGGCGATGTGTTGTTCTGCGGTGTTGGCTATAGGTGCGTGGCGGTCGCTCCTCTGGTGATGGTGGTTGTGGTGATATTTGTGATGTTAGTAGTAGTGGTGGTAATAGTGGTAGAGATGGTGATTGTAGTGATACTGGTGGAGGTAGTAGTGGTGGTGGCTAGGTTGTGATGGTAGTGCCTTAGTGGTGGTAGTAATAGCAGCAAGGAAGAATAGAAAATATCAGAAAAGAGTTTGGAAGGACAGGTGTAGCGTGAGGGCGAGAGAAATATACGGAAATAAAAAAAAAGTCTTGTTCATAGATCTTTGAACATATAACTCAAATATCACTGGATATAATACATCAATACCTACTGTAAGTTAACAGATATGTCAGCAACTTCGCAAGATCTCAAGCATGTAACGTCAACAAGTAAAAGTACAAAAAAAAGTAAAAAGTTGAGTCCAACAACTCATTTCCAAAGACGGCCCAGTATTTTTCGAACACTTTCACTCCACCGCAGCTCATAGTAGTTCGGTTAACTTTGTCATTACCTTTCCTAAGTTTAAGCCTTGATTAGGTTGAAATCTATAAAATATCCCAACAAGTTGATGGGTTACGCCTAAAACTAACTAGAAAAAGCTTGACCAAACTTGCCTCAAACTAGCCTTGGTTCGGGCCCGCCCTGGCTGGGTTAAATTAGATAGATGTGAAAATTGTTTCTGGTACTCGACTAATTTATTTCTAAACCTGCTTTTGGTAATTAAGATTGTCTTGAAACTATCAACATCTGTGTCTACTCTCTGTTGTCTACTGCTGTCGCTTTCCTGTCATCATGCGTCTGTTGTCTACAAGTGACTCACTGAAGACGAAGAGGAAATGTTTAAGTAGTTTGTGGTTTGCTATACTACATGGTCGGGGAAAGATGATTGGGGAAGTGCCTGCAGGTCGCGGTTATCACACTCTATATATCACCAAGGAAACGGCAGTCTTGTAGCAGCCATTCACTGATCTTTGAGGGCAATTTTATAAAGTGGTAGATTTCAAAGGTACAACGTCAATATATCTTTGACATTTATGTACACTCCTAACTCTAAATAATGAAGAACAAAACTAAGAGGAAACGTTGTTGCGATAATTCACTCTGCGAAACGTTTCCCCCACTTGAGTTGCCAACTTTTTTTTTTAATTCCCGTGTTTATATGGCGGCCATGTTATGACGTCGTGAAACTTGGGGTGACAAGTGTGGGGCGCCTTCAGTCTGAGGTGGGAAGTGGTAGTGTGTGTAACTAGCATCTTGAGCATGAGTGCAGCAACACCATACGCAACATGATGTTTTTGGTTAGAATGGTGAGAAGAACTAAGGGTGTTGCTAGCATCTTGAGCATGAGTGCAGCAACACCATACGCAACATGATGTTTTTGGTTAGAATGGTGAGAAGAACTAAGGGTGTTGCGAGGTAGTTTCCAGTAAAGTGCTAAACTGGACATCTCGCTGTGTTGACTTTTTCCAAGCAATATTATTACAAGATTAAAAAGTTTATAATAATTTTTGGTATATAAAATGATGATATGTTTCTTAATATTTGGAATAGTGAACAAGATGTGAACATTAGCCAGTTGTAGAACCCTGTAAGAGGTTCTGGGTTCAGGAGCACCATGCAGGCAGCCTCCAGAAGATTGAAACATGTAGATGCAGTTTCTTGGATAACGGGTTCTCTGGCATCATCTATATAGCTTGTTGCGCAAGATAAAAACTTAGATTGACAGCTGAATAGTAACCGGTGATTGTTGGTTGTATGTACCGCCGGCTATCTGCCTCTAATGATGGTGACGCTGTATATAACTGTAAGCTGATGTATTGATGACAGTATTTTTTATGTACGGCTCAGCGATATTGTGTGTATGTCAAGACCTCAGGGAAATATCTAAAATTGATGTTGCGGGTCGTCTCTCTGTTTAATGGGTTACTCCGTCCCGTCAATCATCCCCTCGTGTGACTTTGTACATTGTTTAATATACAGTACATGTTAATTTGTAATTTAAGATACTTTAACCTTAGGTGTAGGTACGATTGTTAGTACAGATATATGAAAATAATGACAGTAGGCAAACATTATATGAGAAATTAGTTAATTATATGGCGTTATCTTGCAGACAGATGGTACAGTATCCCGTGTCATGCGTGAACAGATAAGCAGATCATCTAACTGTACATGTCATTAATGCATATCACTTATTGTACGGTATAGAAAATTTTATATATATACTTAAGTCTTGTCATTCATTTAGATAGTAAACAACGGTAGCATCTTTATATGTTGAACAAGTGTTAGATAAGGTTTCTGGCCATTCATACAAGTTATACGAGTATATATTTCCTCTCCTTATACAGTTATGTGTGACGGCGAGTGTGTTGGTTTGGTGGCCGCGGGGGAGTAACTGCATTGGAAATGGTGGTCTGGAGGGCACGGAGTCAGTTCCCACCAAGTTGAAGGGACCGGAGGGCTCCTCACTCCTGCTGGTACTTCCCAGTCAGGACCTGCGATACACTAAACCTCAGCCGGGTCGTCCAGACGGTGCCGGAGGGACTACCATCAGTACCTCAATACATGGTGAGCTTGTAAAGGATGATGACTGTCTAGTATGCTTGTTAAGGACGGTGGCAGTGTCTGGTGAGCTTGTAAAGGATGGTGACAGTGTCTAGTGAGCTTGTAGAGGATGGTGACAGTGTCTGGTGAGCTTGTAAAGGATGATGACTGTCTGGTATGCTTGTGAAGGACGGTGGCAGTGTATGGTGAGCTTGTAGGGGATGGTGACAGTGTCTGGTGAGCTTGTGGAGGATGGTGACAGTGTCTGGTGAGCTTGTAGAGGATGGTGACAGTGTCTGGTGAGCTTGTGGAGGATGGTGACTGTGTCTGGTGAGCTTGTGGAGGACGGTGACTGTCTGGTGAGCTTGTAGAGGATGGTGACAGTGTCTGGTGAGCTTGTAGAGGATGGTGACTGTCTGGTGAGCTTGTAGATGATGGTGACTGTCTGGTGAGCTTGTAGAGGATGATGACAGTGTCTGGTGAGCTTGTAGAGGATGGTGACAATGTCTGGTGAGCTTGTAGAGGATGGTGACTGTCTGGTGAGCTTGTAGAGGATGGTGACTCTGGTGAGCTTGTAGAGGATGATGACAGTGTCTGGTGAGCTTGTAGAGTATGGTGACAGTGTCTGGTGATCATTTGCATGGTTTGACATGTACAGGTAGTTGCAGCAGTGGTTAGCGAGTTGAATATTGTTAATGTGTTGTCAGATGATAATATAAGCAGTGATCTTTAACGAATAGGTTTGTCGTGTTAAAGTTACTGTCAGTAACAGAACCAACACAGAGACTCATTCTTCCTCAGATCGGGGTACCGCAGGGAGACAGTTCTGGGGTCTGAACAACAACAGAGAGTTACCAAGTCGTCCTGGGAACAACCAGATGAGTGGTGGCGATCTAAACAACCACATAATCGGGAGCAGCCCTGAGGGAGTCGTGTCGATGGTGCAGAGCTTCGTGGAGGACATGACGAGAAGGCCCGCTGGTACGCGTCCTGGCTATGTCATGGTCAATTCCCGTAATCCTGTCCTCATCCAGCAACTAGTGACTGCCCTCACCCAACGCTATGGCTCCACCTCCGTCATCCAAGACCCCGGCACCATCCAGAATATCGTTAGCATCCAGGACCCTCAAAGCAATAACAATGAACCCTCCCAGGACACAGGGAGCGACATGCCCGTGTTCCCGCTGACAACAACCTGGAACCACACTCACAACAGCATTGAGTCAAGGGATCCAGAGGTGGAATACATCAGGCAGCAGTTGGCCGCCATAGCTCACATCTCCGTATCTAGTGGCAGGTTGGTTAACGACACTACGCCAGACCCCCTCAACACCACCACCCCCACCCCCACCCTAGCCCTTAACCTTACAGCTGACACCACAACTGCAGCACAGACTCACCAAGACGATCAAGCTGGAAATATAACAACTAGCCCGGACGAACAACATTCAGGGATGCAAAGTATCAACGAAACTAAAGCGAGCATCCTTCTGAGTTCATCTCAAGATCATCAGGGCATCAACCAGCACATCAGTTCTGGTAGCTCCTTCACTCATGAGCAAATCAAGCTTCAAGATGTGAATAATGATGGGCCGTCAACCTTAAACGAAACCGAAGAGCAGCGGGTTGAAGATGTAGAGAAATTTGAACATTTACAGGGCGAAGAGATTATAGAAAATAACTGGAAATTAAATGAAAATAAAACCGCCATTAATAACAATGTTAGACAGTCCGGTGTTTACATCAACAATATTTTCTACTCAGAGGTGATGCCAGAAGACGACTCTGGAAACATTATCGTGGATACTACAGGAACCAAACAATCATACACACCAAATACTGGCGAAACCAGATCGCCTTCCAGCATTATCTCTGACACTAATATTGCCAACCCTCCCAGCTCTACACTCGGTTTTAACAACAGTGTCTTAGAGACGGACCTAAACATAAACGAAATATTAACTCAGGAATCTACCCTAAACAACGCGGCATTTGCAAGTGAGGTACCGAAAGTTACTAACGTCCCAGAGGAAGATCCTGCCGAAAGGGACGCCATGAGGGAAGTAAGTACCACGGGGTATGAGGATTATTACGAGGAAATAGACGGAGAGATGGTCCTCAGCCCCACCAAGTTTATGAGGAAAGGCGGACCCATAGTACCAGATGATTACCCAAGTTACCATGATTACTCTCAGACTGACGGAGAGGACTCGGTTAGTGACGATCAGCTAAATAAGACACAACACAACACAGGACTGGGTAATGATATTAGACCAATCGGAATGAAGCACAACTCTCTGAACCAAGTGAAGCACTGGACCTTAAGTGCTATTCCTTCTGCCAGTAAAGTTAATAATTTTCCAGACAGTTTCAATTTGCCCTCGACCAGTGTAGATGAAGATGTAGGTATGGTCGGCCAAGGCTCGATAATCAATCCCTATATAAATCCCGTATTATATGAACAGCATTTTGGTGAGCTAAATAGCCCTGTGACTCCAGTATATCATCAACTACATCCAGTATTTGATGTGAGTCCAAGTACTGGCGGCACGGGGTCACATGAGCAGCTAAACTTTGAAGAAGGGGTCAACAGTGGTTATTATGGCAGTGTGTATGAAGGCCCAAATGTTACAATTCAACTGAATCAACATGTAGATAACGATAAAACTAAATCCGGAATCTATCATCTGCATCCCAACTCTGACAACATACTGACCTCGCTTCATACTTCTCATCCCACTGACGCAGTTTTAGCAGGTCATGTGAAACATGTGTCCCACACCGGCGGTGGAGGAATGGCTCCTATGGATCCTCAGCTGCTAGAAAATTTGTGGAACATAAGTGACAAAGATCTATCCAAAATGGCGCTGCTTCAGGAACTGGACAGAATTCCTGTTGTATATGACGGCGATGAAGAGCTTATCGCAGACGCCCCTAGTCTTGAAGCTCTTCCCACGGACGTACTGAACCAACTAGCTGGTATGAATAACGGCGAGCTGGAGACTTTAGGTCTATTAGACCAGATGAAGACCATGACTGGAAGGTCTAGTAGTAGTAGGGACTCGAGTGTTAGTCCTCTGAGTGAGGACGTGTCGGAGAAAGACAGCAAGAATCAAAGGTTGCAGCAGCTGACAAATACAAGCGTCACCCCCCATAGTATCGAAGAGTCGACGGCCTCTTACAGCAGCAGCCCCGGGGAAGTAGCGAAAGGTGACTTGCGAGTTCCAGTTCGTATCAATTTTACTGCTGGAAATTACCGCCAAAGTGACTTAAGCATTAACGACCACCCAACACAACATCTACCACCCAATTTCTTCCCCACGCGCCCGACTCAGTCCCTACACCAAGGGTCAAGTCACCATGGGGAGGGAGGTAATGGGGCACATTTGACTCGGGAGCAACAAGAAATTATTGCGCGTTTGCCAGTAGGGATGCGGCCGGTGGTGTCATCCATAGTGTTAGCGGTACAGGCACCCTCCTCCCTCACCACCACCACTACCACCACCGGCCCCCAACACTACCCGTTACTTTACCCATATGCTTACCCATACCCGCCGTACCCGTATTACCCTCCTCCCAGCTTTCCGCACCCACCCCTAACACCACAGACACACCCAGCCACCACCACTGTCCCTCATAATCACGACAGCCACCACCCTCACCATACTCCCGCTACATTTGGCCACAGTACACATGATGGCAACGGTGCACATGGTGGCCACGGTGTACATCGTGGTCAAGGTGCACAGGATGGTCACGGCGCACATAATAGTCATGGTGCACATGGTAGTCACGATAATCACAGTGAACTTGGTTCCCAAAACAACCGCACAACACAAATAGCTCACACCACTTCAGCCAACCACATAAGCAATGACCCAGACGAGGATCACCACCTGGGCACCTACGGACATGCACATCTTGAGAGCCAGGGTGGTCATGGTGTTCCAGGGAGCAGTCATGATGATAATGGTGGCGAGGATAATGCGGTATGGAGGTCAGACAACACTCCCCGACCCGTTGTGGTGACCCCAAGTGCCTCGCCTAGGATTTCCGGAGTGGCCCCTGCCCGTGGGGTCCCCGGGAGAGTACCCCTTCCCGGAGGTGCCGTAAGCGTTACCCAAGGCTCCGTAGTGTCAACATTAAACCCCGTCATCGGGCTATCCAGACTCGGGGAGTTCGACAACTCTGGCTTAGAGGACGTCGTGGAGACGAGCATCAGGGACAACAATAACAAACCCAGCGGTGTCAATCGTATTGGTCCCTCGCGGCCAGACAGAAACCAAGGTTTATTGCAACTACGCCAAGAACCTTTCCAGATGGGGCACGGACGACCATCTGGCGGCGGTTTCGTGAACTACCGCCCCCCTCAGCAAACCAACATGCAGATGGGCACACCCGTAGTTAACGTGGTGATGCCTGAAGCCACGAGGCCTGATCCCACTCCCGCAGAGGAAGAACCTGGTCCTCTCATTGAACCTGGTGTGACCCAAGAGGATGCAGCTGTCACTAGAGCCCCTCAGACGATGGACCGCGAGGAGGCAAACTCTCTCTTACAGTCTTTGTTCTCGTCGCCGACATTGCTGCTGCTGGGCATCGTGTTCGCCACCAGTGCCGCTTACATGGCAATAGCGATGGAAGAACAAGCGGCGCAACAACGATTCCAGCAAGCTCAGTTGGCGGCAGCATTTGGCGGACAGCCGTTCCTGCCTGGAAGACGACGACGCAGCCTAGACACTCTTCCGTGGTACCCGACAGTCCCACCCATTCTCAAGGTATCACAGTGACTAGCATACATCTTACTAACTTGTTCTATAGTTTTCTGATATGAATGCCACGTACGGGTAAAATGGCAGGATGGTTATCGTCCTGGGTTGGCAATCCTTTGGTGCCGTATTCAAATCTTAATTAAGTGGGCATTATGCGATTGATAGTCGGTGTGAATCAGTACCAGTAATACACTGTAGCCACCAACTTGTAGTGTGAGTCCGGAACCAGTGGTATTGCCATATCACCACTGGCTTTATAAACCAACTGCTTTACAAATATCCAGACCAAAGGGGAGACTGAAATATCCTATCTCAACCAATATGTAATAACGTGACACCAGGCCTACGTGACAGACACCCTGGGTTAATTTATAACTTCTTGGTAAACTTTACTAAGCTAACCAAGCTAGAGAGTGGGTTACATTGTCAGGACATAAGCCTCGTGTATCTATCGTCTATTACTTCACAAAGTAAACAATAATAATCAGTTTCCCTATGTACTGCACAATTTAGCGATCATTATCTTACTGTAACTTTCCCTTTCCTCTGTTTTGTAAGAATATGAGACAGTACGAATGGTGGATTTTTTAAACTAATGTACTGTAGATATATTATAAACTACTTAAAAATACAAATTAAGCATCAACTTCATATTCCATACTAAGTTCTACAAGTTGTGAGGGAGTGTTAGATATAAGATGGAGGACATTTCCCCAAATGTTTTCTGACAAATAATTTTCAGTTTTTTCTCAAAATGTCTTTCGGGTGTTTTTGTAAAGCCTTCAGTTGGTGATGTACATGTGTGTCCTTGGTGTTGCCAGTACTAGAGGAAGGTTTTTGTTGTATTGTTATAAGTGAGGCTACTGAACTAGTGGCATTATTGGGCATTAATAAATAAAGCATCTCAGTTATATTTAGTTTTATTGTTAAGACCTGTGAAAGAAAATACTGATAAATAATCTGAAATTAGACACTTGTTTGCGTATGAACACAGATTTAAACACATACCCATGATAAAAAAATATTTGGGAATTTTGAACTCATCATTAGTAACACACTGACTATGCTCTTTGTGGGAGAACACGGCGCCACATGATTAAATTTCAACATCAAATAACTGAAGCATTTTGGATTGTCTTATCTGATAAGAACCACTAAACTCGGAGCTGTTTATAAGAATTAAATTTAAAAAAAATAAACCACAGAAATGAATAACGATGTGGGTATATTGTGTTAGTTACATTTATCAGAAAATCAGACGTGAATTATCTTTTGTCGTCCCTTATGTCTGTCTACTCCTGTCCTGTAGTGACTCACAACTACGTGACCATGACGTCACCAAATGACGTCACCTCTGTATCTTGGTTTCGTTAATTCCACTGCATATTTACTCCCAGATGTATTTAATTTTATTTCCAGTTTAGATGCTTATTATACAATATATATATTATATTTATAATTTATGTAATTCATTTTAATGTATTAGAATCTGTGAATGAATAAAATTAAACCTAATAGAGGTTGATAAACCGTGACATACGTCACAATCGACGGTGAAAGTAACCTACAGAGTTTGTTTGGAATAGCGACGGTGGTCGAGCAGGAGCCAGGAGGCAGGAGTGACAACAGTAACTGTACTATTTTGTGTCCACTCGCGTTCTTACTCAAAATATGAGCATCTTCGGGAAACTCTTCGGTGGGGGAAAGAACGATAAAGCCCCCACGGCAGGAGAAGCCATCCAGAAGCTGAGAGATACTGAAGAAATGTTAATCAAAAAGCAGGATTTCTTGGAGAAGAAAATTCAGCAGGAAATTACTATTGCTAAGCAGAATGGAACCAAAAACAAGAGAGGTCAGTATATGTGTCCCCTTATGGTGGTTTTTCCTGTGATAATTAATATTATTCGAATTGACATTATAATTATCAAGATTTTTTGTTTTAAACTTTCCCAGTTATGTTCAAGGTTAGAGGCACTAACTACTGTTGTAGAGTCAAGTGGAAAAGGCTGGCTGATCCCAGTAGCATACGATTAATGAAATTTGTAATTTTGATCTAATAATTTCATCACCTTAACAATGGTTTAATTGTGTAGGAATTTCCTTTTCAGACATTTCTGTTGATTTGGATTTAATGGATAAGAATTCAGCCAATATATATCCCACAAATACTACTTATGGGTATTATTATAGTTTCGGTCATCCGGGGAATCCTAGAAATTTAACTATTGGAATAAGTAGTTTAGACAATTCGCAGACACTTTTCTTCTTTAGCGTTTCCATTGGAAATTTATATTTTTATATTTTAACTGATAAAATTACCAACAATATTACTCGTTCAATGTGGACAGGGCTCTGAAGTAGAGGGAAAATGTGAGGTGAAAATACAAAAAAGAACACCAAACAAACCTTTGAAAACCTGACCTAACATGACACCTAACTTGTAAAAATTTTAAGAATCACTTTCGAGTTTATGGATCTCTCTTCATCTGAGCACCGGAAACATCATCACATACTAAACACCCAAAACATGAAGAAGGAAGGCTTTAATAGTTATACGATTTTTACGGATTAGGAAATGTTAGGTCACGTTTTCAAAGGTTTGTTTGGTGTTCTTTTTAGTATTTTCACCTCACATTTTCCCTCTACTTCAGAGCCCTGTCCACATTGAACGAGTAATATTGTTGGTAATTTTATCAGTTAAAATATAAAAATATAAATTTCCAATGGAAACGCTAAAGAAGAAAAGTGTCTGCGAATTGTCTAAACTACTTATTCCAATAGTTAAATTTCTAGGATTCCCCGGATGACCGAAACTATAATTATACCAACTGATGAACTCATAATTAGGATGGTGATTTTTAAGTAAAACTTTTTATGTTGATTATGGTGTACCAGTACTGTACAATGACCTGGTTAGGTTAGGTTCTTTTAGCTATTTTATTAACCCCACAAACACCTGCAAGCATCGTGTACTGATGTTTGAGAAATAATTGCCATCAATTCATAAAGTACCGATACATGCATACATATAAACACTTACCGTGATGCTCCGGGTTAACCAGCACATTTTAAACTTCTTTTAGTGTTAGTTTATATTAATAGTGCACTCAAACTACTAACTGTAGAACATATCACCATAGAACAATGATGGCAACTATTTGGGCTGGTGGGCCTTTTCACTATCTTAGCTAAGCTTTGTAGGTTACACAATTTTGTCAATATAAGATTCCAAATGTTTAATACAGACAGTCCCCCGATTACAAACGAGTTCTGGGGACGTTCTTAAGTTGAAAATGTACCCTGTATGTATATACTGTATATATATATATATATATATATATATATATATATATATATATATATATATATATATATATATATATATATATATATATATACAAAATAAACACATTACTAGTAAGTATAATTGTTCTTTGTTTAATTAAAATATTAGTTACTCAAATTTCTAAATGGTAGTGTACAGTATATGATGCAGGTCTGGTGTTCAAGGAAGAAGAAAATGAATTGGAAGTTACTTAAGAAGTAGCAAGTACTGTATATAGGTCATGGCCATGAAAGCTTACATTTGCATTAGCAATTGAAATCCAAACCATCACAATGATTTTAGTAGGAACAAACCACTTAACAATTGTACTGTGTGTAGTGGTTTGTGCCTATTACAATCTTATTAAGGCCAGTGACATTTTAAAATGTTGAAGACATGAAGGCTATAGTCTACTTACTGCTTTATAAATATGTAGGGTCAAAATAAGTTTTACCTTTTTCCACCACCGGATTTGTGTTCTGTTCATATGTGATTTTTTATAATTAAAGGACCTTTGTTGTTATTGGCTCATTAGTATTGCACAAATCATGTTTTGAACATTGAACAATTAGTGTTTTATAATATTCTGATACATAATAGTCAAGGTTCTGCATTTTAGTGTAAGTCATGGTATATCAGAGTCCATTATAATAAGAAGTCTTGCTGTATAAACATGCAGAATGAAAGTACTGTACATTATTCTGTACAATAATTCAATTTTAACTGATCCTATGTCCCGTTAAGAAATTTTTCTTCCACTTGACAGAAAACCTCTCAAACAATAACTCATCACAACATTTAGTCTGCTATCAAAAGAGTCTCCCATACAGTATAATCTTTACACTTCTCTCTCCTGTGGGCCTTTGGCATGGCTCTCCACTATTGTCTTTGTTGTGCCATCTCCCAACAGCATAATTGGTTTCTAAGTAATTTCTCTACTTTATTAAGTTTCCAAGGTACAGTACAATGCTTGCAAGGCTGTAAACATTGCACATTAATATTGCCATTGACAAAATTTCCTTCGATCAGGGTACCTTTTTTTTTTGTCCGTTAGGATTTTTGTTTTGTTTTAACTTGAAGACCGACTTTGCTGAATGTCATGGAAGAACATAATTAGACGCTATAGAATTTTTTTAGTAACCCTCTTTTTACAGTGGCTCTTCAGGCTTTGAAGCGCAAGAAGAGGTATGACAAGCAACTTCAACAGATCGATGGAACTCTTAGTACTATTGAAATGCAGCGTGAAGCCCTTGAATCAGCCAACACAAACACCAATGTTTTGCAGACTATGGGTGAAGCTGCCAAGGCACTTAAATCAGCTCACCAGCACATGTAAGTATTTAAAACTCAGGTTAATTGTGACCCTCTTTTCTACCTTACTTCATATTGAGGATAGTACGGTACATGTACTTTATAATTTTGCTACCTTGTAATGGGCCTCCCTGACTTAATTTGAATGAATTTATTTTACTCATGGCAGCAACAAGTTTAGTAATTTTTTGTATATGGGACCTGACATTCATGTACTCTGAGACAGGTCTTGAGAAAAATATGGTACAATACTCAAGATATTTTCATGTCACTGCTGATCATTGTCACAAACAAGCCAGATATAGGCTTATGCAATATCTTGTGCCCTCCCCCCATTACTTGATGTAAGGAACATGTAGCCAAAAGTGCTTGTATTATTTATTTTATACGAGCTAATTATTATGTGCATTTGCATTACAGGAATGTGGATGAAGTACATGACATGATGGATGATATAGCAGAGCAGCAGGACGTAGCTCGGGAAATTTCTGAAGCAATTTCAAACCCAGTGGCGTTTGGAGATGATGTCGACGAAGTAAGTTCTCTGTTTTGGGTGACCGAATTTCTAACATCTACAATATCTGATCGCAATGGATATCACAACCATAATAACCGGTGACACACTAAAGTAAACAAAATTCTAGTGTGTTAAGATGGAACACTTGGCTTCACAAATAGATACAGTATTTTCCTGATATACTTGTAGATTTTTTCTTTCAAGGATGAAGATGTTTACAGTCAGTAATATGCTATGCACTGTGTTGAAAGTTAATATGTATTTGGTATCCATATATCTTATAGTCAGGTACACATGGTAAAATTAAGTATCTCTCCACACTTTGTGTGAAACAATGTGACACCATTGATGAAGAATTTTGACAACCCTACCAAGACAACACGAGTCATATTGATCATTTCAGAATTTATCGGGCCCATCTAGACCGATACTTTTTTTTTACCATGTACAGTACTGGATATAGTACAGGTTAAATTCAGCAGTGGACTCTAAAGAAAAGTTTGAAGAATTTAATTATGAAGCTTATACATTAATTTATAGTTATAGATCTCTTAATAAAGTGTATAACGTTATGGGTAAAAAATCATCCACTTACTTCACCTGTTTGTTTATCAAGTTAAATAAACGGGTTCCTAATGCACATGAGATTCCAGTGTAAATTTTATGGCTCTCTAAAGTAATCCATTTGTGCAGAATCAAGGACATAGTCAGTACTTTCATGATGTAAAATATAAGAGTGGATGAGCAGAATGCCTCAGCAAGTTTATACAAGAACCATTGAATATGTTAGAGAATTAATAATATGAAATTAGAACATTTTAAAGCTATTGTAGGATATACAGTACCAGTACAGTATGTCAGACCACTACTTGCAGGAACTATGATATGGATGTTTGGCAAAGAAAGTAACTAATTGGTATTGTTCCATGATGTCTGGTTGGTGTTGATTTATATTAAACTAAGTAAATAAATGTGAAGACAAATGACTGGATACTTGATGGAAATTCAGTTTTACTAACTATGCATATACAGTACAGTACTGTACTGGAAAGTGATATTAATCTTTATATACCATTATGAATTAAATTCCGTGTATGTACTGTAGGTGTTCCTTAAGCATTTCCAAAGTTTTGAAGATACTGTAGAGCTGAAATTTGGTAGGGAGGTGTGAGTGGTCTTTGGAATGCTTTTACTGTACAGTGACCCATTAGTACAGTCCACATTTTTTAAGATGATAGGGGGATTTTTGTGCACTATATCCTGTCCCTCCATCCAGACAAAGATGGGTAACTTGACAACAGTACAGTATACTATTCCCACACTAACCTGGCCCGTAAGCCACACCTCTCATCTATAGCTATAAACAGCCGATTGGTTCAGAAAAAAATGTTCGTGTAGCTGTTCATTTATTCAAACTAGTGTGTTCACAATTGGTAAGCAGACCTGTTTTTCTCTAAAATAATGTTAAATATCTGGACTATCAAAATGCAAATGATTTCAATGCATTAACACTTCAGAGAGGATGTTAGAAAATTTTTATTATTTATGATAAAAGATTGAAGTCAGAGATGAAATTCACTTTGGAATGAAGTCTTCTCATTATTTCTTTGTGCCAAACATAAAGCAAACAGAAACAAATGATACCAAACATATATAGTACAATAGGTAATGAACTACAGTTTGTACGGTTTGTATATAAGAGGGGCGTGGCTTATGGGCCAGGTTAGCGTGGAAATACTATAGTGCTATACATTATATGAGACAGTTGGTGAAACAGTGAGGAATATGCTAAAATCGCTGATGAGATAATTACAGTTAAATATTTATTTACATGCCCTTATATATTTTGACACCAGTTTCATCATAACCGTGAGATGAGTTATGGAGATAACACGGAAAATTAGTTATGCCAATGTTAACCATAATTATAAAAAAAAATATTTTGGTGTATTCGTCACTATTCCCCGAGTGCATCATATGATTGATAATTATTGGACAAAGTACAGTACAGGCTTCTCAAGTTTTTATGTTCATCTTGTAGGATGATCTGTTGGCTGAGCTGGAAGAGCTGGAACAAGCAGACTTGGATGAAAAACTCTTGAACACTGCTGACGCTGTGTCAGACTTGCCAGAAGTTCCTACCAGTGCCATCGCTAAGCCTGAACGTAGGAGGAAGGAAGAAGACGAAGAAGACATGGCTGAATTAGCTGCTTGGGCATCTTAAACATGGTACGTATTTTTATATATGAACTATGCACAGTACAGTACAGGGTGCAGTGATATCCCCGTTAGCCGGAACAGTTGGTGCAGAGCACTTTCGGGAATGAGAGATTTCCGGGTAACAAGACGGCTCTCAAAGCCGGAAAAAAGTCCCTCATCCTCGGAATTTTCCTGGTAATGGAAAAATGTTCTTGGAAGTTCCAGAAAATGCGCCTGATTTTCATCTCTCAAACCTGGAAAAAACTCTTCCATCCCCATAATTTTCCGGGTATCGGAAAATTTTTCTTGGAATTTTCCGGATATGTGCCCCACGGAAAATTTCAATTCCGGGTTTGAGAGATTCTGGCTAACGGAGATATTACTGTATATTGATTCTTTGGAAAGCAGTTTCAAGCTATTTTTATTTTGATGGATAGACAGAATCCATTATAATGACAACATAAAATCCGATTAAAAAAAATTTAATTGCAGCAAGCCAGAAAACATATTTGTCGGAATTCATGTTATGTTTCATGTCTAAACTTGAAGCAAATGTTATACATATGTGTATCAAAATGGCCATCTTGCACAGCAGGATGGCTTGGGCAGTACCAACACATATAAAACTCGACCCAGTACTTTGTATCAAAACACTCGGATGTGTACTCCATCACAGCGTCTTTGCACCGTACTCTACTTGGGCCATCATGGGTCCCACTTTTTAGTCTATTCCACTCAGATTATTTTTGCATGACTTGACATTTACGTTTCAAGTTGAATCCCCACACAGACATCCATTTTTCACTAATCCCCATCTTTTGTTTGCCTAAAAGAAACTGGGGAAAAATTAAGATAAGTCATTGTATAGACAGTGTGTGTCAAACCCCATGACTTGAGATAAATATAGTGTTTTGTTTGAAAGAACTTATTAGTAAGGAGTTCATACCAATGTTGCTTTGAGTTCATCACATCTGTAGGAGCCCATACTGACAGCAATTAAGAGATATTTCTTTAAAGTTGTTAGTTGTTATGTGATTGATTATAGAATAGCTATCCATCATCTTTACAGGATGTCTCATAGGTCACGGACCAAAGGATTTTATTTTCCAGGCGAGGCAATCATAACAATAAACGAAGATTTGGTGATGAGGACTAATTGAATTACCATTGAGATCTCCAGGCCTCATACCTCTTGATTTCTTCCTTTGGGACCACCTAAAATCTTTCATCTACCAAGATCATGTAAGAACCATTTAGGTGACCCAAGAGGAACAAATCAAGAAGTGTGGGTTACGGAGACCCCAGCCACCATTCAATTAGCCCAAATTGTTATATTAAGTGTAGGTTTTATTGTATGACATAAAATTGTGTGTGGTTAACTGAAGCACAATGTTTGGTGGCGGGTTGGAGATCAGCTGCTGAAGAGCGCTTAACAACACCCAGTGTGTGTTACCACTCCACCTCTCTAATCACCCCCACCTTTCTGCTTTCTCACTCCATATTTTATAATGCTATGTAACAATGTTGAAGGGATACAACATTGCTCATTTATACTTACACTCAATTTCGTGGGTAGGTATCAACTGTTCACTAGCATCGGCAGTGCTGCAGGTCCAGTGTTACCGAAGAAACCGACAGACGCATCACATCCTCACAACTTTCCACAATCTCCATCATCACCACCCCCATCTTAATCATAATTTCAGTGATGCAGAGATGGATTAGTGTCAACCAAAGTTGAGCCGTACAATATCCACCGCCTCCCACCTGCGTCCCTCTCTCCCTCCTAACCACCCATGTGACCCACCCATTTATGCACTGCATCTCACACTTGTTCATGAAACAATTGTCATTCATGATACAATATTGTTTATTTGTTATTCAGTAATTAGTAAATATATGTTATTATAATAATCTGTTTATTAATACCTGTACCCTTCATGTACAACACTGTACTGTATATATCTCATAGGTAAAAAATAATGTCATCAGGAATGCACCTCCATATATGCAATGGTATAATGATCCCTTAGAAAGCTGTTTTGGATAGTGCTGTACTGTACTGCATTACCCAGGAATGTATCCTGAATGCTAAAAGGGGTATTACAATACTGTATTGTGCTGTATATGCTTTTGTTATTGATGTTTGTATGCCTACAATTTAAAATTTTAATGTTACAGCATACAGTTAAAGCTACTTTTAGAGGTGAATTTAATGATCTACACAGAGTCTTCACAGCCAGTTACAGAGGTGTTTACTGTACATATTGTACTTTTTAGGCCTGGCACTCCAAATTACAGAAAAAATCCATCCGGGCAACCCCCAGGTCTCAAGCATTCTGGGTAAATGCTCCCATACCTGTACTGTATTAGTATATCTGTACAAGTACCAATAAATACTGTACAGTTAGTGCATTATTTATTACTGTTGTCTTAGAAAAATTATATCAGATCCAACTAATTATAGACTGTTGTATAATTTTCAGGTTTCCTTTTCTATGGACCCTGGTCCCTGCTGTTTTGTTAGCCTTCCAGTGAGTACTCCCAGCATGACGATGGTCATCACAAAAATGCCACTGAAAATTGGCTCATACGCGCTTACATACAAACCAGCCTGTTCTGAATCCGGATAATATACACCTATATATTATAACTAATGTTGCTTGTGTTTTCGTTAGAGATAAGTTGTAGCCTTGGGTCAATGTGTAAAGTCAGCTTCAAATTCTCATATTTTTATTTGGAGACTGTGCAGGAAGCCTTTGGAATAAATGATGAGCAACATTTACTGCAAAGTCTTTTTTCTTTTAACAGTTATCAGGGAAGTTTCTTACTACATTAATTTCATAACCTTAGTTGTGTTGTGTACATTGATGATCAGGTTAAGAAATACTGATAATGAATTACTCCAGAAAAAGATTCGTTTTTAAGTGTCAATGTTCCTAGTTACCAACCCAGTTTCTACACTGTACACTAACTTTATAGAGGAACACAGACTGTCTTGATTGTTGTTAATTTATTCATACGTGGTTTTGAATGATTTTGCATTGCAATGTTGCTGATATGCAGAGGTCTTTGTGGTTGTGATGGGAACAGAGATTCTTAGTTGCATTGGTACTGTGTGAAGACTACGTATTCTGGCATTGTGTAGGAAATGTGCCTTATCAAAATTGCATGCAAGGCTAACAATTATTGCTCCCATCACTCTTTACAATACTCATCATCACAGGCACAGCAGGCAGGTGTTGGGTATGCAAGGTGCAGTTGGGTGTTCCCACCATGTGAGGCTTTACAATAATTCGTCCTTTGTTATGTACCCTGTAAATATTATACATTTTAAATGAGCCATGTATGTAATTATTATGGTGAGAAGCTTAATCCTTTTCCTTTGTTCTCAAGAGATATGTCTATTTGCAGTGAGCAGCTGTATGCTTAAAGAAATGTTTCAGTTACCTTTTTTCTTTTGTACATGAGAAGATAGAGTCTGATTGCGGTCTTGTGCTTTTATACCTGCAGGTATGAGTGTTGGACTTTGATATATTATTTTCACTATTCCATAGCTCATTTGGTAGTGTTTGCCTCGCAAGTGAATGGTCAAGTGGAGAATTGGGTTCCCTCTTTGTACACTAGCCCTTGTGCACTCGGCAGTGAATGACTACACTATCTGGTGCACTTACTGGTGGTGGAACAACACTCAGTGAACAAGAATCCTGCCATTGGGGTGCAATAATCCAACAGCTGCTAAATGCTAAGATCTTGAGGTCAGCACCTGTCCAGCCACCTTGCAAAGCAGGAAAGGCTTGGGTAATTGAAAACCTTAAGCCTCTTCTTTTTTTCTCATGTGATGAGGCTCATGAAGCTGTGCATTTACACAGTTAATTTTTAGAGAAATTACTATTGTAGAGAATTTTATTTAAAAGATAAGGTATAATTGTGCCCCTTTTGAGGTCGGTAGTGTAAATACCAATGACTTGGAAGGCCTGGCTTGCAACGTTCCAGAAAAGTAATTCATGCATACAAGATACCCAATGATTTATTTGAATATAAACTGCGTCAATATCACTTTATGTATTTGATATAATAAAAATGTTATTTCCAATAATTCTTTCCTTATATCACCTAATTTATCAAAGTTTTAAAAATCATATATACCTGTATACTCGTACTGTACAATTAAGGTAGACCTCTCACTAACACAGTTACTCATTAAATGAAACTTGGTGACACAAAGACACAATTACCATACAGTACAGTAGATCAAAAACAGAATGCCATACACTGCATTTGAACGTGTAAAGGGATTGATTTTGGAACTGGTTCACTTGACTTAAACCCCTTACACTAGTTTGTTGTGTAATTTTTAGAAGTCTTCAGTAAATAAGCTTTTATATACTCCAGAGTCTATCAGCTATCAACCAAAACTTACTGTTCATCATAAGTAAAGTAATCTATTCAACCTATTAGTTATAAACTTGGGGTAAAAACTTCATTTCCCAGCCTTGGACGAACTGTCCGCACATTAAAGATTTACTGTACAGTACAGTACTGAGGATAAGATATTTTTCAATTTTTTTTTTTAATATGATGGCAGTGAATTCTTAGGTACACAGTCATGTAGTATATATGAATGCATTTTATTTTTGCAATGAATGGTGTTTTGTGATTGATCTACCAGCTTGTTTATGTAGTATGCAAGTGTTATTATTTCATTTGTATCAAGCATTTGTGGCTGCTTGATGATGTTGCAGGGGGGACATTTCCCAATTTTAGTGCACTGGAGAAACTATCCTGTTGTTTTTAACAATAAATGTTTAAATACATTAAAGTAAATAAGTTAATTTAAATCTATAATAATAAAAGGATGTGCCTGTATGTTCCAGCCATAGTCCCAAAATGGAAGCAGTTAGAGACATGAAACTTTACACACATTTCATGGGTCTCATTGTTGTGCATCATGGTCTTACTGTACTATTGACCAAAGTTCCTGGTGGTCCAGGCAAAAACGAAAAATCTTCTCCGACTGAGGTACTGTATCACCACAGCGATTTTGGGAGGTGGTTACCTGTGTTAGGGAGGGCAAACTGTGAGTCAGGGTTATACAATACAGTATATACCGAATCCAATCAAAGCCAGGCACTTTTGCTTGTGCACAGTAAAATGACTCACTTAGGACTAAGTTGAATTCTATATTAGTAGTCCTTGATTGTTTTAAATTTTTTCCAGTCACATTTTATACCATGCGTGTCTGGAGGATAAGGTGAGCTGGAACTGTCCAAATGGTGTCATTATTATTGTCTGTAAAGTTTTGGTTAAACTCAGTGATTTTCTGCTAAATACAGTATTTGGTACAAAGTTATTTTATCATCAATATTTTATGACCGTTTTCCATGTTTGTGTGTTACCTAAATCATCAAATATGCTTAGGTTGATACTATTCTGGCTGAAACTTGTTGGTATTGCTGATACAGGTATTAATGTTTTGGGACCTTAGATAGGTTTTAGCTATTCTATGTTTGTCTTTGATACCCCCAAAATGTTCTACACTACTGAGGATATACACAAACACTTGTTATCTTGAAAATAGGTTCTTATTCTCGTACGGGAGATATACAGAGGAACAAATAAGACAGAGCGCTTCCACACCTCAAGGACTGGTGATCTCCACTCTCTGTATCCCTCTGCGCTGGCATGTACAGATGCCAGCATTCACAAGCTAAATACATAAAATGTAAATATGATAATTCACATACATAACATGGTGCATAATAAATGGAAATATTACATAGGATTAATACATGTTCTGGATTACTTTACTATACATAATTAATAGAGTAATATAAGAATACACAGCTTAAGGTACTACTTCGTGTTCATATTATACAGCTATGAACAAAGTTTTAGTTAACATTATGTTTATAAAATAATGCTTTGCTGTTAAACTGTTAGTGAACAGTGTTTGTGTTGTGTAAGTAAGTAATTGCACTTATCCCTGAAAACTTTACCTTACACTAGGAAGGGAAATCTAGTCTGTGAGTCAGACTCGAGTACAGTACAGTACAGTATTTATCTTTGTGTGCTTTAGACTTAGGTATAATTTTACTTGATTCAAGACTTTGCCTCTCTTGTCTTAAGGCTCATAATATTTTGACTTGTCTGAAGTATTGTAACTAGTCTTTTTCCTTTTAAATTTTATGTAAATTTAAAAGTAAACTACTGTAGTTTAGTTTCTTATATGAAAATTTAATAATTCTATAAAAAAATTTTAAAGTATTTTACAGAAGTGCTAATAAACTCAGATTTCTCTGCAGACAAACACAAAATTTTCACCTTAAAACAAGGTCTTATATAAGCTTTGATTCAGTGTTATTTCATTTATGCTTGTAGTGGTCCTACAAAGAAATTGAAGGGTAGGATGCAGGTTATGCAAATTATTGTAAGATATACATTTAATGCTCTGCTCCTCCCAGGGCATAAGTGGTGTGGAACTGTTACCCATTTCTTCACACACTCAAGTAGTCATGAATGCTCTGGCTTTGTTAAAATTAGCAATTTGAACTGCTTATTAAGCAATGTTTTCAGTTTTTAAATTATCTTTTTGAAAGTGAGTGCTTGTCGATGAATAATGTGACTACTAGTACATTTTGATGCATCCGCTTTTACACATTTAATAAAACCATGATACCAGCTATTGTTTTCGCATTATCACTCTCGGATTACAGGAGGATGGTTCACTCAATGTTAAATTGTTTATCCTCCCGCAATGGTGGCGTTACCAAGAGGCTGCTGTGTATAAAGCACATTTAGCATTTCCAATCAATTTACCCATTTAGGAATATCAGGAAATCAACCAACATTTAAAGTAGGTCAGTGAAAAATGACGGCCATTGGTAGTTTTAGTACTATCTCAGTCGACAGTGGTAACTATTAAACAAAAAAAATGCTTCTTATGGTATACTGGCTAGGTTGAAACCTGGGTATTTTTATAGTAGTTCACACAACATTCCTACTCCAAATCTATTATCATATTCGAAAAAGACGTGTAATTTTAAGATAATTTTCTTCTATAACATTACCGTCGGAAACGTATAATAACGGAGATACCGCATGCCAAATCTTTCTCTATTTAATTCCATTAATCTTCCCTTCATAAATTGTTATGCGCATGCGTTCAGGTACACGTCACGTGGCCAATCAAAAGCATTCTTTTTTTTTTGCCACCAATTAAAAGGAGTTGTGGTTTCTGCTTTTAGAATTCGTGGTATTTTTTGCCCAATTAGATTCGATTGTGTTTTTGGGTCTGTCACGCTTCGAAATTGAAATTCATTTCCGACCATGGAAGTCTGCGAAGGGTGTCACTTCAATTATATGGAGTTAATTGCACGTTTTGGGAAAAAAAAACGAACAAGCAATAGCAGTTAGGTTAGGTTGGGTCATTCTAAAAAGGGTTAGGTTTATGTTTTTCTAGTGTTTTTTTTTTGTGTGTGTTTTGTATTCACTTGGCTATGATTTTTGTCGGAAAACGCTTGTGGGGGTTTCGTGATGTTGAATCGCACAGAGGATGGAGGTGAGAAGGGAAACTCAGCTATGGCAGTTTTCTTATATAAATATATTATATACAAAACAGTCTGGTGCTGGGAAGTTGGTGCGTGGTAGAGGAGTTGCTGTGCAGGAGCTACTTTAGAGGAGGTGTTGCGTGTTGTAGAGCTCTAGGTAGACTGGACTTCACGGAGAGGCTGTGAGCTTATATACAGTACACGTCCACTGGAAGTAAAACCGGAAGTAAGCGTCGCCGGTGTCGACCTCTAGATGACTATACTTTTCAGAGAAATTCGCTGGTTGGCCGAACTATACTTTTCAGAGAAATTCGCTGGTTGGCCGAACCCTGCTGCAAGTCTATGCAGCTAGGCTTGTCAGAGAAACTTCGTCGTGGGATCGGCTGATCAGCGACTAACGGCAATGGCAGTTGTAGGGGAGAGTATCCACTACACGCTTCTCTCCCCCACCCAAAACCCCGGTTCCCAACAGGCTCCACTATCTTGTTAGGGGTAGAAGGGGGCGATAAAAAAAATGCAATTTCCGAAGGAATTCAATGTCAGAACCAATCAAAACACATAAAAAAACACTCGAGATACATAGTTTTGACTTTCTAACAGAGTTGTGTGAACTAGGCTACTATAAACTTACCGGAACCTGTTCTTACTTCAGGTAGATGACGTATTTATGCTTGATGTTACTTAGGCAGTACATTCAATAATGATAATGATCTATACCATCTGAAAAATATGTACAATATGATCTAAAATAAGACTAAATATTTGTTCATTGTGTCTAAATATTACTTTCTTAGTACTGTACACAGAGTATCCTTCTTTCGTGTTTCACGTGGCACCTACAGTAGGGACGGAATGGGGAATGGAGGCCGTGTACAAAATGAGTTTGTGTACGTGATTAACTATTGCATATGCTCACTTTCTCATATGGACAAGGCATATTAAAACAATCTTTGGGGAGTAGGTTGGGTGAACTTGGTGCTTACAAGTGTATCTTCACGGACCCTATCAGTGAACAAGGCTTGACAAAATACACAATAAGCAGGTGACGACACATAAATAATGAAACAGGATATGCATGGCTCTATATATGATTATTACATGCTAAGAAGTTATTGAGAAAATTGCATTAAACTGGAAGAATCCTCAACACTACCTCTTGTATCTGGCAACGTTGCGTCTCCAGACACGCTTGAGATCCTGCGGGCAGTGGTTCCTCAGTCCTCAGACACGGGAGGTGGTGGGGAGTTGTAGGATATTGTTGACATAATATCCCCGAGAATACGGATTTTGTGTGTTTCTGCCAGAGGGATCAAACACTAAGGGCCTTTAAATAGGACATTTGGTTTCCTTGGTGGGCATGCATGGATTACTAGTGTTTGTTGAAAAAAAATTCTAAAATGCTAAATAGGAAATTAAAGTTTATGCTCGGGTTTACTGCGTGTGCTGCAATAGTTTATATACAAATAAACATCAATGGACGACTGACAAAACACAGACAAAGTGTTGAAACAAAAAATATAAAATATGAATTGGAGGATACACTGTCGCCAAACACTACCAGCTTTCAAGATTTATTCCTGGCTTGGGACGACGAGGAGGCCGAGCAGACGACGGGGGTCATTACCAGCACCAGGGAGACTTCAATACCCAACACCTACATAGTAATCCTACATGACAAGGCAGAGAAAGGTCCAAAGTCAAGTAATTCCTCTTCATTACTACCGTCGCCGAAGGGAATAAATAGGCGTACAAATGTCGTGTTCCCGAGCGTTACTAATTGTACTATGAAACCGAAAACTAAGAAAGGGCACCTGTACTCCACCAGCGACGTGTATCCCTGCAGGAAATCGACGCCCCCGGACCCCGAGGATCCCTTCTGGCCAGTTGTCCTCACTCCTTCTTATGGCAAAGTCCTCAGTGACTCAGTTCTCCACCATGAGGACTCTGAGGTTAGTTCTGTACTTAACTTCTAACTTGACAATCTAATGAAATTAAGAGTACCGGTACAATAATTCGTCCTTACGTTGGATCATTGGATAAGATTTAACATTTCTACTATTAAATATGTTTATTTTACAGCAGTGAGTCACAAATATGTTCAATCATTGTACATATATCATAATGTATCTGTCATGTTAATCTTGCCATAAAGCAGCAGGTGTCGAGTAATATAAAAAGAATTATAATGCAATGAAACAGCTTAATTTCATGATTATTTTTAAGATTTTCGCAGATTTATCTTAAAACAAATAAGAATTTTAGAACTGGCTTAGTGACCCAAATGCTGTTATTGGGAGGAAAGTTAAGAGTGGATGAGACCTATCGCCATGTCCCGTTAGGTGTCTTGTTTAGTTGCCATACCAGAACTAGAGTCTTTAATGTGATGTAAAACTACAAATTAAAAGTTATATTAATTTAAAGCCCCTCTTGGTAATCGAAAATGAACGCGTCTGATGATAATTTACTCTAACATAAGCGTAAGGATAATAATGTGGGAATAACGAACGTACATACCGGTCACTGCGGGTCACACGTGGAAATTTAGGTAGCAAAAAGCATTCCGCTTTTCACCTCCCGTTATGTAAGTAGAAGCACGAGTTACTGTTACATATTTTAGGTTAAGAATGGACTACACTGTTCTTGTATAATTGAACATTTAATTTCACTGTGTAAATATGTTTTACCAGGGTGGATAGGTTGATTCAATATTAAAAAACAGTAATATTCTAGTTAGTAGTACAGTCATAGTACTGTACCATGAAAGTATGTTTTGCGAAATTAGAGGCAAACATTTGGTGGCACAGAACGCTGGAATTTTGTAGGCGTCTTCACTTGAGTCCAAGTATAGTATATTTCTATTTAAATTTCAAACTATTGGGATGGTTTTTGTGCCAGTTTGGGCACATGTGACGGTGTTTCAGACAACTTTAGGAATGGAGGAATTTAGTTTGAACTCCGTTGTTTTATGTTAATGAGTAAGGGTGTTAAAATACATCATTGTATGCAGTAGGTGAATAGGATGATTCGTATAAGTAGTAGTCGATGTCAACCCTGTCGTTGATGCTCCACAATAATTAGCAACATAGACATTCCACGTCTGTAATCGTTGAATTTAGTATGCTGGGTGGGTGGAGACTTATCTCTAAATTAAGTTTCTTAAACAGTAGAAGTGTAGAACACATTTCTTTTTTTAATGACACACATACACACAATTGATTCGTAACAGAACCCGAGAATTCGCACTCGAACACATGCTTCTACCCCTAGGCGTGAATATTTTTGTTATATGAGTTCTGTGCCCTTATTTAGACACTTTTTGTTTCTATCTTAGTGTTTGATAATATAACATAGACCTGGATATTTATCTTGCGAAGTGACCCTATACGGTAAGAGCATAATCATTTTCTTAATTCGCCGTTTCCATTAGTTTTCTGGTGTATCTTGTAATTGTTAGTTGTAAATGTTAATTCTTCTTTAAGTTTCAAAATGCTAATTTGTCTTTTACGATTATAGGTTGACTAATGATGTCAAAGGCCATACTTGTGTTTCGACGCTGAGTTGGTATCACTGAGTGTGATGCCGCACCATTCTTTTCAGATATTTATTTTGGTAGCTACAGTATACAGTTTCAGCGGTCAGTACTAATATAGTGATACAGTACTTGGTATTTTATTAGATAATGTAGCGTGTGTGTTAAGATTTGTAACTTACATTTGCGTGTTTATCAGAGACTTGGCGGGTCTGCGGCAACTACTGTACAGTATAGTGAAAACCAGTTTTGTGTTAGGTTAGGAACGGAGGAGGTGCGCCTGGGACGTTGACCTCCCCACTCTACCAAGTACGGTACTAATTCATTCTGTTTACAGTTTGAAAGTCGATTAACGCCATTTTTTTTATCCATTTTGAGGGATACGGGATGGAATTATGGTATGCTTTCAGTGTATGAAATAGCGAACAATTTGTTGCGTTTTATGGACCCTGGCCAGTGTTGCATATTGTCAGTAGAAAACATCCGTATTAAGAACATGGTGTAAGATGTAATTTTATGTTGTTGATTAGTTTATGAATTGACCTGGAGTACGCACTTGAAGACCATGTTTAATCACTTGTGGAAAGGTAGTTCTTACAGGGTGTAGGAAGCGTCTAATGACCCAGTTTACCAGTAATGTGTATAATGTACAGCTGCCTCTGACTACCAGGTTAAGGAGCTGCTAACAGAGCAGCTGAAGGTTCAAGAAGAGCGAGTGAGGCTAATGACCCAAACATGCCTTAAACACAAGGAGTTGTCGGTACGACAGGACCTGACCCTAGTGTGGGACACTTCCAGGTCGCCGCCGCTCATTTACTGCCCTATATACAAAGTAAGTCGGGTCAGGTATCTGTTCTCGCTGAGTGTAAGATATTTCAATACTAAAAATGGATCTCATCAAGAATAGGAACCCAACTATTTCACTTGATTTTATACCCTAGTGCTAACCTAAGGTTGTGTGGTAGCAAAGGAGACGCAGGATCAGAAACACTTACTTCTGACGTTTATTCAAGAAGGAATTTCCTTTGAGAAAGTCCTTGGTGACGAAACTTCGGGAGCAACTGTCTGTCCTTTGTTACCTTTGTCCAAATAAATACTGCTAATCTATAAATTTAGCCACACCTAATCTTACCTAAAACAACTACCCTCCGATATAACATTAGGGTGTCTAATCATCAGGTGAAATTAGCGGGGTTCATAAACTTCACGAGCTCCTTAAAATTGTATGGCAGTGGATGAAGTTAACAATTGGGTGAAGTTTTGGCAATGATGTATGTGTTGTACAGGTTACCGGGGTCTTCAGAATACTTAAATGTAAAACGTTGCCATTATGAACGAGGGAAACATCAAGTCGTCCCGGAGCATAATAGCACACCAGCCAAATCCAAAAAGAGGCCTAGCTAAGGAGTTAGCACAAGTGATCGGATTGATGCCAAGGATGGATGTTGAGTCTGAAAGTGGTGCAATTCTTTATTACAACCATCATCAACTGCTATAACTTCATTTTCAAATGTGCTAGGATCACAATTTTTTATGTTGAATGAAAGGTCTGAGATTTCTCTAAACAACCTTGTCTAGGTTTATACTGTATAGGTTACACATGTAGACATTGTTTTTCTTTTGTTCTTGAAGGTGGGGAAACTAAAGTGTTTATCTTGTTCTTCACGTTGATGTTGCCATAGGTTGCATCAACAACCTGGATGGTGTACTTCCTGCGTCTGAGACACATAAATGATGACAACCCGGCGCTGGCTCGCTTCTCTCGCAAGGAGAAAGAGAAGAGGAAATACATGGTAAGCCAAGATTGAATTAATTCACAATAAAATTTAAGTTTATTATAACTGTAAACGAATTAAACTGTCTAATTATTGTTATGACTGATACTGTTCTACGGGTAACTTTTAAACAAAGAAATAATCATAATAGCCTTAATTTATTTTTTATGTAAATTGCATGGGGAACCCAGAATGATCTTAGACTTTGTTACAGACTAATTATTTTACTTCTGAATTGTCAATAACTGTTGCTATCAATAAAAAGATGACGACTAAAAAATTAAGTGATTAACAAGTTAAGCTTTTATAGTGTTCTTAGAAAATTGCCATTCTATCTGTTTTCCGTGATCCTTTTCCACTTTGGTGTGTGTCCGGTTAAGGTGTACAGAAACTTCGAAGATGATGAGATGTACTGTATTAGATATATCCACTCATAGAGTACTTGCTCATATGATCAACGTATATAGTGACTATATACGTCAAAGGGAGAGTGAGAATAATCCACTGTCCGGCCAGATAGTCTCTGATGCACTCTTACTCCTTCACACAGTCTTCTTACATCTCTGTTCTGACACCAACTCTTTTAATCAATGTTCTCAAGGCTCCACTTAAACTTCTTTAAGTTCTTTACATTGCTCTCTTGTTAACACCAGCTCTCTGAATGTACAATAGTTGAATTTAATTTTTAATTTCATTGAGCCCAGCATTTCTTTGTAAAGACTATTCTACATTTTTTTTTTACATTTACCGTAACATGATTTTGACAAGACTAATAAAACTGTATGAACCAAATTTCCAGCCACGTTATGGAGGCGGCCATCGGCGGGTATTTCAGGAGTACATTCCACCAGAGCTCAGCCGGGAGAAGAGTCAAGTCTTCCGGAAGGCCATACGCTTCCTAGTTGTTCGCCATCCACTCACCAGGTGGGATTTTTCACTGTTTGTTTTTCTTTTTCTTTACCATGTAGTTGTGCATTTCTGGAACCACACCACCAACTCAAGTAATGCTTGGGATACACCAACATGCTCTCATATATTGTCTCAAATACTGTATCACAGTTTTCCAGGTGTTTCCCTCCAGTAGAAACAATCAAGTTTACGGGAGAGTGTTTGTTAAGGTGGCTCTGTGCAAACCTATCCAGTAAAGTCTACGGTTTTTTACTGACGTAGGTACAGTACCGCACAAGTGAACCCTCAACAAAAAAACAAAAATTGGTTTCTTCGGGTCTCGTTATCGAGTGAATTGTATTGTCAGAGTTAACTACTGAAATTAGGACAATTAGGGATTCGTATTTAGGCTTCGAAAAATCTGGCAAACCTCCCAAACTATATTTTTTCTTAAATATAATAAGTATATTAAAGTTCATTGATGATTCCTCTACAGTTTTACAACCCACGCAAGCAGTGATTTCTCTCTAAACCCCCAGTAGTAAGGTCCAAGTAGCTTTCATCATATCTCCCCCAGCTGTCGATAAGCTCAACCTTCTGCCTCAAAATAAAAAACACATGGCTTTGTCCCACAAGTTACTGCAGTAGTCATGTCATGGTTGGCAGTGTAAGAGAAACAACAGTAGTCATTTCATTAGAAACACAAGCATGGAAGTACTGTTAGAATAAGGAAAGAGAAAATTACAAGAACACACCGGTCAGTCTCAAAGCTGCAAGTGTGTGAATTGTCATGAATGATAGTGATGGCTGCGGCCCGGATACGGTCAAGTAAATATAGAACCGAAGACAGCAACACCCACACATGAGAACAATTGCTGTCAGACCAATTTCAATTACCTTAAATGTGTGTACGAAACGACTTGCGGGTCTCTTTACGAAACGACTTTTATCTAGCGATGGTAGCTGTTCTACCTCCGTTGTGTACAGGTCCCCTTAATAATTATTCCCAGATTCATAATTCTGTTGTAGCTAATTAACACATTGTATCCTTTCGCCGCAGGTTGCTGTCAGCCTACAGAGACAAGATTGAACGGCCAGAGCCACTACCCTTTACGCCGTATTTCAAGCACCTGCAGCATTACATTATCCAGAAGTACAGGCCACCAGAAAGCAACCTCACCAACACCACACCAACCTTTTCAGAGTTTGTTGATTTTATTATCGATTCTACCAAGGACCTCAAGACTGCCTTAGATTGGCAAAGAAATGTCAGTCATACTAAGTTTGTATACGTATATTAATCTTTAAGAAATTTCAAGACTAAGCTCCAATATAACTTTGAAATAGTCGAAGCAACGAGAAGAATGAGAATGAAACTGTTATGTTCTAGGACAGTGGTTCTCAACCTTGTTTGCCCCATGCACCCCTTTCACCATTTGTCAGAATGTCATTCCCCCCTCCTTTCCAAGATTGTCTGCCTCAAAAAGTGCATTCCAAATAATATGCATATAATACTGAAAATCCTTTATTTTTTCCATATTAGTACATATACATTTACAATTTTACATGGATTATTTTTATAGTGGAGTTTTACAAATTAAATGCCAATTGAAAATGTTGATGGATTTATAAAACTTGAATAAAAGTAAAATAGTTTTTTTTTTTTATAATGAATTACTTAACAGACCAAACTGAAGCATAATGCAATAAACAAAAAGTTCAATAGAATACCAGGATATTGTAAATTTGTAATTAATTTTATTCAGATGAAGATTACAGTCAATGAGAAACCTGTGATTGTTTTTTCTTCGCCAATTCTGGGATACGCGGAGGAGTGCTTGAAAGGGCACAACGCAGGTCATTTTCTACCTCTAATCTACTACGTTGCTTCGTTTTAATTTGCAACAGAGTTGAAAAGCCTGACTCACAAAGATATGTCGACACAAACGGAAGCAATGCACTGATAGCTCTTTCTGCCACTTTTGGGTAGGAATCGCACATCAAGGGCCAAAATTCTGTGATTGATTTCTCATCGAACATATCTCTTGCTTCCGAATCAGTTTCCCCCCCCCCTAAAAACCTGAATTCCCCCCCCCTGGGGGGAATTCCCCCTGGTTGAGAACCCCTGTTCTAGGATGTTGGGAGCGCTTATCTCTTAAGAGGGTGGTTGGGTTAGGTTAGGTTATGAGAGTAATGTTGAGGTTTTGCGTACATGTAAAATGAGATGGTTCAGGCATGTAGAGAGAATGGAAGAGACCAATTGGGTGAAGAGATGCATGAGTCTGAATGTAGGCCAAGAATGACACTGGGAAGCAGTTGCTAGAAATTACCCGAGAAACAAGAACCTGACAAGAGGGGCTATATGAGACCGCGCAACATGAATAACTGCCATTAGATAATCACGGCTAATCCATGCAAACGTGGAAAATGGCCATAAAGCGATGAGATTGATGATGATGAATGCTGAGTGCTGTATTGCTTTAATTACGTATTTGTGTCTTCATTTATGTACTAAACCTACATATATTATTTTCCCCCAGGTTGTGTGCTGGACGCCATACTGGGCACAGTGTGGCGTGTGTTCCTCCGACTATCAAGTGGTGATCAAGCTCGAGACAATGGCTACCGACGAACAGTTCCTGGCATATGTGGCCGACCTGAAAGAGATCCAGAATGTTTACGAGTGGAGGAACCTCAGGAACTCCAAAGCTACGGCAGCAACATCACTCTCTCAGTATTATAAGAGCTTGACTAAAAAACAAATTAATTTACTTTATCAGAGATACAAACCTGACTTCCATCTCTTTGGATATTCAATTGACGAGTATCTGCAGTTTGTTGAGCAATGATAGAAGTTTTCAGTGAAGATATTATGAAGTAAGATACTGGGATTATACAGGTAGGCGTAAGCTCAAGTAGGTTGGGACATGTAGATGGACAGATAAGGTTAGCCCGACTAGTACTTGTAGATATACAGTATGAGTTGGATAGTGAAATCAATCCCCACCGCTGTCACGATTTCTTCACTGTACTTTTCAATTTATTTAAATTTTACTTTTCAATTTTCTTTCACTTATATGTTCTTCATCTGGGCATGTCTGAGAATTTATACTTATTTATTAAGTTATTACTATCTTTCTCATTGCTTATTCAAATGGTAATCACTGCCACCACATTCCTCACACAACATACAACAGCTTCAGCAGAAACCTCTGAATTAATTCAAATAGTTTGTGTAATCTTGTGATGTATAATTGATTTTAATTGTTGTGTTATTTATCTTCCAGTGATTAATATAATTATACTGTACTGTAGGGCACCAGATCTTCAAATGGACCAACTGGTAACACTCATGACTCCTAATCCAGAAATACGTACTTAATTCCAGAATCCGGGAACTGTTGGTGGTGTGAGTTACTAGCCGTTCGAACGATTAGTGAGACCTTTTTCTTATTTTGTTATGAACTTTATTGTCTTATGTTAGTACAGGAGAAAACCGGAGTAACCGCAGTAAACCAGCTATATTTGGTTGGGTCACACTGGCTAACACCCTTCCTACCTCTGTCTCGACCCATAGTGGAGAGAAACACACATCCCCGCTGTACTTTTAAAATTTTGCTAGATTGTTTTTTATGATAACTTAAAGATACTGTACCGGCATTTACCTTGATAAAAATATACTCAGAGTATTGCCAATAATATAAATTTGACCGATCGCCCAAGCGGCTAACGAGCCGATCAGTGGTGAAGAGGATAAAAGAAAAAAAGAAAAAAGAGAGGCTGTTAAGCTTAAAACTATACTGTACATGTAAAGAAAACGTATCTACTGTATATGATATTAGAAAGGACGAAGAGCAAGTTAATAGGGGTAAGTGGTCGAAATCTTTTATGTAATATTTAGTATTTCCACATTGAGTTTCCAATGATAATCAAATGCTTATTACAGTATGAAAAATATGCAATTAATTGGCGATATTGTGGGAGCAATTTAAATTAAATGATAATAGTACTGTACTGTAGTGGTGAAAATGACAGCTAGAAGAATAAATGAAATCTTAGCTCTACTGTAGGTATAATTATTTAATAATAATATTTATTCATTAAAGTTGATATTCAGGTTTACAATTCGGTAACCATGTTCATAAACTATTTAGTTACACAGTTCAGCATGAATATAGACAATGTAGGATTGTAGGTGTAGGTACACGGTGCGTGTTGGGCCGTGGTCGTCAAGGGCAGGTAAACGATAATGGTAAACTTGACCAAGGATAGCCGACCAAACTGTCAGATGCTTATTTCTAGGAGGGTCCTTTGCTATATCTAAACGTTTGTACCCAGATAGCTGAAGCACTTTAAGCAGTAAGTAAAAACGGAGATAATGTAAAGTTTTAATATTATAAGGTGTACCTGTATTAGTCAACGGAAAACATCAACATAGATTTATCACTTCATCGAAATGTGTTAAAAGATTGTCTCGCGCCGGGATTAGTGTGTGTTTATTTCCATATATCTTAACTAGCGTCTAGCAGTCAGGTACATTGGAGGACTGGACAAAATAAATCCAACCCTCCACTTCTTACTCCAATCTTCCACTTCTTATTCCAACTCTCCACTTCTTACTCCACCCCTCCACATCCTCCTCCAATCCTCCAATTCCTACTCCAACCCTTCACTTCTTACTCCATCCCTCCACTTCCTCCTCTAATCCTCCACTTCTTACTCCAACTCTTCGCCTCCTTCAGCCATCTACTTCCTTCAACAAATTTGTACGTTCTTTATATTGTTGCGTATGAAGAAAATGCCATCACAAAATTACTTTCAATACAAAATCTCCAGGTTAAGCTTCTTTAAACTCCTAATACCCAGTGGCGTACCCAAAATTTTACCCGGGGAGGGGTGGGGGTGGAGCGAACTTTGAACTAAACATATCGAGGTGTTGAAATACGAGATAATTAATATTTTTCTGTTATACTTGTGTTGCTATTGATGTTGTTATTGGTGTTATTATTTTGATTTATTTCGATATAGTTATTTTTTTTCTTTTGTTAAAAATTATTTATTTCGAATAATTTATTTGCTCAATAGGGGAGGGGGCGATAGGCTTCGACTCCATCGCCTCCCCCCCCCCCCCTCCTTGGTATTCATATGCTAATACCAAATTGTGTTAGGGAAGGTGAGGTTGCTCCCTTTAACTTCACTTGGTAATGTTCATATCAAGAAAAGGGCAGTTGAATACAACTTAAGTCAGGAACGAATCGAAGTGGAAAAAGAAACTGGAACAAGAAACATCATCTTAAAATAGACTTCCCCAATGATTAAACACTCAAACATTAAATCGGGAATGTTAATTTAAGAAATGACATTAGGTTAGGTTTGCATTATGGTATTTAATCACAGGGTGAAATAAATTTGAAGTTCTTATTCTTTATGTGATTCGACTCCTCGCCACCAGAAGGTACTGCCCTACCCAGCTCATACTGTACGGTTAGACTGAGCTGTGATATTTTGGGACGTTGCTGTGCCTCCGTCAAAATGTCAGCTAGAATTATCTTCAGTTGTCTACTGCAAGGTCTGTAGAATGTACTAATAATAGGGTCACAGTATCAACGTTATCATGATTTTATATCGTTTTCTTTTTCCAAGTTCCGTTCCTGTCTTAAATGTTGCATATTCTCAGTACGAACTATGTAAATAACTCAAGAAATTTATTTATTTTTATTTTTTTCATAAATTAATGACTAAAACTCATCCTACTGGTTTTGAAAAAAATTAATGAATAAATTTCATCCTTGACATTGATGTATTGTTGTTTCTGGTAAAATAATGAATAAAGCTCAGCCTTGACGTTGACTTGTTTTTGTGCTCCGGGAGGTTTGACAAAAGAAGCACGCGTCGATTAGATCAGCGTGTCTGAGCTGCCCGGAAGTAAAGGTATTTCAGAAGAGGGCGGCGCCCTTACAAAAACTGAGGTGACGCGCTGCCATGGTAAATGTGGTGGCGGGTAGGGGTGGAGACCAACAAAAAATAGGGAGAAAGAAAACAAAGGAAAATATTAAAACACGGCAGATGTTGAAACTAGGAGACAGAAACACAGTAGTAAGAGAAACAAAGATGTTTTTTATGACAAAATATGAGAATGGGGGAGTGGAATGAAAATACAGAAAGACGGAAGAACAGGTAAGATTAAGACATGAAAAACACTAGAAAATAGAAGAGAACAACAACAGTGAAATCAAGACACGTGGTCATGGCATACGTAGAAAGACAAATGGAATGAAAAGGGAACTACGGTACAGTTGAATGGAAGAAAATACAGAAAATGGTGAGGAATAATGTGAAAACGTAAATTTATAAGTGGTGGTGGCGTCCTCTTGCCAATAGATTAACACTATTCTTTTTGACCTCGGCGTCGTCCCCTGAACACTAAGTACTTCTCTGGACTATTTGTTTTATGTAGGAAAAGTTTTGAAATTTACAAGCACACTGCTGACCTCCATTTATCCTTGAACTGAAAGAATTCACTGTTAATATTATTTTCGCTAAAGAATATACCCTATATATATATATATATATATATATATATATATATATATATATATATATATATATATATATATATATATATATATATATATATATATACCTGATTGCCCGTTAGGATAGGGGATATCACACATAATGCACTTAACCTTTAGGCTTCAGTATGCAAAGAACCGGCACTGCACTAGACCACCTTCACTTCTTCAACTGTAAAAATTAGATAAATCGATAAAAGAGAAGGGCGATAAGTGAAGCCACGATTAACACTCAAATACTTAACAGTAAGGCAGTGACAAAACAATGCACAGCGGTAGCGAGTCTGTTGAGAACTTGACAATATATCTGCAGGCCTCAAAATTACAACACTTTACTTATGCGATAATCTCTAACGTTTTGTAAATTTGAAAACTTTTTTCCTTTCATTTTCTAATTTTGTTGGCATTGGAGATGACAATGTAAACAATACATATATTTTTTACCACTACAAGATAAAAGTGAGTTACATCGCGGATAAGTTGTCATGAAGGTTTTTAAGTGCGTAACGAGATTAGTAATACACTAGGTGACTAGTTTGATAATAATTGCAAATGCATGGCTTCAGCAACACTCTAGGTGCAGAAAAATAAAAATGAGACGCTTTGGTCATGTAATTAAGGATGAGGGAATAATAACAAATATTAATGGGCAAAGTTGAGTGTTGGAGGGCCAAGGGAAGGCAGAGATTGGGATGGATGAATGAAATTAAAACTGGGTTCCCAGAGAGATACAAAACCATAGAGGAGTGGTAAAAAAAAAAACCCAGCCCGAGAACGTTTTAAATGAGGGGCTGTGGTGGCCAACCCTCAGATGGAGGACGGTACTCACAGCTCACTAACATTAAAAAATCATGAGAGAGAGCTCTATGTTCCCAATTTTATATTGATATTATTGTGCTTGAACAACGAAGATCTTTAAGCGTGTTGCAAGGTTAGTAATACACTAGTGACTAGTCCAACAACGATAAAAATTGAGATTAAACTCTAGGTCCGTGCCTAAAATAATTGTTTGCTAGCGGCATCTGATCTTTTCATTTTATAACTTTATTTATATAAACAATGTTATACGAATCACATATTAGTATTAAAGAACGAAAAAATGTAACAAAACATGGTTGTACTGTAATTATATTTAAGTATATTCATTTTTTTTCCTATAGAGGCTTATCAAGATTTAACCACTTTTTGTGGGAAATTTATGACTAAAAAAAATAGTCTCCGGACCAATCTCCTTTTCTCCCCCCCCCCTTTTTTGTAAAGATTATTGTACTAGATAGGTCGACCCAAACATTTGGTGCCGTAGCCTCTCACCGTCACATGGAGTTACAATCCTCGACATGGCGTTGATGGTGTACAAATGGGTGCATCCTAAACCAGTGAGTTCCAAGTAGTATTTCTTCAGTTCGTAATTTGTTTCCCAGTTTATTTCTATATATTTATTCTGCATGTGAAATAAATGTGCAAATAACGTAAAATTGCAATCCATACGTTCAGTTGTTAGTAAATGGGAAGTTAATACTCAATGAAGGAAGCAGGAACATTAAACAATTTCATCGTTGGGAGAGGTAAAACGTGAATCAACATTGAAAAGGTTCTTTATTATTACTGTACTTGTAACATAGAGGATTTTGAGATCAAGCTCACAGCTTCACGTAAAAGCATCTGTGTGTTTACATCTGTTCCAAGTAATTGAACTAGACTTACATTAGTGACTTAATTTAAGTTTTCACACAAAGACAAACGAAACTAAACTTATCCAGCCGAACAAAACGATCTAGATTTAGTGAAGTTAGAGTAACCAACATCAACCAAAACAAGCCTGACCACCTTAACCTAACTTTCTGATTTTTTTGGCTTGGTTGGTTGTAGCATATACCGGTATGTTGCAGTACTGTAGCCTGGTGTTGGTGACATGATTTTCGTGTATTAGCATTCGTTTGTTTTGTCATTTTTCCTATCACCACCTCAACCTAACCTCACTTCACTAGACCTATTACACAGTATTTCACACGTTGCGTCTGACTATACAGTATATAGTACTATGATTCGTGCGAATTCTGACTAAATCATCAAAACAAACTGATAACAGGCCTCGGAACTGTAGCCATGTTTTTGTTAACATTGCTATTAGTTTGATGAGATTAAAAGTTATCAATTTTACGCTCCATCGAAGCTCCATCCGTTTAATAAGACTACTTTGGTGTGATTAGGTTGGTTCTGTTTGGCACTTTTTATGAGTGCATGTGTTTCTACTGAATGTTCAATAGATTTAGATATCAATATTTAGTTCAATTAGTCAAGCACAGTACGAATAAATGTGCATGAATTCGAATTTACTTAAGATGTTGGTTATCCGGTGTTAGCTTAGAAAGAGGGCCTGCCCACTATTGCGTCACCAACTACTAGCGCTGTGTTGTATTCGAATACCTCTACCTCCTTCTCTCTCTATTCATGCACAATTAATGAAAACGGCAAACTTGCCCACACTTTAAGATGAAAATCAAGAGTTCTTCAAGTGATCAGCAAAGTTTTGAACAGGTATCTTAAAGTGTAATGTATATTGATTATTTTTTTACTACAATAGTGGTCTGATCCTTGCTGTCCCGTGTTTTGTTCTGAAATCATGAACTTTTCCATTACATAATATATTTTACTTCTGCTTTCATAACAGAGACAATTAAATGGTTTAAAAATATCCTGAATATAGTCTGCAATGTTACTACAAAATTATTTCTGCATTTGTTAATGTTTAATATTAACTGTAGTAATAGTAAGGATAATACAGTGATCATGCTAATGTCAGATTATATTTACTGTATTTGGATTAGTAGAAAGGCTAATTACAATGTTGATGAGACTAGCCTTTATTAAAAGCAGGATAGTTTATAATAAATGGATGACCGAATGTATTAAAAAAATCATCCACATATTTCACAGACAAATATGTTAATATGTAATATCTCTGTATACATGTAAACTGTAAAATTTTAAATAAAAGAAAAAAAATATGAACTTTCCTGAGTGAAGGTAACATGGTACAGCAGTGTAGCACGCCTGAATATCACTAACTGCCCAATGGGCGTGTAGAGTATAAGTGACTGGGCATGTCGTGCTCTTCAGTGATATTATGAATTTAATGTTAAATGGATCAATCTCCCACGGCAACTTTTCTGTTGTACTACACCCAAAGAATGGAGGATAAATAATAGACCAGCCGATTTGCTGTAAACTTAAGAAAAAAGGGGGGGAAAGGTTCTATGGTCTTGACAGCAGTCGTTTTAAAACCTTGTGTACAATATTGACAACAAAGAGTAACTGCTGTCATTACTGTCTGTCCGTCAGCAGGTTTGGTTACGATCCTAGCGCTCGTGTGACCGACCGCCGAAATGTGTTGATTTAGAGAGGACCAGTGTGACCGACCATCTCGGGTGGGCTAATCCCTGTAAAAAAAAAAAAAAAGTTGGCAGGCATGTGTGGCTGAGAGAGGGGACCGGGCTAGCCTAACAGAGAGTGGCCGGCCGTCCTGCGGACTATTTTGGATAGGGCGGTGTCACTGCAAAAACGCGTCGCCGTTCTCGCAACCCAGTAACTGGCTGGCCACACTCCATGTACTCGCCATAAAGCAACAACGTTAAGAGAGAGAGAGAGGCGAGACGAAATGAATGGGCAGGCGTGATGAAAGTGTCGTGAGTCACGAGTACGGCACAAAAAGAACAATGGATTTTAATTAAACAAGGAACAATTATACTTACTAGTAATGTGTTTATTTTGTTTACAGTTATGTGATTAGAATATATATATATATATATATATATATATATATATATATATATATATATATATATATATATATATATATATATCAGAAAGTTGCTCTGGTGTTTCTGGACACCGGATCCTCGGTCAGGGGGTCGAGCCGACCTTTACTGACATTTTGGACAATATAAATTTCTCGGCTCAAAAATCGTCACGTGTAGTCTGGGTAAGTTCAGCTAAAAATTATTAGATTGTAGTCATACATCAGAGAACTTTGAGAGTAAGGTTACCCCTCACCAGCGTCATCCTATATTCTTCGTAGTTGAATAATTTGTGTGATGTCTGTCTCTTACTTTCCACATCTTCACACCGGGGACCGATCAAGAGTATTCCAGACGTCCATTTTCTGTTACATTCACCTCACCACCACGCCACCGTACCTGTCATTTTAACCAGTTTTCCATAATCGCTAACTATGGAGTAAATTCGAACTGATTTGAATGGTTCTCATAGCCTGACGTCACCTTATCATGAGCATACCACTAATTAGCAACAATACCCATGTCACCACTACCACCACCAAAGACGGAATTCCATGAAATGAAAATAGTCAACAAATCGCCTATATCAATCGGATTTTGCCTCGTATGGAACTGATCCGAGACCTTAGCAGGGGACATCGTTCCTGGCAAGTGTCGGGGAAGCTTGTTTACATCTTCAGGAGTTACTGGAGCACCCGATTCCATAATATTCCATAGACTCTTTTGGAGATACAGTATGTTAATAACTATAATCTTGGCCCCGGGGAAGGTAACAAACTTGTGTGCTAACTATACAACAATGCAAGCCAAGGAGGTTATGCGTTGTGGCAGTCCGACAGCAGAACCGCAACCCAATCATTTCCCCCCCACCCCCTCCCTCAACACCGCAGTGGTGATCAAGACTTGAGGTGGGTGTGAGGGCGTGTGTTTCAACTTTCTCTGAACCTATACCTGATACTTCTACTTGGTATTATCACATAAGTTACTTAATAATCCTACCTGATACAGCCACACCAGTTACCTCATATATATCTGCTTCATCCTGACTCACCCGACACTTGATAGTTTCCGGCCTGATACCGTCACACCTGATATTGTCTTACCGTCACACACACACACACACACATACAAATATAAATACAAACTTATACACATCAACAAATAAAACCATAAACGTACACACGATTACACGTATAAGCATAAACACACCGACATACTAAGTCGTATACAGCACATTACACAGTCATAAACACATACTATCAACACACACACACAGAAAGAGAGGGAGCTCATAAACACACACAAGCAAACATAAGGCACACAACACACGTGACAGCACGAACAAGCACACAAATACAAAACACAGCACAAAGCACAAATTAACACAATATCTTATATAGATTCAGACATATCGACGTGGAGATTGACAGTTATCTCATATATTTTCTCCCTTGTCATTCGAGACACGATAATTCAAGTTGCCAGCTATGAAGAAACATTAAATTTAGTGTTGGTGTAACTCGTACGTGCAACAAGTCATTCCCTTCGTGTTGGATTCCTCTCACTTACTCACTTTCCCTGCAACATAAACTTTGCTAGAACTTGAGCTATAATAAGACAATGTGGTGCCGGCTGTAAACAAATTGAAGTGCACATTGGTGTAGTGATAATTGTGTCGTGAATTAACTGGTGGTATGGCGTTGGGGTGTTCCCATGTGGGGATGAAAGAGGGAGGAGTGGCGGGTGAACGTGGCTGACGGGGAGGGATCTACCAGCCGTCTAGGTATTCACGGGACGGATTTGGCGTGCGGTGGTTGGCACAGGCGGCGAGTGGCTGGTGGCGGAGGTAGTGAGGCAGTGTGGCCCTTGACTGTGTCCCCGGCGGCGGTCGCTTATGTTCTCTCATTCCTCGTCATGTTCTCCTGGCTCAGTAGAGATGATATCAAAAAACGTCACTTACAGATGTGTGAATCAGTGCTGGAGGGGCTCAAGGTGGTTTACAAGAACAAAGTCCTGCCCCTCGAGTCCCACTACAAGTTTGAGGACTTCCACTCCCCTCCCCTGAACGACACGGACTTCGATGCCAAACCCATGATTCTCCTGGTGGGGCAGTACTCTACCGGCAAGACCACCTTTATCCGCTACATCCTCGAGAAGGATTTCCCGGGGATCCGCATAGGCCCGGAACCCACGACGGACAGCTTCGTTGTGGTCATGTACAACGAGAGGGAAGGTATTATTCCTGGCAACGCCCTCGTGGTCGACCCCAAGAAGCCCTTCCGTCCTCTGTCAAAGTACGGCAACACCTTCCTCAACAGGTTCCAGTGTTCCCACGTCAGTTCCAATGTGCTGAAGGGTCTCACTGTCGTTGACACTCCCGGTATATTGTCTGGAGAAAAACAGAGGGTCGACCGAGGCTACGACTTCCACTCTGTGTTAGAATGGTTCGCCGAAAGAGTCGACAGAATCATCCTACTGTTCGACGCCCACAAACTCGACATCTCAGATGAATTTCGATGCTTCCTGGAGCGTCTCAGAGGTCAGCACGATAAGATCAGGATCGTACTCAATAAGGCTGATATGATCGACCATCAGCAGCTGATGCGGGTGTATGGCGCCCTCATGTGGTCTCTGGGCAAGATCCTCAACACACCAGAGGTAGAAAGAGTCTACGTCGGCTCCTTCTGGAACCAGCCGCTTAGATACGACATTAATAGATCGTAAGTACTCCTTCTCTTTGTCAAAATTCTCAAAGGTTCATATGTTATATTCCTCTTAGTAGGAGATGATTGATTACATCAACTTATGGTAGTCTTGGTTCAGTTTGGACGCCATTTTAGCCACCATATTTGTTTACTATTTAGTGGGCTACCTAATTGAAATGACGATTTAACGTATGAATCTTTGAAGAATAGCGGCTATGTTCTCTTGTCTTGTAGTCAACCTGTGTCATATGCCACATGTGTCAGAACTTCATGTTCTTTAAGACCGGTGTTTGTGCTTAAGTGAAAGCCAGTGTTGTCAGAAGAAGGCCAAGCATTTGTTTGGCGCTGTTTTTATAGTGAGGTGTTACAAGGCTTTGTGGCTTTGCCTATGGGCGGGGTCGGGAGTCGCAGGCCGGGCTGGGTGTTCTCTTCCCTCCTTTACTTAATTAGCTTTACCATCTATCTCAGAGCAGCCCAGTCAAAACCTCCTGCGTTCTGTCGTAGAACATCCGCTCCCATCACAATAACACACCACAAGTCGACAAAACAATTTTCATTTATACTGTGTTGTGTACTTATACTTTGGCTGCACGCCGGCATGTGTTGACAGTCTCTTATGTGTCACTGCCAGCCGTGGACCTCCGTGAACTTGGTCTATATATAGTCACAAAATACACCACGCTCGTTTCTTGGGTATGCCTTTATTAATAATGCCAATAATGTAACAAAAGATTACTATCCATATGTAGGTGATAAACACGAGGGTGCATCAGGTGTTCTGAAAGGGTGATTACTATTAACAACGTTAACTATTGTAGAAGGTAGTGATGATAAATTGGCTGTCAGTGACTCCCACTAACCGCTCATCCATCTTTGATATCAACCGCCACGTGGATGTATGTAATGTCTTACTAGGCTGCATGAAAGTTCAGTGTATTCTGCATTGTATACAAAGCTGATGAAAGCTTACAGTATATTCTACAGTGTATTTTTATCTTTTATTTTATTTAGGTCTATGTTGCTCAACCGATGTAAACTTTTATAACGAATTTACTCAATAATTACAGAATCAACCTATCTATTCAACGACCAGTCTACACTGTTCACTAAGTCGAAGTTTTTACTCAAGACCGTCTTCAAGGATAATGAAATGCCTTTATTTTTTGTTGTTTTAGAGCTTAATTAAACGTTTTAATCATGTTGTAGTAGTATTTAAAGCGCGATTATTGTATATACAATGTGATATAATTCAAATTACAGTAAAGAATAATTTTAGTTCTAGTTCGTTTTTGGGATCATGTGAAGTTTAGGCACCCCAGCATAATACACCTTTAGATAAACCACCCTTAAGTTCACCTAACCAAACCTAACTTAAAGGCACCATAACCTAACGCTAGCCTAACTTAACCTAACCTAACCGAACATGACATAACCAAACCTAACACAACATAACCTTACCTAACTCCCACCCACCTCCAGATAGGTAATTAATCTTAAGGTAAAATAAACAGGGCTACCTTATCATCACATGATTCATTTTGAGAATATATTGTAAATTATTTGCACACAGGTTTGTCATGTGAGTGTTGGGAGGGTTGAGGCGGACACTGGGGTCAGATATCAGAAATTCTCGTTAATCCGGAAACCCTGGTAATGGAGGAGGTGGTGTACCGCCCTCAGAGAGAGAGAGAGGGGGGGGGAGGGGGGATTTTTTGTCCTATAACAGTCGTCTCGTTTTGCATAGTCAACTATAGTATTATTAGAAATATGTTACATTGATACCGGAAGTTACACTGCTACCGGACCTTCAGAAGAATTTTGATTTTTTTTTGTGGATATCAGATGTTTGTTTCAGGGTGACTGTGGTGCTTTGACATCGTACTGATTCTATTATCAAGTTATCTTATTGTACAGTATTTAGGTTATTCCGATTGGCTACCTAAGCTGACTGATATATTTAAATGTATTTGCTCCACAAAACAAAGTCTTGTGAATTTTTGTATATGTATCTTCAACGTTCATAATTACTCATATATATATATATATATATATATATATATATATATATATATATATATATATATATATATATATATATATATATATATATATATATAATTACTGTACGGAACCATTTATTTTTTATCAACTATGAATATTATAGCCTGTGTGGATCGTATACTCGAAGTCTCGTCTGAAATGCTGATTTGAATTTTCCCTTTAAGATCTATATATACTACCACCCAGACTATATTACGAAGGTCAACAAACAATGATCAAAAATAGGCTAAAATGTGCCGTACAAGCGTGTAAGTGAAAGTTAAGTATTTTTAGCGGCGTCAGCCACAAGAATCCAAACACTCACTATCGTCAACATTTCATTATTATTTTTATTATTGTGCATAACATGAAGTTGTGCACGTTTCTTATTTTTCTGCACAATCTGCACCAGTTAGTTTAATTTGCGTTATTGTTAGTGCTCTGAAAGATGCTGAGTATACAAACAACAAAAAACAAATCAGGAAGAGCTGTGGTGGCAGTTGAGTGTATTGGAGACCACAGTTACATGACATTGTTCAGCGTCCCCCGTTTGTTGGAAAACTCGAAAGTATATTATATTGCTGGGAGTGACACACATTTTGATGTGTTAGATGTTAGTAGCTTATGAAGGCAGACTAAAACATTAACTAAAAATATGTCTATCTATTCCAATCTAAACTTAGTAAACTACACTACTGCTTTTTTTAATACGTAAAAACTCAGAACCCTCTTATTTCACCTGTTGATGGAACACTAATGCTTAGCTAACCTAATCTAACAATCCTGATCTGATTTAACCTAACCTAACTTAAAGTAATCCCTCATAAGGTGTTAAGGTGTTTAATCATCAATTGAAATTTTTTTTTTACCATGTTTAGCTACTAGGGTTAGGTTAAAGATAAGCCGTTGTTGTCTCGGTATTTAGGTAAGTAGGCCTCGCCACTACCTAATCATAGCAGCAATGTATTTAGATCGGTGGTTCAGATACAGTATGATATGATGTGATAACTGATGGTCGTCGTACATACAATGTCATTGGAGCTCAATAAACACAACAAAAGAGGCCATAAGACCCAAGTTTCTGAAAGTATAGACGGGCAGTTGGTCTTTGTCATATACACACACACACACACCAGTGTTAGGTTAGGTTGGGTTAGGTAAGGTAAGGTAAGGTAAGGTTAACGTTAGGGTGGTTAATCTGAGGGTGAAATAAGAGGGGATCAATCTTAAGGTGACTGGAGGCTAATAATCTTAGGTGAAATAAGCCTTGCGTTAATCTTTAGGCGATTCCCGTTTTCTCCGCTGTGTTCAACCAGGGACTCCTGAAGGAGGATAGCTCACTCGAATGGACGAACACCTACCCCCCCCGCCCCCCCCTCAACAATGTGGCGCCGCCAACCGGCTATAAAATAAACAAATTATTTATCAGCCTGTTAAAAAAAACTATAATAAAGTGCATTGGTTAACTGTCTGCGATATTTTTTGTTCATAAGAAATTGTATAAAAGCTGTAGCTACCACCATCGCTTTTACTGAAGAACCGAAGGGAGTATATTCCTAAGATGGTAAATATTTTTTTTTACTACAAAATAATCAATGTGTTGCTTTGATAAATTATCCTTAGATATCAAAAGTTGGATGTCAATAACCTACTGAATATATATAAGTTGTGTTTATTGAATAATTTGATGTTATCGTACAATATACAGTATATATATATTATTTCATATTGGCCACATATCAGCTTACTAGCCGGTTGGGCGGCTTATCCAGTGTTAGTACAGGAGGAAACTTGGAAACCTCTGGTGTTTGGTAGTGTCACACTGGATAACACTCTTCTCACGTGTGTCCGAGCCGAGGCTCGAACCCTTGACATATTAGTGAGAGTTATGCGCTTTCCGGCCAATTGGCGACGCCACCGTCGCTAGAAGATGAAAAATTTTGCATTGAGTGAGCTATCCTCCTATAGTCTCAACGTAGGTATACACAAATACATCTATATTATTTGTTGGTCTTATCAGTGCCCCATAAATAATACACACATAATATATACTTTAAGAGACTCGTGGCTGAAGTTTAAAATTCCTATTCACAAACTATTTTGGAATTTTGGAGAGTCGACTATCCCTATACTGACGTACAGTACCTGCAATCTCGCGATATAAGGATCAACTGCATAATTACAATAGTACAGTAGTAATAGTAGTAGCACTCATAGTAATACTGTAGTTGTGTACCAGTAATGATAGTGCAAATTTTATTATAGGTTTATTGTTACTTTCCTTCTGCTTCTTCTTTCTATTATTATTATTATTATTATTATTATTATTATTATTATTATTATTATTATTATTATTATTATTCACATACATCACATACACGACTGTATAACCTAAGCATAATTTTTCAGGCCAGTAGAATATCATGCCTCCGGCTGTCACTGAGTGTCATTGACCCCTTTATCTATACAACGCAAAAATAATGTCAGTGCATACTTTGAAGGTACTTTTTGAACACATGTACAGTAATGACATCATCGTATCAGCTTATTAGGTGTTCGGGCACGGTCGGTTTGTTACATGTTACGACCTTTATTGTTATTATCATTGACCCTATTATACTATGTTTTTCTTATGTGTAACTTATCCACGGATTTTATTGACGATCCAATCTGCCTTGCTGTACGGTACTGTACATGGTAATACACTTCTTTTCTTTTTTTTTGCATGCTTGAAGAACACGGTGTGTGTGTGTGTGGCTGTCTGAGGGGCTGCTATATTAAATTCTTATGCGTGTGCCTAATCGTTTCGTAGGCCAGGGTCTGACAGGGTGTCTTGTTTTTGTAGTTACAACTATTCTTGATAAAATGTTAAGTTTAGATAAATTGATAGGTATCATTAATGAATCTGGACAGTGTGCATAAACGTAAACTAGCCGGTTTTATGAATACCTGTATATAAGCGTGATGAACGAGGC